CCCCAGACGGTGAACTGATGAGCTGCTCGAGTCCTTGCTCCCCACTCCTTTCCCCAAGGAAAAACCCCCACCGATCATTCTTCCTCGTCATTATTTTTTTCTTCTTAATTACCTTTTTCCCCCAATTAACAAAAATCACTCTTGTCCTATACAATATTATGTATAAATAAATATATAATATGTACAAGACATATTTTACTCCCCTCGCGCGCCATGAAGCCGAATCCTCCCCGACAACGACCTACATTCCTGTTCTGTCTTTTGAAGTATTGTGTGAGGTGGGTGGTTCGGCCGGACCTGAGCAGAAGTGAGAAACGTCATGAGCGTATGGGTAGGCTCAATATCTTCAATCGATCGCTGAAAGCCCATCTATGTGGTTTCCGACCCTAGATTGGTGTTTACTATCTATCGCTGTGTCCACCGCTCTCTCTTAGCCGCTTGCATTTTTTGTGCCTTCTCTCTTCGCAACTTGGGATACGTACCCGCACTTCCCATCTCCCTCGCTTCCCTTTGAGTTTCCGCGTCTGGTGCCCGCAGTCGAGTGTTAATACCATGCTGTGCCGTGTCTAGAAAATCTGGTCATTTTTCCAGACATTCCTCGGACCCGCCATGCCCGGCCCGTGTCTGTAGTATTTGTTCAGCCGGTTGCGAGCGGCAGAGGTGCGCAGCCAGACAGTCACTTCCTCTCTGGTGCCAGAAAACACCAGTTTAAATAGAAAGGGGGTTTGCGAAGTGTGTGCGTGGCCAGTTCATGCCCTGGTTGGACAATCCATATTTTTACGACCTTTTGATTCTGCGCTATTTTTGCAGGAGCAAGAACCCCTGAGGAGACGACTTGATAGTAGATAGTTGGGAACACACTCTTGTGGCTACTCCTGCTTCGCGGCGGACGATGACCCTTCTTCTTCCATCATCTTTTCTTCTCCTCCTACTCCCCCTCTACGTTGGAAGAGACTCCCAAAAAAATTGTTGTGGTGGCCTTTCTAAGGGAAAAGAAAAAGCGTGAAAAAGAGAGGGAAAACAACCCACCTCCCCCACCCTTTCCTGCTCCCTCCATCTTGGCGGAAAGGGAACAACGACAAGAAAAGCGTGGTTTTTCCAACAAAAATGGCCCCAAAAATGGCCTCAAGGCTGGACACCCAATCGATCAGATCCCAGCCCGCCGGTACCGCCGCGCCAAACTCAACGCTTAACCAATCAGGAGATGGTCGGCCAGGTCCCGTCACCGGGGCGCCCTCACTTGACCTTTTGCTGGGACAGATTAACCAGCCAGCCCGTTTGTTAATTGACCCGCCCCCCTCGCTAGCTGACCGTCTTTTCGGGCCCTCAAACTAAAACTCTTTTGGGCACAAATCACCCGCATTTGGCCGTTGCAAACGTGCTCGCGAGTGATGGACCACAAGTCGTCACATCTGGCTCTGAACGAGAGGGGTCAAGCTGAAGCCAAAGTGAGGGGGCGAGCGAAGGAAAGTAGGCGAGGGGGCTTTCCTCTCGAGCCAATGGTAGCAAGATCCGGGAGATTTGCGCACCCAAGATCGGGTACGAACCAACGAGGCATTGACGCCGTCGGAGAATCGCAAGGACGGCATTCGGTCTGCTGGCTTTGACTCGAGAGCAGTCAACTTTTTCTATTCATGTGATCTTCGCTCGCATTCCGCCCCGCCCAAATCCACTTGGGATGGCTTCGGGTAAGAGCGTCGGACTAGTTACAGGGAAGGACAACGTTTGGTAATGCTCCGCGATGGCGGGGTAAAAGAAGATGAGGGATGGCAAACAGAAAACAACTGTGACATGCGTCATCGTTTGTTCCACTCTTCGCAAAGCGAGTCATGTCTTGACTATGAGACATCGGGGGTTCTTTCCTCCCACGCGTTTTGTGTCCGTCCAGGGACTGTACTAAGATCTCAAATCGGCCCAACTCGTTTGTTTTCTTCATCCACTCTCAGCACTTGAGGGCCAAAGGGACTGGCGTAGTGAATGCACTCACCCTATCCGGCTTGACGCACACCTACCTTTCTCGGCGTGTGAAGTCTTGATGGTAGCCGCCTCATTAAGCAACCTGATAATGCTGTACAAAATCGTGTTGTAAAATACATATCGAGTTCGCCACCATTTCCTCACCCTCCCTCCCCATATGAGGGCCAATCTCGATTACTGTGTGCGTGCTCAATTGTATTGTTAGCTGAAGTTGCATCTGGCCCATCCTGTGATCAAAAGAAACTGTGCGACGCTGTTGGGGGCGCGGGACCAGGCGTGGACCCACTGTAACCCTGGCCACGCTGCTGGCTCAAGACCAATTCCTGTGTCAACCCAACTCGAGACTTCCATGTTCATGTCCGCACACCCATGCTTCCTCCCTTGTTGGTTGGCCAGCTGCAAAAGCGTCTGGTGCTATTGAATAACGGAAATCGCATCTCCTCTGATTCCTGACCCCTTGAACTTGAACTTGAAGGCGGGAGGCATCAGTCGACTATTTTCGACCATATCCATCCCGAACAATGGCTTCGACGGATTCTAATGAGAACAGCAACGCCGAACTCAAACAATTTCCATTGCTGCTTTGTCCATGGATAAAAACTTTGCGAACAATGAAAACGGGATAAAGAAGAAGAGAGAACGGCCTCAAGATAAGAGGGGAGAGCGAACCTAAAGGGCCCCAATCGAAATGGTGATGGTGACCATGTACGAGTGATGTAGACTGGATGGCGATAAAGTTTCGGGCAATCCTCGTGGTAGTTATACATTAAGCCATCTGCCGCCACCGTCGATTCTTCCATATTCTTGAGGCCATGAAGTCTAGAGTGCGGGCCGTAACAAGGCGATCAAAAATTCTGGTTTGAAATCTAGCTCTGCAGGCTGGCCACAATACCTCGATAATAGTAGGCCAATTACTAACCTATCTAATCGAGTAAATGCCGGAGTTTTCACATGGCTGGTTAGCTAAAGCCTTACCTCTAAAGACCTCTTGATCTTGACAAAACAAAAGGGAAGCAGGACATCGAGGTTGAGTTCTCCGGGGAATGGAAACAGGTAGGGATGGATGCACCCATCACACAAATTCTCAAGGGACCCCCTTTTTTTTTTCTTTTCTTCTTCTTCTTCTTCTTCTTCTTCTTCTTCTTCTTCTTCTTCTTCTTCTTCTTCTTTATCTTTATCCTTTTCCCTAGTTCCTAAATAATTGATATAATTTTAGCTATGGTCATAGGTATCCTTGTTTTCCTTTGTAGGAAAAGAAAAGCCAACACCTCCTTCTTTTCTTCCTTGATGGTTGATTTGAGGGCGGTCTTCAGTTCTCGATTTGATGGGTGGGCAAGGGGGACCAAGTATCCCACATTCCGAGAGGAAACAGAACAGCAACGGAATGTGCGAAGACAGCTGATGAAGAATGTGCGGGTTTTCGAATGTGATGAGAACCTCTTCGACATGGCGAATGCAGAGCGCAATCCATACTCCATGCTATGTCTCTGGACCACCTCTATTCTCTGCCGTTCTTGGCTGGGGTTGAGAGAGGTCTAGTGTATAGTTGATGCTGCAGGACGGCCTCTCGGGGCGTGGCTGGTCTGACGTATATGGGGGCCATACAATGTATGCTGCCTTCTGTGTTGGAATGTACATTGATGAAGGGTGCCTTCCTTCCGCCCCCTTGTTCTTTACCCCACTGCCCAGTGTCAGACCAGCGCTCGAATCACGGAAGGTGGTGCAGTAGCCCATAATCCAATCGAAGGAATAGTGGCAGACATGGATGGATTGAGACTAATACTTTGTGCGTCGCGGTCCCGGAGCGTAGTTCGTTTCCTCGGAGCCACTGGTCACCTTCCAGCGGTCAGCCCAAAGCGGGGGTGTTCCCGCTCGAAGTACCCCGTACCTCCCGCCGCCCTCGCCAGCATTGACCAAACTCACACCCCGGGGATCAATGCTCCACCCCTCTCACCCCTCCACGATGCCATGCCCAGGGTGTCTAGGGGTGTTGTCGAGGGTGTCTCTGTACCATGTTTTTTTCTCTTTTTCTTTTTCTTTCTTTTTCTCTTCCTTTTCACCCCCCTCCTTCCTACACCCCTGTCGATACACGAGACCTTGTCCACCCCATCAAGCCGAAATACCACAGCCGTGGTATTTTGTCCGCCACCGCTTCTGGGCCCAAACCTTCACTCGTACTTCCCCATCCCGCCGAAGGTCAGGGGGTTTGCTCTTTCGTCTTAATAAATAACCTTCCCACCCTCCCGCTGCCATTTCACCTAGTACTTCCTTTTATCCTTTTTGGAGTCTGTTCAGTCTCATCACCGGGTGGCCTGGTTGTCGGTTCCTTCCTCTAGTAATTATCTTCTCACTCACCCTTCTTTTCTTTCGCACCGAAGGCCTTTTTCTTTTCTTCTTCCGTTCTCTTCAGGCTTGCCTCTCGCACCGTCTCTCCCTCATCCACTAAGACGCTTCTGAACTGTGAGTTCCACGACACCCACCGCCTGATCCCCTTCTTCCTTAAGATCCCAAGCAATACGCTCGGGCTCCAGAGACACGACAATCTTTCGAACGATTTCCTCACCTTTTCTCCCGCCTCGCCGGTTGGCGACTGTTCGATTCTAACCTGTAATTAGCAACGCTCCTAAATCTCTCGCCTGTCTCGCACGAATTTCGGATTCCCTATCCAGGCCGTCCTCATCGCAGGCGTCTGAGCCCCCGAGCAGCCGGAGAAGGCCGACGGAAAAGAACAACAACCCAGCTTTTGTCGGACTGGCCTTCAAACAATCAATGCCACACTTCACCTCGACAACCATGGCTCAACGTGACCAAGGCAGGGAATCTCCTCGGAGCCAATATCCTTCCCATCACAATATGGACGGTGGCTCTCCCCGTAATCAGTACCCGCCCCCGCTGGCGGCGACGACCGCTCGAGGCAGCCGCCATCCTCACAGGCACCAGTAACACTCCCGCCGATTCGCGATCCAGGGAGCGGATACGCATCGCACCACAGCTACACTAATGGTCCCCGCCTGCGCCAGGGAATGGCTATAGCCAAGGTCCACCCCCGCCTCAAAGCGCAAACGGCTACCCAGGTTCCCAGAATGGTGGTCCCTCATCTTTGCCGTCCCTTCCACAACATTCCCATCTACCTCCCCGGTCCCCCGGTTATGCAGCTCAGGGTGACCGCAGAGACGATTATTACCGACCTCCCTACGACCGCGATCCCTACCCATTCAACAACTATCATGGACCACCACCTCCGCAGGATTACCCGAGAGATTACGGCCGAAGCCAGCCCCTCCTCACGACGATTACCGTGGCCCGCCTCGGCACGACCCTAACTACCCATCGCGGGGCCCCTACGAGGGCGAGTATGCTGGCGCTCCTCACCCTAGGAATGGTTACCCACCCTACGCGCAAGGCCCCCGCCTCCACAGGCCTCGCAGCTCCAACAGGCAGCTCCGCGACAGCGTACTTCAATCGCGTGTCGGTACTGTCGCAAGCGAAAGGTGGGAATTTTTCAGCCACCTCATCTACTATGGCATCTCAAGAACTCGGGATATTGACGCTTTAGAAATATAGATTCGATGCAGCGGTTACCAGAACGCCCCCGGGGGTAGGTGCGTAAACTGCACCAGGATGAACCAGGAGTGTATCTTTCAACCCGTATCATCGAGCAGCTCAGCTGCCTTCGTCCACGTGTCCGCTGTTCCTGGTGGGATCGCCCCGGGAACTCCCCTTTATGGTGCTTATGGCCAACCCCTCGCTCAAGGCCCCGGCGGCCCACCTCCATCCCACGGCTCGCAGGCGCCACCTGGCCCACCCCAGGGGCCTGCCTCCCATGGAGCCCCTACTCCGCGCCGCCTGTGCAGAACCAGCCGCCTTATTACCCTCAACCCGTCCGTTCTCCAACAGATGTCCATTCTCCTTACGCCGAGTCGGACACCGCCTCCGCAAGCGGGAGGCGCCGGAGGCGTGAGTCGGAGGAGGGACACGAGCGACGACTGCCCCCTAGCGGCCACGATGATGAGGCCTGGCGCCGCTCGCCCATCTCTGGTAGTGGCAGCCCACGAAGCCAGTATTACCCTTCTCAAGGACCTTTACCCGCTCCTCCGGGCAGCTCTGCTGGCACACACACGCCCCCAATCTCAACCGGCCCGACGCCTCCCCAACGCTCCCCGCAACCTCCCACTCTGGTGCACCTGCCGGACACAGCGGCTCCACTAATGGAACGACGCCAACTCCCCAAGCGAAGGCCCTCTCCCCTCTCTCAGCTGGGGGCAGCTCCGTAATGAGCGTCAAGAACATCCTTGGAGACTCGCCGGCTCGCGACATGGACCGCAACATGCTTGGCCGTCTCAATCGACCCGGGCGCTAAATTGAGGGGACTCGATTTTTAGCATAGCGCCCTGGTGGGAATATACAAATTTAATCTACGTGGAGACCGTGTACGAGAGGAGCGGTATAATTGAAAGATACCCGGTTGTTTTCGCCTTCTATTTTTCTTGTGGTCATTTTTAGTCTCGAAAGGGCCCTTTTTTCCCCCTACTTTCCCTCGTTGTATGGTTTTGTCAACGGGCCGTTTTGCTTACGGGCCCTGCCGATTCTGATTGTGGGCACTAACACTAGTACTACCCCTTGTACCCTTGCTTGCTGCTTTTTTTTGGCTCTTTTTCTTCCTTTTGTTTTCTCCCTTTTTCTCCCTGTTCCGTTTCTGTTTTTTTTTTCTTTTGGAGTTGAACCAGGAGCTTTTCACTCAAGGTCGGTCGGAAAGGGTAGAAAGACGCACAGTTTGGCAACAAACGACGATGACAAGTTGGACTGATGACCTCCAACGAATATGAAAACCATCGAGAAAAGCGGCGCGGCGGCTGTGGTCTGCCAAGTGGGGGTACATTTGTTATGGCAATGCATGCATGTGGGTTAGGGAGAAGGGGGCTTTCTGATCATTTCTTCTCTGATTTGTTTCTCGATACTTACTCAGTCCCGTTACCACTTTTTTGGGAGGGGACGGGGGCGGGAGGTGGGGGAAGGGGAGGTGTCTGACAGGTTTACGTCTCCAACTTTGTTTTACGCGGGAGGGGTTGTCTCGGGAGACTTTTCCATCTCCCTTTCTTTTTTTTTTTTTGTTCTCGTTATGATTACGCGAGCTCTTCCACAGTTTCCTATGTTGTTCACCCTTCAGGCTAACATTAAAACCCGGAAGACCTACCTGCCTCACGGCACCAAGCTTAGTACGCACAGTTGCTTATGATTCTATCTTTATTGTTTATACTACCCATATCCTTCAATCTCTCCCGTCGAACATGGTCTGAAATGCCTTAGGGTCGAACTCCAATGTCTGTCTGGCTGTAGTTGGGCACCGCTAACTATCCTACCGTCTATTGGTTAGAGGTGGGCTGGGTGATTATATGTATCGCCAAGGAGAACATGGGAAAGGTTAGGTATCTTGGCCTTTATCGGTCTAGTTCTTAATGAAATAGAATGGTGGAGCTGGCACCTAGGCCAGATGGCACATGGTCCACAGCGTCTGCGGCTAAAAGGGAATGGGACACTCACCTTCTCCTCGTTCCTCCCCACTTCACAACCACAATTGATTGATCTTTGCCACGGTGCTTCTAGCGGGAAAGTCGAAGGGCATGAGATCCTTATGGGTTGCCGTTCCTTGGGGGCTTTCTTTTTTTCTTTTTTCTTTTTCTTTTTCTCTTCTCAGGTCATTGCCTAATAGATCACCAGCCCACCTTGGCACCCAACGAGCCACCGACCGAGCCTGTTTTCATGCCCGTCGGTGGCACTGATAGGTCTGGTCAGAACGATCTTCTGTCCTATATTCTCCTATCTTATCCTCAAATAGCTTGCGATGTAGCCCCCCGGGGGTGGCATACCTCAGACTTGTTCCCTATCACGCTTTAGCCCCAGAAACGGTTGGTATTCGGTGAAGATCTGAGGATATGGTGGGGAAAGGGTTAGATGGGACGGCAGACTCACAGCACCAAATCAGTCCATGGCCTTCCTTTTGCCCATCAACGTTGAGAACCTTGCACCATGTGACCTCAGCTTCATCGTAGTGCCTTCAAGGTTGTCCTCCCATGTATCCTTTCAAAACCCCCGTTATACACCTCTTGGTCTAGGTTGTGGATTAAGGTAGACGAGGGATTTTGAGAAGTAGGAGCCGCAGCAAGTGCAAATCCGGCGTGTTTCCCTCAAGCGTGTATAGAAATAAGGAAACGCAAGAAGCACGCCAAGCTTTTGATGAGGCGGATAGGGTGAGATACCCCCAACAGGCAGTACGCTGATCGCGGCCTCATGGCTCGCTCTACACGGAGGCTATGGGACGGCAACGCGCGCTAGCTTATGCTTGGCATGTTTTCACAATGGATATCTTTAGGCGGCCTCTAAAATGCACTAATCTACGTAGTAGGGTGTTTTCCATTGCTCTCTTTTCTCTCTCCTATTTCGGCTACGCACGAGATTGGCTTCTTAGGTCTTAGCCCCGGGTGGAACGGCCAAACATGTATCCGGCAACGGAGGAGGGAGAGGGATGAGAATATCAGATGGCCGGGTCGTACAATGGGGGCGGGGTGTGATGGCTAGTTCGGGCGGGGGATGCATATGGCTTTGAGGTCTGGAAGCCGTCCTCGCCGCCGGATTGGACGGCGTAATAGGGCCATGTTTGATTCCTACTTGCGCTCTCTTTGCATTCTTCTTTTCCCCTCGTTGTCCCATCATTCCCTTCGTTTCTATTTCAATTGGCCCGGGCGGAAAGAGAAGAGGGGGGTCACGCTTGGTTTACTACCATACTAGCATCATGGTGTTTGTTAGTGTTTGTGGAGTGGCCATACTATAATTGAGGGCGAGGGCATGGTTTACACGCTCGTTGCCCCCACATCTGAGAAACGAGTACTCCTATAAGGATCACAAGTTCGCTCGCTATGCGTGTGTCACATCTAACAAGAGGTAAAAGTCCTTGAGGCAATTTCCTTCTGAGTAGAGAGAAGACGGAGACGGATGAGGAGGTTAAGGGTTTACATCAGTCACCAAGTTACAGGCAAGAGAAGACCAAATTCAAGATCACAGTACAGGAAAATAGGCTGACGAGAGGGAGAATCGAACTTGTGGCTTCCTCCTAGCAAAGGCGTTGGGTTCTTAGCTTCCTTTTCTTTGTCCCCCTTCCTATTTTTAAGGTCCTGGGCATCAATCCTTGGACCTGCTACGATCTGCACCTACAATAGCTGTAGTGCAGAGATCCATTGGGTTTATTGGCTCACAAAAGGCCCTGAGAGCCACAGGCAGCACGTACCCACAGCCGCACGCCAGTGCTAATTATGGGCTGGTAGTTGATCGCTTGATGGGAGCCCAGCAATCATCACCAAACAACTTACAGAGGACACTGTCTCTATCCACTAATTGATACGTCTAGTACATCCAATTGAACGATGGAGTACCTCTGAGAAGGGGCAAGTCCCCCCCTCCCCCAAAGGAGAGGTGTATAACATCAGGTAGGCATTTCAGGGACCGTAAAAACTCCTGATGGGAAGGTGGAAGGGTGCGGGTTCCCTTCCTCTCTCATTTCCTTGCTCTAGCTGGTTCTTGTCCCTACTGTGCTTGGTGTTGCTCGTCAGTATCCCGGAAACCAAGACTAAGTGGCTCTAGTTGCAAGGCTAATGGGGCGGCTGGACCCTGGGGGTGAGGGAGGGGGTCGAGCGCTAGTAGATAGACATGGCAAGTTCCCTTCTACTTCGTAGTCATTGGTTTCTCCCTAGCACAATAGATGAAATTTGACAAGGGATGGGGCGAGGCGAGCGTTACGGAGAGAAAGAGCGCGCTCCTTGAATCGGTTCGACTCGCGGGTTAAAAGGGAAGAGAATAAGGATGGGGGAGGGGAGAGGTTCTGGAAGACGGCTGGCGCGAAGCCGGCAGATCGTAAAATTAACTACATGTACGAAGGAGGGCTTCGGGTCTTGGGGCCCAGAAATGTCCGGGTTGAAGGCTGGTTTGTGCGCCTGGTCGCTGCTTGATTCTGGCCTTCGCACACCTTACCACTTGACACTCGACGATCTGTGTCCTTCACTCTTCACTCCCTATTTCCCTTTGCGTGGACATGTGTGTGGGGAGGGTGTGTGTGTCGACGACGGAACTACATGGCGGATGATCCCTTCTTCGGGGAAACGGTGAGAAGGGGTGATTCCCCTTCCCCCCCGGTTGCTCAAGTCGAACACAATATTAATCGTCCCCCTCTTTTCTTGTCTGCTTGCTCAGACGGGAAGAGCGAAGGGGGATGGGCCCACTGTGAGGGCGTGGTGAAAGTGAACGTGAAAGTGAAAGACCACCAAGCGGGCTAGATGCATTGACAACAACCCTAAGCCGGCACCCAGACGAATGGAAGGGGGTGGGTTTTGTTCTGGGAGAGCCTGATGGGTTCAAGCATGCGAGGGCAGGCAATCAACAACCCAAGTGAAAGGATGCCCTGGCTTACCGGATAGTACTTGTACTAGGCTAGAACCAGGAAGGAGAAGGGAGGGGTCGGAAGATTGGGTACCGGAAAAAAAAAGGGGGGTCTGGATCAATTTGATCCTTTTTCGAAGGTACGTATAATATACCCGGGATCGGTCCTTGGTCTCTCAGAAGGAACCACTAGGGAGGTTTGTGACTTGCGGAATATTGGGGGCCAAGGAGGAACCGGGGGTTTGCTTGTGCCAGCCTTAGAAGATACTAATAAGGAGATCCTCAAGGGCTTCCTGGTGTGGGGTGAAGATCAACCACTTGTCAACACAATGGCAAAGTCACACGCGTGATGAGGCTTTGTTTGGATCATGGGTGCCCAAGCCAGAACGGACGACCCTAAACAACGTTTGTCCCTAGATGGATCCCTCCACAATCAAGAAAGGGCTTGCGGGGTTTTTTTCGCCCTTGGTTTAATTCTCTTCTCTTCTTCTTTTCTTTTGCTTTTCTGGGAACCCGTGGCGTTAGGAGGTAAGTGGGGAGGGCTCGGGCGCGGTAACAAGTGGGCTCTCATACGTAAGGTTCCCCATCTCGTCCCATTGTTTTGTTTTCTCGCACCTCTTTCGGGGAACGGAAACTAACATGACAGAAACTAGCGGGCAGTTGAATTCCTTTCTTTTCCCTTTTGAGAGTGAATGAGAGCCAGCAGAGAGTACCGTTGACAAGAGACGGAGAAGTGAGATGGGTATCGAACTAGAACTTCACAAGGTAAGAGGGGACACAAGGTTCGGCGACCTCGCAGGTGGGAATCCTGGGAAGCTGAACGTTTCTCAACGGGACAGGACCTCCAACGATGGAAAGGCTGGCGCAAAGGAACAACAAATGAAGGTCTCTGGTTACGGTGAGCCCTAACGGGGAAGGAAGAAATGACACGAGAGGCGCGCTGAAGGCGCTAGTTAAGAGAGGATGCAGGATGCAATGTGCACTTCAAAGGAGAGGAACTCAAGAAAAGAGCGGGGGGACACAAACGGGGGCAAACTCGCTCGCTGCCCGAAGAAGGGGGAACCGAAGAAAGTGGACATCGGCACCTCGGGTTGGCTGGGTCGTGTATCCGTCCGTCTGCAAACTAACGTTCCGCACCAAGTGCAATCGGCTAGCCGGTGCTGCAGTTTCATTTGCGACCCGGGCCTGACAGGAGGAGAGCCCTATTGGATCTTGAGTCTCGTCTAGGGCGACATTCACACCCCCGCTGACCCTCCGTTCCTTGAAAGCGCATCCTTAGGGACGCCATAAAGTACGGGTTGGCTTGCGAAGAGGGTGGGGGTTAACCCTTGATTTGCTGTTTAGGTTTGCTTGACAGGGTTGGAGCCCTTTGGGAAGAGACGCGCGAGGGGGAACAAGGAAGAATTGAACATGGAGAATGAAGAGGGGGATGAAAGAAAGGGAGGTGTGGGATGAATGGCAGGCGGCCACTGGGCTACCGAGAGGTAGACAATTGGTGGCAAGTCCCCACGGGAACTACAATCTCGTGGGGGAAGGAGTATTCAGTACAGAGCGGATGCCTGTGCTGGACTCGAGGGGTGGCAGCGAGATATTGGTAGGAAGGAAGCACACCCCCAACGCCCTCTCCGCTTCTTGCCTGGCCCCTACACTTTTGGCCGCCTCGAAAACCCGAGTGGGATCTGCGCTATGGTTTAAGCGTCCATCGAAGGCCCGGTTTGCTGCTCGGCTAACTCGCTCCAAGGTCCGCAACGCCACAGATCCCTCATGGGTTTAGATAGGAGGAGGAAATACAGAGGGCCCAGGGCGGGGAGGAGAGGAGGAGGGGGAGGGGCAGATTTCGAGTGTGTGACGAGAAAGATTGGCGTGCAAGTAAGAGATGGCGGTGACGGGGTGTGATAGGAGGGGGAAGCGGACGATACTTTGCATATGCAAGACATTCTCATCAAGGGAACCGCAGTTGTCCATCGTCAGGTGCTTCGTCTCTTATTGGTGTCTGAGCTGGCAAGCGTTTTGCGCGTGTTGTATTGGGCATGCTTTCCTCCATATACATTTTGTATTATAGCCCGTTACATCGGCTACGGGAGGGCTGGACTCGGAAGATGCTGAAATTGGGAGAACGCAGGGAAAGGCAATCGATGAAAGATGGAGAGGGGGTAGCAGGTTGGCGACCTTGGGGTGAGGAGGGGAAGGCAGAGGAGGGATACCCATGCCTCTCTAGCCAAGAAGGTGCGCGGCCAAGCCGCCGCGGTTGAGAGCCTGGCCCGCCTGATTTACGTTTCTCGACACTGATCAGAACACAACACAGCCCAGCGGTACCGTAGCAGCCAGTTGACCTATGCAAAAGTGGGAGGAAAGAGAGCAATGCCTACGACGAGGACTAGGGTGACCGGGCGCTACATCCGTGGCTCTTCCTCTCCGTTGTAATCTCTCCTGAGTAGAATGGTAGCACGGCGGAGGAGGTGCGGAGGGAAGATGGGAGGGTGTATGATTCCAATCCGAGGTAGTCGATGTAAAAGAACATTGGTACACCCGTTCGGTGGGCCCTCTCGCTCGAGATAAATGGCGGTCACGGCTCGGAGGGGTTTGCTAGGCACCGTTTATGGGCGCACTCTCCCTCTCCTCCCGTCCCAAAGGCACAAGGCGATGAAACCGGGGCAGGGAATATGTGGAGAGAAAGGGTCGAGAGGGAAGACCGTACAGCAAAGGACTGGACTGCCCTTTTTTCCTTCTCTCATGCCTCATCTCATGGCGTTCCCAATCCTTTTTTCACTCATGGACGAATTTGGAGCGAGATAAAAGAGATGGGAAGAATGGAAACTCCCGAAAACCAAAAAAAAGGGAAAGGGGAGGGGGTAAGCGAGCTTCCCCGAGAGCAATCCGAACCAAGAGCGCTAGGGCGGGCACACGGCTCGGTGACGGGCCAGCCCTCGCCTTTGCGTGCTTTCATGTCAATCTCTTTTCCCACTTGAGAGTTGGCCTTGGGAGGAGATTGCCTTCAACATGCAGATTGCGGGCCTCTTCTCCACCTCAATGGAAGGGCCCGGTGCCAGCCCTTCCTTGGATGGCCTGGCGGGAGAGAGAGGAGCCTCTTCCTAGGAACCTAGGCCCGAGTATAGGGGAGACGGGAGGGGGCGTGTTTTGTGATGCAAATGGGGGAGGTGCTTGAGTCCATGCTCTTTCCAATCTTCAGCTAAAACCCTTTTCCCCATCGACGATTGTGAACCTGAAACCAGCGCCGGCCCTTGAAGGAGGAGCAAAAGTCTCACGCCCTTGCCTTCGCCTTTGCATTCTACCTTTGACCACTTCTCATTCTCGAATGGATAGGGCCAATGGAAAGAAAAAAAAAGGATGCGCTAGAATGAAGAGGAGGAGTTTGGCGCCACACTCTGCTTTGCGAGAGAAGGAAAAGGAAACAGTATCCGGGCAGCTGGCGTCACAACGACAAGTGAGAAGGGGACCCACAACTTGCGCACAACTTGAACAGACTCCCTTAGATTTCAGGTTGCCCACAGGAGGTCACGTTTCCCGTTTTTGGGAAGGCAAGGACCGGGCGGGCTCTTCCTTTGCTAATTTAGCGAAGAGATTCCTCTGGCCACGAGGGGGTACATATATGCCAAGGGCATACACGGGAACCAAGAGGGCAGGTTAGGCTCCCCGCTCGGTGAAGTCCGGTGACAGAGGTTAGTTGAACCTTGTTGCCATGGTTCTTGCTTTAAGAAAACTATTCGCAAACGCGCCAGCTCCGGGAGGATGGTCGCCCGAGAGAAGAAGTGGAAGGAGAGAAGGAAAAGGGGAAAAGACAAGAGAGAAAAGGGAGATTACCTCTGCGACCATCTGTGGTCCATGATCAACTGAAGCCGTCATGTGCCTCTGGACAGATCTAGTGCCCCATTTCCCATTTCCGTGTTTGTTGCGTGTTGCGTGGATCGGTGCGAGGGGGGCGGGAGAATCCAGTTAGGGTTGAAAAGCTCAGAAATACTATGACCTCGTTCTGTTGTTTTAGAAATATTGAGCCCATCGAATCTGAGTTTGGTACACGAGACCGATGGGCGGCGGTAGATCTTCCAAGTTGGCAAGGTGAATGAACGGCCTACGTGTAGACTTCGGATATCCGGAGAGTGCGAATTTCCCATCAAAACTTTTGTCTCTTGGTGTCTCTCCCATCCTTGCCGGCTGGATCCGCCTTGTCTCTCTCTATCTCGCTTTCCCTTCATTTGCAAGGAGGATAACTGAACCAGTTGACTCAAACTTCTGGCCAGCGAGACCGACCAAAAGCCATTGTGAATAGGCGCCTTTGGCGTTGGTGAAATGTGAGGAAGCCTGGTATGCTGTTTAGCGCTTGTTCTCCCAAGTTGGTACCTGATAATCGACCTCGATTTTGTCTCCATGAGGCCCAGTCGGTCCTATCCTGCGTGCCCCATGCCTTATTTGCTTCTATCTTTCTTTCTTGAAGTGTGCTCCCATCGTCGAGTCTGCTGCGTACCTTTGTTATAACTGTTGCTAGGTTCCATACAATCTCATATTGCCTGGTATCATCTTCGTCTTCAATAAGAGGCATTTGCTAAGCGTCGGTTCGAAACAGAACTTTCCCATCCGCCAGATTCCGTCGAGTCGAGCCCGGTGCCCAGCATCGTACTGAACGCATCGTATTCAACTGGGCGAACGTATAATGAGAACGATAGTGCGAGACGACCCCGTCCTATACCCCGTCTGTGATCATACGAGATGCAAGTCGTCGTAATCTCCCAAGTCAAGGAGCTTCAATCCATCATAACCCCGCGCGTCTGCATCTGACCCTATCGCCGCGGAGCTAGAATCCTGTGCAATGATTCTCCAGCTTTGATACAACGGGAGCTTTGTGCTGAGACGAATCAGCCTTGCATACACTGCTGCCCTACAACCATCGCTCTAGTCATGACAAAGACGTGGAGGGATAGGGACCCAGGCTCGCCAGACACGAGAAGGGGTGCGAAGAGAGCAAGACAGCGCCTTTACCTTATAAAGTATGTTGGGGGCCATTTCGGGAAGCGGCCTCACTTGTGGTGGAGGGCGGTCGCCAAATGGGCCGCATTAGCCTGCCGAGGACCAAGGTGCTCCCGCTGCGGGATTCAAATAGTGGTCGGTATTCTCTAATCTCGGCGACCGCACGGGGAGACTGAGTTGGGATAGACGTAGCTCTATTCTATCGTACCTTGCGCTAGGGTGTGCATCTTCCTACCGCCGGCGTGGGTCATCGTCCGATCCAGCGATAGGGCCACGCGAGGTAAAGTAGATCCCTGGAGTTTCTTGGGGCGTTGTGTCCGTTAATAGGCGCTGCTGTGGACCGTGAAGCCATTCCGGTCGACCATCATACCCGATGATGGTAAAGGTCCTTTCCCCCTACAGAGGCGGAATTATGGCAGGATTTAGGGAGGGTGAGCCAAGCGGCCGCTGCTTTAGTTCTCTATCGGGGAGAACTAGGCAGTGATGGGCCCTAATCAACAGCATAATTCTAGTCATCGGCGTGCCTTGGACTTACCGAGCGGCATTCGCTAGGTCGAAGGGGTGGACGAACTGTAGTGGGTTTCCTTTGCTTCCCTGCGTTTGCTTCCTTGCGTCTGCTTGTCTAGGCTTCTGGAAGTCGAGCGCACCTGCTATGCGCAAGAGGGGACTTTCAGGACATTCTGATCTCGCAAAAAAAAACCGACGGAAGGCATTTCAATCGACGGCAGAAAAGGTCTCCCCTGAGTCATGCCGCGAGCGCTGAATGATCATCTCTTTTGAATACGGACTCCTTTGTTTTGCTTTTTGCCGCTCCTATTTCTGGTTTTCGCGCGTGGCCCGTCTCAGCAGTCAAGACATCGCGTTGGCAGCTGCCAAACTACTTGCCATGAGCTTGTTTGGGTTGTGTGAACGAACTTGGGCAAGGCGCCGGTAGACCGTTGAAGTTTTGCAACCGTCAAGCGGCTTTGGGTACTGTCCCTAATGCGAAATTCTGAGCCTTTACGGCGAATGCCATGTTCCCTCCGCGAAGAGGTGAAGACCGCGCAGCCATGACCTATCATGCGTTCCTGTGCGGAAGGCTTGCCTTGTCTCGAAATGAAACTCATTCATAAGAGGGCAGAGCGAGGCCCCTCTTTGGATCTGGGTGGCGTTAGGGAGAGGCAAGAGAACGAAAGCTATGGCGACAAAGGCGAGGATCTGTGAGAACACCCTCGCCGTTATCTGCATCATCCACCGCGCGCAGGAGGCCAGCGGAGACCTTGTCTCTTGAGGCCGAGCAAGATGACCAACTCCACTTTTCTCCTAATCCTTCTCAGTCCCCCGGTCTCGGGTTGTGGATTTAAGAAGGCTCCATGAGTATGGACGGGAACCCTAAGCTTTCGCGTTGCTCTCGCACAGGGGCATCAAAACTTCAACAAGTGAGAACGACGGCGGCTGAGTGTGGAAGCATGGAACCTAGGTATCGTAAAGGGGGCCTTCACCCTCAATGTATTGCTGCTGATCTTTTGTGAGGTAAACACGGCGTCCTGAGTCGCGGGTAGGATTGGCGAGCAAGGCAAACGGGCTCATATACGAGGGTCGTAAGAGGGAAATATAGTCCATCTAGGTTGCACATGGTCTAACTCGTGGTCACACAGAACAAAAACATTGAGGGTTACCGAAAGGAGTTCACTTGCCTCATACCACTTGCATGGGTGTTGTCCCATCCTTCAAGCGACCGTCAACGCTACAGGCATGGAGAGAAAGGAGCAAGATTTCTAAAGGCAACGGGGCAATGTATCAAGACAGACTAGAGGACAGGGAAGTAACTAGTTGTTGTTCAGTATCCCTGTTACACAACTGGAATGGGGCCAGCTTTGGTGGACACTGAAAGTTTGACAGACAATGCAATGTGAGTGTGAGTATATGGGTGTTCTGTTCTCGCAACCTTGCTCATCGACTATACTATACCGAGCGGGTCTCCCTCTCGTAAAGAAGAGAAAAAGTCTTCGGCTTGGGTTGCCAGTCACCCACCCAGACTATAATTAATATTGGTGGGTGAAAATCCTGTGAACCAAAGAGACAAAGAATTACACACCCCTCGCGCTGGAGTAGTTTGACTAGTTGACTTGACCTGTCACAATGGGGGAAGATGGCTGTTACTGGCCCTAACGCACGCCACACCTGCCCCGAGTTGATAATAACTCATGCCCTCTTCCTGGGCCTGGCACTTTTTCTTCTTTCTTCTTTCCTTCGATCCCAGGGGCCGGGGGGGGCAGCATGCTCCCAGCACGTACCTGTCGCCCCCACAGGCCACACAAGGCCCGCTGGGGGAGGGCTGAGCACCAAGGCGGTGGGGGACAAGGGGAGAGGAAATGGCGGGGTGGGAGTGCGTGATCAGCTGCTTGGGTGGCCTGAGACGAAGCGGGATGAAGTGAGGATTGACCAGGCAAATTTCCATCTTGTTCACGGGACTGGTGGCCTTCCCGGACGATATGCTGACAAGCTTAGAGATGGAGATGGGAAGAGGGAGGGGCGGATCGCAGAACATCCATGGGTCAATGGATTGCTCAAGGGCACCCAGAGGGGGTGGAGTGACCCCGAAGGGACGGAGAACAAGGGAAAAGAGGAGGCACGAGGTTGAAGAGCGGCGGAACGCAGCCAAGATGGACCTACAGTAACACTTCGCACGTTCCACGTCCATCATCTGTGGATCCAAAATCGGCAACTGTCACCGTGGTCTTGAAGAACCACGTAGAGGCAGGCAGGACGGACACCCCTCCCTTCACCCACCCCTCCTCACCCGGCCCCTTCCATAATCCGAGCCCCATCGTCAAGGGCCTCGACTGACTAGCGAGGACAAGGACGGAAATAAGATTCAACGCATCAGACCAAATGATGAGATAGAGACTGGAGCGCGAGCTACGAAATATGGCGGGAGAGAAGAAGAGTTCTCTGTGGGTAGAACGAGGGTGGAGCAAAGGATAATACTTGGACAAGGGGGCGAGAGAGAGGACCCAGGAGGATGGTGTGGTGGGGGCCGAAGGGAACGAGGGAAGGGGAAATGATGGCTGGCTGTCCATGGGGGAACAGAAACGGTTCGTGCCGATGCCGGCTCGGGAAGGGAGAAAGGGAGGACGATTGGGCCAATCGTCGGTGCCTGCACTGGTGGGTTGGAATGCTCAAAAGGAACATAATGCCTTGGCACTGGTGGTTTACGCTTTTTATTTTATTTGTATTTTAATCCACTCACTAATACAGCGACTTGTGCTTCGTGCATTTTATGCAAGCTGGCCAGGAGGCAATTTGAGTGAGACGTTCCCAAGCTGAGGAGAACGCACGAGGGATCTCGTGAAAGTGAGTGTAACATGTAAGCCTCGGGCGAGGACTGTCGACATTTTGAGCTCGAGTCCGGTGAGATATCAACGAGTAAAATTCTACTCTCTGTCCTTGGCCTTCAATGTTCTCTGAAAAAGAGAGACGAAGGCTTAACCTTGCTTCTCCGCGCTTGCTTTTAGCCCTTTCGACAGACTCTTGTCTGTTTATGCTGTTTTTACTATGAACACGAGGCAATATTTGTGCATTTTGAGCTTCTTCGCCGATACGGACTGGGCGCTTCACTTTGCCTCACTTCCGCAGTCACCATTTCCTTGGCTCTAAAAGCTCACAATCGGGTTGGGAGCTTCCCAAGCTCAAGCTCTAGTCTAGCGCCGTGTGGCGGCACCATGGTGCTTAAAATTGGGCTCTCCAAAACACCGGGTCCCAGCAAAACTTGATCTGTAATTGTTTTTTTCTTCTTTTGGGGGTGGTGGGGGTTCGTTCAGATGGTAACCCACTCGAATGGAATGGAGAAACTGCATGCCTCAAGACACGATTTGATGGGAAAGGAGGCCAATTTCAAAAACAAGATAAGAAAAAAATAGAGGACCGGAAAGGAGACCGGAAAGGTCATACCTGGGCCCATTTGTCCCATTGTTTTTTAATATGCCATTATGGAGCATAAACTCTACGGTCTCGTGCAACAAGGAAAAAGAGGAAACACAAAGAAGATTGAGAGTGTATGAGTGCGAGTAAGAGTGCAAATGTGAGAGCAAAACGGAGTAAACAAACTATGGAAGCTCAGTTCCGTCTAAGGGAGACAGGACAAGAAAATACTTGATCATGGAGAAGGGGTGAGAAAAACATCCAACGGTGAATTAGAAAGGTCCCCTGGAAGAAAAAAATAGGTTTATTGCAACCGGCACACCCAAGTGGCATATTCAACCTTTCATTCTTTCCATCGTTAACAAAGGAAAAAAAAACGAGTTTGTTTCACTCCCCGTCACTCCTCATAAACCGGTTCACGGCTTCGTCAGCTACCGCTTGCGCCGCCTGCTTTCGTCCTCGGCGCTGAGTCATAAATGTCGTCGTCATCCGCCGCTCCAGAACCTTTGCCCACGCGATTATTGCTTGTTGGCTCCAATCCCGAGGGCTTGTAGGCGTCAAAGTCGACGTGGAACGAGTTGAGCTGGAGTAGATCATCGCCTGCGATGGACGCCTTACCGGCACCACCATTGCCACTGCCGCTGCCACCAGCCGCCGGCCCTGCTGCCTCATCGTGCGGATCAGCAAACGGATCTCGAGGCTCCTCGGCATAAGGCGTCACCGCGCCCTTCCCCTTCTTCTCTCGGGGCGGAGGCGGTGGTGGTAGGTCTGACCGCGATGACGAGCCCTGGGCTCCGCTGTTGCTGCGGCTTGCCCCAACACCACCTATACCCGCATCGTTGCCGTCGTTGCCCACCCACGGGTTATTGGCGCCCGATATGAGGGGCACTTCAGGACTAGGCGTTCCTGGCTGGGCAGGCGAGTGAGAAGAGACGATGCCTAGCTGTTTCTTGGCGCTTAGCACGGCCCGTTGGTGGAGGTTGAGTGCGCTTTGCAGCTGCTCGTTCGTGTTGATGAGCGATTCCATCGTATCGTTGTCCGGCGCAGGATTCTCCGCCGTCATATAGCCTTGTATGGACCGGGACGCCCGCTGGCATCGGCCCGAAAATTCTTTTACGAGATCGTTATCGAGAAGCTCACGCGGCTCCGAATGGGAAACCACTTGAGTAAGTAGCTTAGCCGACGTGCTTGCTTCTTCAAGACGGGCGGCTAGCTGGACGGGGTCAGGCAGGCGCGAGGTGCGGTGGCCGGCTCCCTGCGTGCCGTTAAAGTGGCTGTCCTGAGGAACGGGCTGGAAAGCGGGGGCGTTGAGGGTTCGAGGCGTGAGCTGTTGTGAGGAGGCGGCACCTAGGCGAGCGCTCGTTAGTTTCTTTGTTACAAGAGATAGAATGACAGGGAATGGTGGCGTGAACAAGGAAAGCCGCGAGGAGAAAGGAATCATCCATCTCTAAGAAAGACCATATGCAGGGTGAGACTGAGGTTGACGAGGTGTGATACGCACGCCATAATTTTTGTAGATCTTGCTCTTATCCTTCTTCCACATCTCTATCAGTAGGGCTAAACCCTCGTCGTAGCTCTTTGCGTACTCGAAGGAGTCGAGGGTTTCGACAAGGATCGTGCGGACGCTGGGGTCCTTGGCATATTTGAGAAGATCCTTGACAACGTCGACAAACTTCTTGTCAAAGTTGCGGGTAAACGTAGTGATATTAGGGTTGTCGGTGAGGATGCGCAAAAGCATGATGGCGTTGTACTGTTGCGACGGGCGGGCAACGTTATCACGGGCGAGGAACTTGCGGATCAGCCTGGCGCACTCAGCTGAGGCGGCGGGGAGGATTCGGCGGCATCGACAATGGTGGGGAGGTGGAGAACCTCATCGCCAGGCTGTATCAAGCGGGAGGAGAAACAAGGAAGCACGAGTTAGTCCATGTATATAGTCTTATTTTTCCAATCGAAAAAAAAGTTTAAGGCGCTTGGGGGTGAGCGGTAGGTGTCAAGGCTATGAGGAGAAACCATCGGAAACAGAGAAAACACAAGGATAGGCGAGGGTCGTATGTACCTGACTATTCGGGGAGCTGCCTGCAATGCAAAATTGTTTCTAGAGCGAGGTTGAGTTGCGTCAGCGGGAGGTGGTCGAAGATGAGGCATGCCTGAGTGGCAAGTCTGAAAGATCGCTTGTGGGGTGCGAGGGGATGGCTGGGAGGGATGGTTGTCGCATACTACGGCGTGGGAGGCCATGGCCTCTGGACCTTCTCCTTCTGGACCTGGGGTATCCTCGGGCCCGGTGATACCTGGAAACACGTCGCAACATTTCTTGGTTAGCAGTGCGCGCGTGCAGGTGCGATTAGGAAGAGTTGCAAGAAATAAGAGAAAGGGCAAGTGATCATCGCGAAGCTCCGAGAGCTTGGTATTAAGTAGCATTCAAGGTGTCGCCACAAAGCCAGGATTTGCCCGTCTGTAGAACGATATCGAGGGAACTTCGGAGGGACATGCGACAGAGCTAGAGAGATAGGGAGAGAGAGAGAGGAAGGGGGCCTAGGGATGGGAGGTGAGTGAAGACGTACTCCCGGTGGCCCGGCGTTTAATGGTGCCTAGCATCTTGTTCATGCCGATGCCCTTCATGGCTTTCATGACGTGCCGGCGAGAAACGAGCCTCGCCCCGAAAACAGAAAGGGGGAGAGGAACCGCAAATTCCTCCGTGTATTTTCGTTGCGCTATCCCTTTGGTTCCTTGCGTCGGCTCGAGTATGTGGCTGATTGCTCGTCTAACACACTTGTGACGTGAACCGCCCAATGTCGTTTTGTTCCTTGCGACTGGTATCGCCTCTTGTGCCTCCGCGTGCTGGTTTGCTGGGTTCTTCTGTTCGTTCGGACGATCGATGGAGTCGGCAGAGCGCGGGTATCTTCTGATGGGGGAGTGAGTCGTGGTGGGCGGCGGAAGGAGAAGGGGGAGGTGGAAGGCGGAGAGAGGTTCGTCAGGAGAGGAGGGGTTCCGGTTGGAGGATCGACTCGGCGTTGGGGTTTGGCGTTTTGGAACAGGACGGTAGCACAGGCGGCAGGGGCGTGTTGTGGGCGTGAGCGGCGGGTCGGGTGTGGCTTTGCCTGTGGAAGCTCACGCAAAGGTGAGGGATTGGGAACAGCACTAGTGCGGCGGTCAGGGTCGGCACAAGCCTGAGAGCTACTTTGAGCGGAAACAAAAAGGCAAAAAAGCGCAAGGAAAAGGAGAGTAAAAATGATAGAGAAGAGGCAAGAAAAAAAGACGGAGAGAAAGGAGGCAAAGATGAGTTCAAGAAGGAGCGAAGGGATGATAATAAAGAATTTTTGAAAATGTTCTACACCACAGGCAGCAGCAGGCAGGAGCGGAGGCGGAAAGCAGGGTGGGATTTCGAGCCAAGTTCGGTTCTGCTCCTTTGTATTATTTGGTTGGACGAGAGGCAAATCAATTTAACGGGGAAGGATGCAAGTTGGTTGGATATTTGTATCATCGATCTCTTTCGACTTGGAGGAGTGATAGAATTCCAACGACTGGCTCAAGAGTCGGACCTAGGACACAGCGAGAGGACCCCTCCCCGCACCAAAAAAAAAAAAAAAACCAAAAAAAAAAAACAAAGAAGTTCCTTCAGGCACTGCTATCGTCACTCAACAGCAAGCAACAACAACCCTGTGACGCCCATAGATCCAGGACCCATCAATTGGATCTGTTGTCCACCGCTCATGGATGAATCAATAGAGCCATAAGAGAGAGCTAGCCCGTGCTTGGTGTACCTCTTGCTTGCTGCTGACGCCTCTCCTCAACATGTAATTATAAATGGCCCTCTGATAACCCCCTTCCCCAGTGGTGCGGGCAGCAGCCCATGCGCCTCGACGACCCAAGGTTCTACCCACTCATCAGTCACTCATCAACAATAGATTAGATGTACAGCATGGTGCGTCTGACACTCCTCAACGGCCCAAGCCAATTGTGGGTAAAATCCTCGTGAACATCAATTATCTCGTACGAAATCGTGTCCTGGCATGGCACTGGGCCATCGGGAAGGGGCAGGGCTACTTTCTTTTTTCTTTTCTTCGGACGAACCGGGCCTGCACGCGCGGCCGGTTAACCATCATTGATGATTACAGGCTCCTCAGACAACACCATAGATTCCGCATCGTGTCAGTCTTCCAGGAGTGTTCGCAGACGTCCCACCCCCTTCTCCTTAGCCTCCTTCGCCATGATCTCCGCAAGCGTCAGCAAGCGGACGTCAACTACACAAATGCCATGAGTGGATTAGACTTTGCCCCATGATGGTCCCACACATTGAAAGGAGGGGCGAAACCCCGTCTATTACCTCGAACACACTTGTCACCTCTGAAGAAAGAGGGTGGGAGGAAGAAGGGGAAGAGGGGAAGAGAGAAAATAATCTGTCCAAAAGAAGCCATCACGCGCGCCCATAATGCAACGACGCGCGTCCTCCCCACGATCGAGAAGGCAATAGATACTGCGTAATCGTAGAACCCCACTAGCTTCTGTGTCTCTTCAGGCTTCGATATAGTTTTCGTCTCCGCTGAAAAAGAAGAATAGAGAAAGGGTCCAATGGATCTATTGAGTCTTAGACACCGTCGTGTCCACCACGTCACTAGGGTGGTCGCGTGGCGGAAGGTGTGGGGAAGGAGGGAGACGAGACCAGAAAATTTTGAAGGCCAAGAACGATAGGAAACCTGCCAACTCCAACAAGACAATAGATCAATTGATATTGTACGACGATGCGAGGATAGACTATCTCTACCTTTTCACTTCACATCGAAGGAGAAAACAGCCTGTCTGCCGCTGGTCATTACTCTCCTCTTCCCGTTCCTCCTCGACTACATGTAGTTCCTGGATGTCTCGCATCAGGAGGCACAGGAGACATCCATTTGCCTCGACACCTCCCCCATAGCGCCCAAAGCTTTGAAGATCGCACGCAACCAAACATCCCCAGGGCCAACAGGGAAATCAACATGAAGATTCAGAGTTTGAAGTCCACCCTCACACAACCCCCGCCCACCTCAGAAAGGTGAAATATCCAGCACTAGCAGATTGTCCTTTCCAGAAGGGTTAGGCACGGCCCACCCCTCGTCCCCTCTAAGTCTTAGTATATTCTTTCTCCAGAGACGCCCCCTTCCCCCTAAAAGAACCGAAAAAAACCCTCTACCCTTACACAATTGCTGGTTATCCTGTGGAATGAGCCGTGATTAAACCCTGCGTTGTGTACCTGCAGCCCCTACGAGGTATATCGAGGATATCAAGTGATGGGGATGCTGCGGGAGTCAAAGGGAAAGAAAGAAGGTTGAGCTTAACCTGATCTCGACCCCTGTAGAGTGATGCCTTTTCGTTCTTCCTAGAGATACTCTCCAGGGTGGTGCTTCGCAGTGGTTGCCCCCTTTTTCCTTGAGTAGAAGTCAAGCCTTCCATTTCCATCCTGGAAGGCTTGGAAATAAGATCGGGAAGAAAAAGAGGAAGAAAACAGATATGCTTATTTCATAGCTTCGTTTCCTCTTCTAGGGCTGGAGTCTTCTCACCAACCCCACCACTGCCGCCCGCACGCCGGAGCACATCCCTCTCCGAGGCCGACCACGTAGCTCCAACACATCCAGAGCCGCTCTGCCTGGGCCTTGCCTCCTCGTTCCCATCACCTCTACCCAAACTCGGAAAAGAAAGTTGGATGGCTTCGACCCACCAAAGTATGCCTTGCGTACCCTGCCCACGCGTTGCTAGTCTACTAAAATAAGGTGGTGTTAGCGTTCCCTTCCAAAACATCGCATAGTCGTTCTTTTGGCCGTGAGCCATCATCGCCAAGACCACGCCACCTATCCAGTGACGTGGATTCCCTCACGCTCCGCACTCACGGTAGTTGGTAATTCACCGTCTGCTGGGACAAGGGCATAATGAATCGCCCCAGAAAATTGTTGGTTCTCTAGTGGCAGCATAGCCCGCCACCCTTCCTCGCTTTCGCAAAGAATAAAAGAAAGGACAAGATAAGTATAGATTCGTACATTCTCCTCTAGTGAAGTGGGATATCTTTAAGAACATATAAATCAACATATACGAGGACCGCATGCGGTAAGCTGTAATCCAACGAAACCACCTACCAAATCTTGACAAAGGATATCCATATAAACCGTACCAAGTAAACGTTGTCTAAAATCAACAAGATAGCTTTGAACAGGGGCCAGATAGATACCACATATGCAATGCATGCCAGGTTCGTCACCATAAGAAATAGTAAATAGGAAGAAGACGAGGATGGCTCTTCCCCGCAGGTCTCTTAGCGGCCTGAGAACGTTGGCGGTATGTTTGTGGGCAATCCCGCGGCTTCGCCTCGCTCCTTGCATACGCCGCCATAGTCACCCTTTTGCCAATCGCGTTCGTGGTTAGGGTCCTGCGGTCTGGTGCGAGGGCATGCTTCGTCATTCTCGTCGTCCTCCCGAACTGCACTATACCCTGTTGCGCTAGCATTCCAAGCTTCGCCATCCATCGAAGAAGCCACCAACTGCGTATTCCTCGGCGACTCATTTTGCATTGAGGGCAACTGCCCCTGTGGAAGGTGAGGCGCCTCCTGCGTTCCCACGCCATCGGGCAAAGACTTGGTCCTCCGGACAGTCCCCGAACCTAAGAACACCGGTGACGATGAGTTCGCCATCATCATGTTAACAGTCATCGCGGCATCGGTCTGGACCTGGGCCAAGTTGGTACGGGAGCCAGTCTTGGCCTTCGTCTTGCAATCCTCCGCGCCGGTGATCAAAATTGCCACTGTACTTGTTAAGCCATGCACATCCTGCTGGCTAAACCTCCCGCATCCCTCATCGCTATAGTAGTCTCCCACGAATGAGTTTATACCATATTGCTCGCCCATGACCACGGTCAGCCTGCCGGCGTTTCCTGGGGGTTGAGTATGAGTAGGATGGATGGCGGAAAATGCTGCTTTGGGCGTCTTGGTCCGGCCGCGGCCGACTTCTCCCCAACTCTCCATGCTGTCTGCTTTCGGAGCGGCGGTGGTCGTCCTACCCGATTTCTGACTTGCCAGAGCCCGTTGAGCGGTTCGAGCGGCCCAGTGGCTTTTGAGCCGGTCCCTCATCTCAGCTGATTGTTGCTTGCCGTAGTCCTGGGCGTTTCTCAGTTGTTTACGCCCTTGCTTGTACGACTCGAGGGACCCGTTAAGTGGGGTGTTAGATAACATGGATTGATGATACTCGACCTTGCCTTGGTTGTTAAGCGATGGTAGCGCATGGTGGGCAAAGATGCTTAGTTGTTCACCGTTGCACACGAAGCTCGTCACCGCGGCGTGGCCCTCTGGGTCTCGCTTACCCATATACTCCAGAGCATGATTGCGCCCGTGCACGCACGTGGCCCCGTCGTAGGCCGCCTGGGACTTGGCCTGCGGCATGCTGCCCGCCGGACACTTCCACTCCCCGATAAAGTGCGGTAGCGTGACCGACTGCCGGTCCCGCTGGATTAGGACGGCAGCCCCACCGAGCTCTCGTGCGATGGGAAACGGTCGATAGGCCTCGGGGACTAGGCTCTCAACATAGTCAGGTTGCGGGGCCAGTAACCCTCGATTAAATCCACAGTCCTTTGGTAGGCCCGTGAAGGTCGTGTTGTAGTGTCGTGCGTAGTCACGCTGCCTGTGATCCTTGAAAAGGTGGATGCTTGATTCCACTACCACGTCCTGCTCGGTGCGCATCTGGCCCAGTTTCTCCACATAAAACTCGTAGTCCGACTCGTTGGGGGACTCAGACCGGCGTGGCTGGTCGAGCATCTCCTTCAGATCGGCATAGTTGGTTGGCCGGCTCGAGTCCGCAATGGATTGGATGCCATTATCGGCGGCAATCATGTCAAACCCGGACGTCGTTGTCAGCACGGTGTGCTTGGATGAGAAGGACCCTTCATCCAGCGCCGTTCCCGGCTGGGAGGGTGAGATGATGAATTTGGAAGATCTTTCAAAGAGCCTGGTTAGCTTGTCATGTAGTCGTAGGTTAGATCTGGTGAGCTTCGGCCGCTTCGAGCGTCTAGCTATTCCACTCTCGTTCCCAACATCGCGCCCCGCTTCCGATCTACAGGTGGCTTCACAGCGTCGCCTTGCTCCAGTCCTGGATTTTAGACGTTAGCAAAGCCACACAAGGGGCTCAACAGGTGGTAACCGAGCTCTTTGGAGGCAAACCTTTTCCTTGTGTGAGGCTAGGGTCGGCGAGGCGTGGGCTCTTTTGCTGGGCCGCGCCTACAATTTCCCAGGCAATGCCCCTTTTTTATTTGGCCCGGCTATAATTTGTGCCTTCGCCATAATTTCGCCTCGACAGAACCCCACGTTCACTATTATTTGCCAATCTGCAGTATTGCCACGGTAGGATACGATGCAACGATGCTGGTATATCGGCAGCCGCGCTTAGCTAGGCCGCCGACTGAGAAGAGAACCAGCTCGTCTGTCGTGCAGCTCCCACAGAAGCGGTTCGGGTAAAACAGCGACAAGATGGACCTCCTCTCCTACCACTTGGTGGATCAATTTTGAAAGAGGCCTGGGCCGCTTCGTCGTGTCAAAGTGCTCATGGCGTGGCTCGCAAAGTAACTCGTAATCTGGTGGAACGAGTCGCGTAGTTTGGGGACGAGCGATACAAACCCAATCTTGCAGGGTGGTTGATATTGGTTGGTGTCAAGGAGGGAGTTGGAGAAACCCCGTGTCAGCTTCAAGAGCGGGGCTAAGCAACTTCAGGTCTATATATATTATAAGGGGCTGAAGCTTGCCTTTTCCTGACTGTATCCAGCGCCACTCGGCAAGGAAAAGTAGTGAGGAAGAGTGCGACCCAAAAATCAAATAATGCCCCGAGGTTGTGATGGAGTGGAAATAATCAGCTGTGAGAATTTCGGGAGGGGCGCTCGGGAGTGGCAACCGAGATGAGGCGAACGATTCCTGATTGAAAGACTGGTGGTCTCTTTGTCTCCTTTCTACTCGTTAGACTAGAGGGGTGACGGCAACGGGACCAGACCACTGGGAATGACAGGAGGGAGGAAAGCAGGCCTGCCGGAAGGGTCTTCGGGTCAAATTCAGGAGTCTTCCCTCCGACCTGCGGGTTTGTGGAGCTGGCAGTCAAGTAGCGCAGCGCCGTTAAGTGAAGGACCACCTGGAATTGTTCTAGACCCCTACCAGGTTAGGTAAGCGTTAACTTTGCTTTTCCTGGGGTTTGCCATTCTTTGCAGCCACGCTTGCCACGCCGACCCAAAAATCCGTCACATCAATGGATCACTGGATCGCTCCTCGAGGGGGTTGGTTCACTTAATCTTCAAAGAGGCCGCGAAGGAGTTCAGGTAGAGGAGCCAGGGGATCCAAGAAACCTCTGAGGGACAGTTTAGTAACATTTTCTTACTTCAAAGACTCCCTTTCGAAGGAACCCCGTCTTTAGAGCGAAACCGAGTTCTAACATTAGACATGGTTCTACCTTTGAGGCTTACTGGGATATTGTCTCTACTCCCAAGATTTTCAAAGTTCGTACCAACCTACGGTATCGATCAAAATAGGGAAATTAGCAGTTTGTCTAAAGATTGAACTACAACTTAGCTTGATTCTACATATCTATAAGCTTTATAGGTTTACATCTTCGACGTGATAGCCATCACCATCAACCGAAGGAAGCATCTTGAAATAAGGCATATTCAAGCCTCGCTTGTTTCTGGTTGAGAAGAAGGGAGTGTTCTAAAATTATAGATTGATGGCTGCATAACCGTACCGAGGTACTAGCAACCCCAATCTTCCTTGTAAGCCCTCGATACTAGGCCCAGGCTGATGAGCGAGTCGCATTCCCAAACTGAAGCTGGTTTTCATGAGCACCCGCTTATTCACAAGTGAATATGGAACCCGGGCGGGGGTTTAGTGCATGCGGGTAAGAGATTTCTACATGTAGGGAGAGAGCTTGCTTCAAAAGAGAAAAACCATTGAATTTCACCATTGTGCACTGCGTGTATCTTGGAGAAAGCGATCCGGCACGTTTTTCAACACCACATCGCTATTGACACATTGGAAGAAAGGGGGCGTGGTAACAATCTGTCGACTAGCAAGACCCTATGTCATATTGTTTGGACTTGATTTCCCACAGGCCTTTTTATAATATCCACAGACTTCCCTAGAAGGCCTGGACGTTGAAGACGCCATGCCTTTTCCTCCTTATTTCCACAGGTGGGGGATATCCGGTGTTTTCTATTAGGGCCTCTATGACTCTTTGGTACCTTTTTCTTTATTCTTTGGTGGTACAGATACACTATTCTTCCGCGTTCCGGGTGCTCGAGGGTGGAACAGAGAGTGGTCAATCAATCTCCTGTGTACCGCCACCTAGATGCGTCGAGAAGAGAATTCACCTGTGAAATGGGTGAAAAGGAGACAAAACGATGAGGGAAAAGGTGGAAGGAAAAACAAATCCCATCGATACGCCTAGATCGCCCAAAACTTGCATGGAAGAGAACACTCTCTTCTTATGATTTCCCCTTCCCCGTTGTACGGGCAGACCCGCTCACTGCTGCCCCGCCGTGCCGCCAAACCTATCATGAATCGCTTTGATCTGCTCTTCCATCGTCATCCGCTGCAAATGGTTGATGTGCGCCTGGCTCTTGCCGTCCGGATTCCCATCAAAACTATGCGTCGTCGCCGCCTTCTTGCGCCGCGCCTGCTCCTCCTCCGACACCGGTTCGCCTGTCACCCCGTCGAACACGTCCGTCCGTTGGCTAGCCAGCCGCTTGAGGTTGTGCGCCACGTCTACTTGTGAAAGGTCCGTTATCAGGTGGCGTGCGTCTGCTTTGGCTTTTTGTTCTTTCCATCGGGGATCAAGGAGTTCGACTATACGGGAAGCGAAAAAGGAAGCGGTTAGCATTTGTATTCATCGAGCAAGGGTGGGGGGACGGGGGTCGGGTTTGTGTTTTAATTAAAGGCCAGCGTTGGTTAGACTTACTTCTGATATGCTCCTCTAACTCGTCAACGGGGATCATCTGCTTGCAGTACGCGCACAGGGTTAGCGATCCGCCAGGCTTGGCCGGCCGCTGTGCCGCCTTTGGCACGTAGTTCTCCCTGATCCTCATTGGCGCCCCACCCGCCGCACTGGCCTGAGCCTGGTGTGCTCGATCACGGGCCTCAGCTCTTTCGCGTATTCTCTTCTCCTCCTCTTCCTCCTCGGCTGCTCGTCGGCCACCGACCGGCGGCACAGGCAAAGACGATACAGTAGACGGTGTCGGGGTGTGAGATGGCATTGCGCCAGGGTAGGAAGGTCCCGCAGGATACTGTGGCTGCGGGGCGGGGTGGCTAGGCGCGTAGCCTGTGTGGACGGGGAGGGAAGGGTTGGTGGGCGGCGGGAGCGTGGATAGGAGTATCTTCGTCGGTGGGCATGGCCTCCTCGATGCGCATGCTCGGGTTGATGGAGAGCTTATTCTTCTCCTCGAGCGAGGCGTACTGTAGGTCGGATAGCGTGGTCGGGGGCGGCAGGTTCGCCGTGGCGTCAGATTGCGTGAAGGTGATGGTCTCGACGACGACAAAATCGTTCCAATCGATCCGCTCAAATTCGCGCTGCTTCTCCTCCTCCTCCTCCTCCTTCTTAGCCTTCTCCATTTGCTCATACTTGGCATACTCGGCCCGCTGCCTCGCCCGCGCAAGAACATGGTACTTTTCGTCGACGTTGCGCTTGAGTTCCGCCACGCGCTCCTCCTTAAGCTTGCCCCCTTCGCCCGTAAGCCCGTGCCCTCGGATTAGTGTTGCGTACTGGTCCACCAGGTGCTGGAAGAAACTGTGGAAGGTGTGGCTCGGGATCAGGAACTGGAACTGCGCATTGCCTGCCTCCCGTTGCGCCAGCGTCGTCATCCACTGTCGTCCGTTGCGCGCCACGAACATGGCCGTCACCCGAATCACCTCTAGATCCTTTTGGTTCAGGCGTGGCATGCGGGCCGAGAACTCAAAATCCGGTGGTTTCGGGGGACCCTTAGGCTTCTGCTCCGCCGTCGCTGCTTCGTTTGCGCGTCCTGCCGCGATGGCGGTACCGCGCCCAGCCCGGATCTCGTCGAGCCGCCATTGGTAAAGGCGTGGTAGGCATCTTGGGGGTTTAGAAAGCTGAACTTGGGGTTCTGCTCTTCTTTTCTCGTATCCTATCTTCGAATACAGGACCGTTTCGCGCCACGTAGCCGGCCGTCTTCTCGAGCACATTACGGATTTCGCGGGGAGGGAGAACGATGCCGGCGGGTGGCTTAAACTCGTCGAGGACAACGGCGGCATCGCCGTTTGCCACTGCCGCAGCCATTGAGGAGCCGTTCGAATCGAGTTCTATATGCTCTGCTCTACGCGGACTATTATTTCCAAGCGCGTGACGTGAGAGAGCTCGGCGGTAGACTGAAGTAAATGCTGAATGACCGTCGTTCGTGGATGAAATGCGTCGAAAAGCGTGTCAAGTCTACAGCACGCGAGGCGGATAAAAATCCCAGCATGCAAGCAAAGCTCCAACCTTTCTGATTCGGTACGTACCAGACCAGTAATAGTACGTACCTCTCATCATCACGACGGGGACTCAGGCACTCAATTTGATTGAGTCACGTGATAGATCTAGAGCTGGTGGCTCCAGTCCGATCCGAGGGCTGTCCTCACAAATATACAGCCGTCGACTTCAACACTTGGTTCTTCACTTTGACATGATGTGGCAATATGTTGAACATGTGGAATTGGTTCCATGATTACATCTACCTTACATTCCCGCGCCGAGTTATCAAAGACGAAACCCCCACTCAAGAAAGGGATGCTCCTTGGTCAAGGCTGGTCTTTGTCGCTCCAACTTCTATGAGCACGACATATGATAGCAACTGGTAACAAGTTGAAACAATGCATGTGTTAGCTTAGCTAATAACCTACGAGACATCAAGCATGCACAGCCATTCTTGAACCACAAGTTTCATTTTATTGGCCCCCTTCATCCTCCTGCTGCACCTTTCCGCGCAGCGAGATTGGCGCAAAAGAGGCCACTCCTATCCTTTCTCTTTTGAGACTGCCTTTCTCCTTCTTGCGAACACCCTCCTTTAAACATCATCTGCTCCCTCGTAATTCTTCCCTCCCTTTTACGATAGGTATTTTCGGTGCTATTCTTCTTCTTCTCTTCTAGCCTGTCATTTCCTCCCTATTTTCTCAACAAGAACGAACCAACACAGTTCTACCCCAGGATCCTCCATCGCATCCCACCTTTGGCTCACTGCGCTACATTGTCCCTCTCGTACCAACCACAGGGCCCAACTCCAAGGCCACGTTCCTCCTTCGATTGGTAGTGCATTAATAGAAACTGCTGCCTTCCACCAGATTCCCGAAGCGTCCGGATAGTATCGAATTTTATCTTCAACTACGATCTCGTCTTGTACAATTTTCCCCCCTCAGCGATCGCCCATACCTCAGTGTGCTTTTGCCGCTGTTGCCTCGTTGCGAAATCCTTTTTCATTCAACAAAACGGGGGCATGCTCCTGAGACGAAACATTTTGCGATAACGATCAATTTATCCTTTACTGAAGCGGCGCCCCATCCGAGACAAAACACGTCCTCCGGCCTGCAGGGTTCGGTACAGAACAACGCGCAAGAAGGGTGTTTTGAATGCCGACGTACCGATTCTGCAATTCGCCGCGCGTGACACACAGTCCTCACATCCCTCATTCACTCAACGAATAAGTAGAGGGGACCTCAGCAACCGTTAGGCGCAAAATTTACCAACGAACCCGACCAAGTCCCTTCCTTGTATAACAATGGCTGTGACGGCGATACAGGACAGGACTTCCGAGTTCAAGGCGGTCCTCGCGCAGGCGCAGAAGCGCCATGCCGCGGGCAAGGTGGGAGCGCAGAGACGATCACTCCTCACGGACTCGCAAAAGGCATCGGCAAATGGCGCGGCGTCGAGCAAATCTGAGTTCGCTAGGAGAGCGGCGGAAATTGGACGCGGTATCGCGGCCACGATGGGGAAGCTAGAGAAGTTAGCCCAACGTACGTGATATCTCTTACCCGCCCGGCACAACCGGAGGAACGAATCTGCAAGCCCGCTCCCACGTTCCTTCTCTTTGTACGAACTCCTAAAGGTTTATGGCCACTAACTTCTTTTTCCCTTTGTTCCCCTATAGTGGCTAAGCGACGTACCCTCTTCGACGACAGGCCGGTAGAGGTGAACGAACTCACATACATCATCAAGCAAGATCTTGCGTCGCTCAACAAGCAAATTTCGGGGCTCCAGGAGATTACGAGGCATCAACAGTCGAAGGGCAATCAAGAGGGGAGCACAACAAGAATGTGGTATTCCTGCTGCAGGAGAAGCTGACAGACGTGTCGGTCAACTTCAAGGATGTGCTCGAAGCGCGCACCAAGAACGTACAGGCTTCGCGGTCGCGGACGGAGAATTTTATCTCTTCCGTGTCGCAACATGCGCAGCCGCCCCTACAGCAGGCTTCGGCATCACCCCTCTACGGTACTCCCAAACCAGGGACGCCGGCGCCAGGAGGCGCAGCAGGCCTCCTGCCCCCGGCCAGAGTAGTGGTGGTGATCTACTCTCGGTGGAGCCGGTCAGCGACAGGCAGCTCCTCATCATGGAGGAGGGGGATCAGCAAAATGCGTACATTCAGCAGCGTGGGCAGGCGATTGAGGCGATCGAGAAAACGATTGGCGAGCTAGGCAGCATCTTTGGGCAGCTCGCCACGATGGTGCAGGAACAGGGAGAGATGGTGCAGCGGATCGACGCCAACACAGAAGACGTGGTGGATAACGTGGAAGGGGCACAAAGAGAGCTGCTCAAGTACTGGTCAAGGGTGTCAGGCAACCGCTGGTTGGTGGCTAAGATGTTTGGCGTGCTCATGATTTTCTTCTTGTAAGCGGCCACCCTCCGCTCTTCCCTTCTCACCCGTCCTATTTGACGTCCTGTTGCGTTTTCACCTCTGGTCCTTGAATGGTTGCTGACAAAATCTTCTCCTTCACAGGCTTTGGGTATTGATCGCCGGTTAACGCCCGCTCTTGCCCCATAACTTGTCAACTTTTGACCTGAGGATCAGGATGGGACACTAGCCTTTGTGGTCTGTAGCTAAGCGGGGCCATTCCGTAGTTCAGAACCATCACCTCGGTATAAAGGGACCCGAGGGGGGTATCGTGGTGATTTTGTGGATAGAAGGGCGGAAAGAAAGCGAAGGCATCATCATTGCGAACAACTATGGTATCTATATGTATTTTTTTCTCATCTTATAATCGGGCCCTCGGAGGCAACAAAAGGCGTCGCCCTTTTTTTCTTATGTTTTTCTTTTTCTTTGTATATTATTTCCCCCAACGAACCACGGGCAAAACAACAGCTCGGCTTGCGGAATCGAAGCTCGGCTCAAGCAGATAGAAATCTCGAAACAACTAGTCGTCCCATTTAGGAGTCTATGGAAAAGGGTGGCGTTTGTTGTCGTACCCTTAGGGAGCATTCCTTTCGTCATGTGTATGCGTGTGTCACGGTAGAGGAATGTGGATTCAAATTCGTCAGGCTGATAGGTGGAAATCAAATCTCCGGCGCTTATACAAGGCATCCCGCGAGCTTTCTTCCTTGACCTTTCGTTTTGCCCCCGTTTTTATGTGGCGCGGAGCTTGCAAGCGGTAATGTGCCGGACTAAACAATCATTGATCGCTCTAATGGTGCGTGGAGGGGTGAGGCGGCTTTGTCCAGGCCAGCAGCCTGGAATAGCTGAAGGGCCACCTTGAGGCGATAGTGCCGTGTCCTCGTCGACAGTTCTCTTCGACGCTCGAGATGCTCTTTCAGGTTAGAATTACATGTTTGGGATCCATGCTTCACGACATCAACCTCGGGTGATCCAAAGAATCTGGACCACGGGGAGGGTTGGATCACTAATAAGTTACATTTAGCATCCTTGCCCGGGTTTCGTGCTCGTCGACTAGCGCCCAGCCCCAACCCGGGATCGAAGAGAAAGGGTAGAGAAAATGAAAGATCCATCCATCGGGTGTGCTGTTCCAAACATAAGAAAACCCCCACCTTTCTTCCCACGCCGGGCCCCCATCTTCTTCCACCAGTTAGAGCAACCCCGCCCCCGAGCATCGTTGATCGTCAACTTGGCTGGGAGGTCGTTAAACCGACACGGCTTCATACACCAACGTGTTGGATTTTCTTTTTCCCAAAGCTTTCTTCGGTTTCTTGTCTACTTCATTCTAGTCGTGACAAACGAGTCACGGGCGTTTATGAGGAGAGTGAGTGAAATAGAGGGTCAGAGAGTGGGGGAGGGCTGGATGGAGAAGGGGTGGTCGCTTGTTTGAAGGGGAGATTTTGCAAGAGATGGACGGGCTGTGAGAACCAGAAACAAGAGGGTCGTTTTTCTCGTAACGATATTATTCTTTTCTTTTTCCCCTACCTTTTCCTAAGCCTTTACTTCATTGTGCCCCCAGTCGACTTTCACGGCAGTAAGTAGTAGCTCTCTTCCGTGAAAGACTGGTGGATCCGCATTCACTTTTGCCTAATAGACGGCCTGGGCGCTGGGCCAAATCCCGACTCAAAGTACCCAAAACAAAGGAGGAAAAAAAAAGAAAAAAAAAAAAGGTTCAGAACTACTCCTTTGCAAGGGCCCGCCGGCACATCAAGAGGGGCGAGGGGAGCTAGAGGGCAAGTTCCAAGGATTGGTTACTTGGGAGGTCCCTCAAGTGCGCCCTCTCTTCGCTGCGAACTTCAGCGAGCTCCCTAAGCTAAGAGTAACATTGAACTTGATTGTCGCTGGGAGCCTTCGTTTCCTAGGGACATATAGATACCATAGAATAGATCTGTAGACGTAGTCAACGATGCAACATAATCTGAGGACAGAGCACAGTAGGAAGGTGGGGAAAGTAAAGGCAATGACCCATTCCATTGAATTGATCAAGTACAGGACAATTTGAACTAAAGAGGGGCAGAAAAGGAGGGGTGTAGAGAGAGAAACATAAAACACATCAACCATCAATAATACCCACACTCGGCACACACATGTAGACACACACGCATACACAAACACAGAATGAGAGAGGGGTGGAGCGACGGGAAGCGGGATGATACCATTATGAATGGTGATGTGCGCGTCTGTGTGTAGGGAACGCTGGATGAATGCATATCAAGTATACAAACACTAAGAGAAAAGGGGAGGGGGAAGTTCCAAAGATAAAAGAGGGAATTAATAAGTCATTTTGGAGGGGTTGTTTTTCCTTCCCTTTCTCCTTGTTCCCGGCCGTCCCTCTTTTGGCCTCGGAGGAAGTAGCTACCAAATAGATGGATATATAAGAAGCCGTCGATGCCACTTTTCCGGCGATCAAGGTCACTACAGACCCCATTCTGCAAACCTGGATTGCACGTACATGTAAAATCTCTCCGAGACGAGACCAAAATCCCCACGCGACAAATTCCATTAGGCGAGTTGAGACGCAAACAAACTGTCATTGTTAGACGTTGCATCTTCAGTAGTTTACGTAGAAACGATCACCAAGATCTAGGAGCTTGGGGGAAAAGAGTTGCATTCGCCAACAACCACGAGACACACGCCTACAGCACATATTCACACGTCACAACGTACTACCAAACCGACACGATGGCGGACAAGACTTTCAAGCTCAATACCGGGGCCGAGATCCCAGCTCTGTGCTTTGGTACGAACAAGCTGCCCTTCTTTCATGGCTTTTCTCCCCTTAGCCCCCACCATTTCCCTTTCCTACCATCTTATCCTCTTCTTCCCCCGACATTTGATCCCCTCTCACCGACAAGGGGAGTGGGTCAACCTACAGCAATACGAGGCCAATCTTGTGTTCCTCGTCATCCCTTCTCCCTTGATTCTTCATCACCACTCACCATCCACCACATCACACCCTCTCTTCCTCTCTTCAATGATGGCTTCAATGATGGCTAGGCTAACATGGGCAACTTGACGCCTTTCTATAGGTACCTGGCAAGGTGAGGGCGACAAGGTCAAGTCAGCTGTATCCTACGCTCTGCAGAACGGGTACAAGGGCGTAGACTGTGCGTACTGCTACGCCAACGAGGATTCGGTGGGCGCCGGCCTGGCCGAGGCATTCAAGGCGGGCGTCAAGCGTGAGGACATCTTCGTGACGAGCAAGGTCTGGTGCACTTACGTCAGCTCGCCCGAGCGCGTCGTTGAGAGCTTGGAGAAGAGCCTCAAGGCTCTAGGCCTCGAATACCTTGACCTCCTCATGGTACACTGGCCCGTCGCCATGAACCCCAAAGGCAACCACGACAGGTTCCCCACATTGGAGAACGGAAGCAGGGATATCCTCCACGGCCACTCACACATCGACACCTGGAAGAACATGGAGTTGGTCTTGCAGACGGGCAAGGTCAAGGCCATTGGTGTTTCCAACGTAAGGTTCCTTTTTGTTTTTCTTCTCCTATTCTCTACCCGTACAGGTAGACGAGAGCTCCCTAGGTCATGTAGGCTAACTTGAAGGAACCCCAATGAACTGGGGTAAATGATGCAAACGTATCTAGTATAGCAAGCGTTACCTTGAGCAGCTTCTGCCTCATGCCACGGTCATCCCTGCCGTCAACCAGATTGAGAACCACCCCTCGCTGCCCCAGCAGGAAATCGTTGACTTCTGCAAAACGAAGGGCATTCACGTCATGGCCTACAGTCCTTTTGGCAGTACGGGAAGCCCCATGTTCACCGCCGAGCCGGTCGTCAAGGTGGCTGAGAGGAAGAGCGTCGCCCCCGGTACCGTCCTCCTTAGCTACAACGGTAAGCATTCCCCGTTACCTGCTGCTTTATGTCCCCTTGCCAGCCTTACCCTTTGCTTCTTCTTCTTCTCTTCGTACGGGCCAAGAACACAATAGCAAGATATGACAAAAGCCCGCTGGCTAACCATCTAATCTCCCATCAGTCGCCCGCGGAAGCACCGTCATTGCCAAGTCTGTGACCCCCGAGCGCATCCAGGAGAACCTCAAGATTGTCGACCTGGACAGCGAGGACCTCGATATCCTCGACAACTACTCCAAAGACCTCGCCCAGAAGGGCGAGCTTAAGCGCTATGTCTACCCGCCTTTCGGGATCGATTTCGGCTTCCCCGACAAGTCTTAGGAGGATTGGCCTGTTGTGAGATAGGTTCCGTATATATAGAGAGATATGAATCAATGTCGGAAGCAAAAAGTATTCTGGCGGTATTTACACCCATTCCACATATACATCCAATGTAGCCTCACTGTGCAGAGTAATAGGGATGTGCGATGCTGCCCACCGATAAAATAAAGAAAGAAAGGGTGAGTAATAACACCTATTAAACTCCAGATGAGGAAATCTAGTGTAAGGGCCCAGCAGGCAGCATCTTGAACCCCTATTCAATTCTAATGGTTGGCCGGTGTAATTCCTTTTGATGTGTGACGACTGGAGAACCGTCTGGTCTCAGTAGGGTCGCCAGCATGGAAAGGAATTGTTTCCAATATTAGAATCATGGATCTATCTATGGATAGATATCTTCTTTTACAATTGAACCCATTATATATTTCTCGACTTATCCATAAATCCAGTCCTTTTCACCAAACTTACCGATTGATCCATTGCCCCTAATTTATCCCAATGTGCCCCTCCGACTCTCAGTGCCAACTTTCACCAGCCATTTTTTGGTCAAGGGTCTGGTCTGGTGTCTGTTGTAGTACTTGCCTTCCCCCACTTGAGCTCAGTGCTCTTACCCCTCCCCCACTCTTAGAAGCCCAGCTCCGCGCCTTCTCGGTCACCTAATAACCCGAGCCCCTCCTGATTCACCCCACGTTCAACAAGCATTCCCCAAGGGAAAGTAGGAAAAAGGAGAAAAAAGAACCACTGACAGAGGATTGATAGAAACGGAGAGAAAAAAGCGGTTCTTGCTGAAAAGGAAAAAGAAAAAGCTATGTCGGGAAACCTCTTCTCGCTCGAGGGGAATACCGCGGTGGTCACGGGCTGCACCCGGGGTATCGGCCAGGCCATTGCGATCGGACTGGCCGAGGCCGGTGCCGATATCCTCCTCATCCAGGTGAGCTTCGCGCCGCCAATGAAACCTGCGCGATGCACCCTAAGGTGGCTCTGGCCACTTATACGGAAAACCACGCTTGGTTGTGTATTGGCAGCGGGGAGAGGCTAACATGAAGTCACAGCGGGATACATCCAACACGTCAACCAAGGAAGCCATCGAGGGGCTTGGCCGTAAGGCCACCATTTACACCGCTGACCTCACCATCCAGGAGCAGGTTGCCTCCCTGGCCTCCCGAATATTCGCCGACGGCCACCAGGTCCGTATTCTCGTCAACAACGCCGGTGTCCAGCGTCGCCACCCAAGCGATCAGTTTCCGGACGCCGACTTTAACGAGGTATGTGTACCCCCTTCTATTCCTCATCTTCCACGTTTGTGGCTATTACTAACACGATGGACTTTGCTCTTCTCTTCTTTCCTCGCGGGTGGATAGGTCATCCAAGTCAACCTCAATGTCGTCTTCACTCTGTGTCGCGACTTTGGCAAGCACATGCTCTCCCTGGACCCTTGCCCCACCACCGGTCGCCGTGGCTCTGTCATCAACATGGCCTCCCTTCTCTCCTTCCAGGGTGGGCTCACTGTTCCTGCCTATGCCGCCTCCAAAGGCGCAGTTGCCCAGCTGACCAAATCCTTCGCCAATGAGTGGACCGCCCGTGGCGTTACCGTCAATGCTATCGCCCCTGGTTACATCGCCACCGACATGAACGAGGCCCTCCTCGCGAACCCCGAGCGCCTGCGCAGCATTAACGAGAGGATCCCCGCCGGCCGGTGGGGCACCCTGAGGACTTCAAGGGGTCCGTTGTGTACCTCGCCGGCAGGGCGAGTGCTTATGTTTCGGGCCACGTATTGGTAGTAGATGGCGGTTGGATGGGGAGATAAACGCGGACACCAAAAAGTGGGGGACGTATAGGCGTTGTCGAGAATAGTGCTATGGGGAGAGACTTATATAAGTCTGCAATTTTATCAACCTAGAAGCTATAGAATACATGCACGGCTCCTTCTTGGCCCCCTATGTTGTTGCTAGGCAAGCTTTCCACCCTTTACGCCTTCCTCACAGACTCCATGACACTTTCCATCCAAGGATATACGGCTCCGTTGGCCATCGGATACCCCATGTGCAGAGCACCAGGGAAGAATCTAGCTTCCTTGGGTGACCCGTGCTCGAAAAGGAGCATAGAGTCCTCAATGGGCATGAGTCCATCGAGAGTTCCCTGTTATCACGGTCGTCATGATTAGATACCGCTTTTACGATGAACCATGGGTTTGGGGTTTTTTCCCCTTCTTGCCCGCACTTACGTTAATGAGAAGCAGCCGTGTCGACGGCTTCTGAAGGATTCCGGTGTCTAGAAGCGAAAACCTCTTCTGCGCTTCTTCTTTGTAAGCCTCGACAGACTCAAAGCCGTGCTTCATCGCCAGGGCTGGCGTAAGTCTAGATATTTTTAAGTTTTTAGTGCCATTCCCTTTCCAATTTTGAAGAAAATCGGGAAAACAGAAAGCAGACAGGACGGTGGAACTATGGAAAGAAGAGAATGGGGGAGTCGGGGATAGCTTCTCTCACGGAAGGCCACTGTCTAACTTACTTGAACGGGTACTCGTGCCCATCTGCCTTGTCCAACCACTCTCTATCGAAAAAGTAGTGACACCCTGCGCCTTGGGCAATCACCCCTACCAACCGGTCTGCATGCGTGTGCGCGATACGGATGGCGTAGTACCCGCCAGAACTCAAACCCCACACCATGACCCTGCTCATGTCGAAGCGGCCGTCCGTAGCCATCCACTCCAGTACGCTTTCCCACATGCGGTCCGGGCTCGCCGGGTCAGCCGGGTCCGCGGGACAGTCTGCGGTGCCGGGAATCTCGACCACCACGCTCGCCCACCCGCGTGCGAGGAACTCGTCGCACCGCACAGTATTGTCAGGCCGATACCCGTCAAGGCCCGTGATGAGAATTACGACGGGGCAGCCCCCGGGGTGGTGGCCTGGGAGCGCGGGACGCGTACGTAGGCGGGGATACCGGCGGTATCATCAATCCCGTGGCGGTCGAGGCCCGCGGCGTGGGAGAATGGGATGGCAGTCTCTTCGACGGGCGATTCCCAAAGGGCGCCTGCCTTCATGTACACGCGCTTTTGCTCCTCCCACGCGCGCCACTTGACAGGGCAGTTGGGCGAGGGGAAGCCTGTGATGTAGGGAAAGCGTGCGATGCGTAGGACGCAAGCCGCGCGGAGGTAGTAGGCGCTGGCGAGCGTCTGGTCTCCTGAGGCGAGAGCCTGGTCGCCGGACGCGCTGAGGGACGCGGCTACTGGGAAGAAGGCTTCGGTGTACTCAGGGGATGTGCCATCGTTAATATTATTCTAGATCAACGCTCTTATTAGTGGGGCAAGAGGGACGGGGGTGGTAGATTGACGACAAATATGTGCGGGCTGTGTGGAATGAGGGGAGAGAAGGGAGACTTGCGATGATGAGGTGTTGGAAGACAGGGTCAAAGTCTTCGAATTGCCCATCATGGAACGGGTAAACGCTCTTAGTGCACTGTCTCCCGTGATGTTTAGCTTCCTTAATCAACGATTTCTCTATCCAATAACGCGACCGCGTTGGGTGCGCAAACGAACCGGAAACCTCCACTTCGTCTCCCACAGCTGCTTGATCCCGTCGTGGTGTTCCATTCTCCTCTCAAACGCCTCCGTTCCCATAATCCACATCTTCGACGCGGCCGGTCCCTCAGCTGTGGTCGGGTAAGCCATGGAAGAGCCGGGGCTTGCGGACCTGCGCTGGCTCGTGCGACGGGGAAGGAGATCTGAAAACGAGAAGGAGAAGGGCATCTTATGCTTTGATTAAGCAACGACACGTGTGAGAGTTTGTCTGGTAAAGAGCCGTCGGCCGGCGGGGGTAACGATGGGCGTCACTTGTGTTCGTCGGCGGAGCCTTTGGGTGCGGGTCCTTCCTTCACCGTCGAGAAGAACGCTATTATCGTGTGGTGGGTGAAGAGCCCCTTTTGTCAGTTCCTGTCTTTTGTTCGGCTCCGACGTGGTTGGAAGGAACACTTAAGAGATGAACAAGGAGGGGAGTGCAAGTACGCCACAGGAGAACGCAACAGGAGCTTCAGGGTGGAGGGTTAAGGGTTAAGACGGGAACGAAAACGAACCGTGCCTGCAGCGAAGCAATCCTCACCCGCGCAAAGGCAAGATGCAGGTCGTCCAACATGTAGGGTACTGCGAACCAGGATACGAGACCAATCCTGTTAAAAAGGAAAGAAATAGGGTCGGGTGAAAAAGCAAGTGCTACAGAAACGGCCAACCTAGCGCGCGCTAGTGAGCTATGACTTCCAAAAGCAAGTAATAATCACCGCCTCGGCCGGGAGAAGCAACTAACCCAGGAAAAAGAAAGAAAAGAAGTAATTTGATCAGACAGCCCAGTTGCTTATTCCAGAAAGGATTTCTTTTGACTATAAAAACGACGGCTGTAGCGAGGATGGGGGAACAGGACCCTCTTTCGACCAAGGCATCGAGTCGGTATCCCCTCGCCCCGCCATCCCGCAAACGCGCAGCACAACCAAGGCCACGATGACGCAGCGCGTAAGCATCCTTTGCCATGTTGGGTTGAAGGGTTGGGAAGCACGGCGCTGGCGGGCCTTTGGGGATGTCCGGGCGGGTGGTCTACCCTGAACCAACCACACCAGCATCCAGGGTCATGCCCGCAGGCCCGGACCCGCTCCGGGCTGAGCGTCATCGGACTGCCCCACCAGGACCCACCCAGCGCCGAGCTCTTGAAAAAGGCCGACCGCTATTTTGGTCTCGCCGTAACACGAACGTCGCCCCTCGACGCATCTAGAATAGTAAGTGACGATACGTGTCATGAAGCTGTAGCGTCGGAGGAAAGTAACCTCAGACAGGCAAATTCTTTCCACTTCTTCCTTTTTCATCTCCTTGGCGAGCCTTAGCTCCGATCCCCTCCCCCGTGCCTGTTTGTACTGCGGTGTCTCTTTCACCCTCGCCTCTAGGTCGAGGTCACTACCAGGGACGGTCAAAAAGACTTCGATGTCTTCCCCGCCTTCTGTCCCATATCGGCAACAGGTTAGTGCTCAATTAGGAAACAGAAAAAGCAAAACAAGACATTTCCAGGGCTCTTTCCACCCTCGCACCGTCCCCTCGAGTGAGGGACGCAGGAGCTTTCCAGTTCTTATAATTTGGCCTAATTTCTTTTAGGTGAGACACGAGATTATATCCGTCTTCGCCTCAATCCTGAACTACCTTCAGCCTCTCTCGGTCCCGATATAAATACAGGGCCAAGAGGGCTTTGTATATGTATGGACGGATATCGAGCTCCCCGAGGTGAGATCTGTCCGCTCCGCGTGCATGCTTTCTATCCGGTGGGGCCGTGTGCCATTTCGAGATACATAGGAATTGTTTGCCGCTTGCCTCTTTTAGTCCTTACACCTCTGAAACACGGTCATTTATTGGTTTATTTCCGCTCTCCGATCCTCGGTTCCTGTGGCTGAGAGTCAACACGGTGGACAAGGATCTATCCACCGGGCCTTGGGACGTCAAAGTCCGAAAAGAGCGTTTTTTTCTTTTCTTATCTTTCTACGGGCGAGGACTCGAGAGAGACAAGTGACTCTCGATGAGACTGACAATAGGGGAAAATCATTGAAACGAAGGGTAGATGATCGAGGTGGCAAGTCACATAAAATCAAAGCGGAGTATATTCCCATACCCCACATGCAATGCCGGTCTTCCCCACAACATGAGACCTAGAGGACATCATCGAAAGTCGAGGCTAGCTCATTACTCAGCTTCTAAATCTAGGGCGGAATATGCACCTAGATTCCAATCCCGCCCTGGAAATGTACTCTGGAGCAAAGGTAACAAACAGCACGAGACTCCTGTTCTAGCCATTTACACTACCAGTGCATGTTTCCGAGTGCCCCGACCTACCTTGGGTTACGAGAGGTAGACACATTGTAGGCCTTCCTCGACTCTTGGGTCCTCTCAAACACCATCGAAACGTAGGTGATGCCAACCTATACATATGACTAGTCATCGAGCCTATATACCCAAGTTTAGTGTATACCGACGTCAGGCCCCAAGCCCCACAGAATAGCGAGCTCCCAATCGCCTCAAACGACGCACAAATACCCAACCCGAGCAGCCATAGTGAATGAGATATTCCGCCATCCAGAATTAGTAGTGCATATCTCAAAAGCCGGGAGGCTTGCACGGCCCTAACTCGAAACTAAGCCCGAAATTAAACTTCGTCGTGCGCTTGCTAAGCCGGCGGAGGTAGTCCATTAGTGAGGGCCTGAGAGATCCGATTTCGCATTCTCCCTATATCAGCCTCCCGCTTATCGTAGTCTATCTGCGCCAGTGGCTCGTAAGAAATGGTGTATTCAACCTATGTCTGTTGGCCGACAGTTGCCTCTGAGAACACTTTTTGTTTCGTCTATCTACGTCTCTATACGTCACAGTTTGACAGGTCTGCCGGGGCCTAGCGGTCTGGGCCACACTCCCCGACCAGGAACAGGGTTAGGCTTGTTTTCCATAGGCCTATTTCTCATTGTATCCATGGGGTGTTCTATTTCTTTTAGTAGGATTCCACAAGCCCGGTGCAGTATCCATTGGCTGATAGGTCCTTTCTCGCCAGGGGGATAGGAGGCATCATGCGTACATCCCATTCCCTCAAGCGCTCCATGTTCACAGCCTCCCCTCTAACACAAACACCAAATAAGAATCAGTCCCAGTTGCTAGCCATGATATGAAACGAAATGAGAAAATGACGAAAGGACAGCCAACTTCGTCCAAACTGCTGTGGCAGTGTCCCTAGATGGGTTTTCCGGCTAAGACGCATCTTCCGTGCCCAGCGATCCTCCAGGTTTGGGCCAGAATAGCGGGTATTGTGTGCATGTGACTAGAAACCGGAATGACAATACCAGGCTAGACAAAGCGGAATAAGAGAGTAGGAAGAAATTAAGAGGATTTACTCTTGGATCCTTCGTAGTAGTGTGCCATCTGCAGGCCCGCTCTCTTGAAGCCGCACTTGATGTAGAAGCCCTCGTTGGCGGCGCTGCAGTCGAGAATGCTCTTGTAGCAGCCCACCTTCTCGGCAACGTAGTCGAGGGCCTGGATAATTCTAAGGCCAAGCTTCTTTCCTTGCTGGTCCTTGGCAACAGCAATGTCCTCAATATGACCGACTTGGCCAAGATTGTGGATGCTAAGGGAGGGAGAGCAAGATTAGTCGAAGAACTCATAGAGTAAGATCTGGAACTGCAGAGGTCAAGGCAAAGCATACAATTTCTTCTCTACAATCAGGGCACCAGTTCCCACAACGACGCCCCTCGATGTGTCCTCAACAACGAGGATATAGTATCCGTCCTGTCCTGCCATCCACTTGTACCTCTCATCGAAGGCTTCGCGGGTGATATCGCCCACGGTAGTCAGCACACGTAAGCAGTCGAGGAAGCCGGTCTCGTAATCGCCGGGGCGGAGGGCGCGGACTGTGTAGCCCTCGGGCAGGGACGAGGCCACCTCGGGCGAGACGAGGTCAGCGGAGAAAAGCCCGTCAGACATTTTGGCAGAAGGTGGCTAATTTGTGCGTTGTGGGAGGGGAAGGAGAGGCAACGAGGTCTCTGGGTGATTTCGAGTAACTGACTGCTGAAAAGTCAATTGAGTTTTCTAGCAAGGCGCCGGCTAGCGGAGGGAGGCTGGATCGGGGAGTAAATCTTCAATGGTCAAGGAGCTGTCTGTCAGCATGCTAAGCCACGACACTTCAGGAAGGAGGGGTAAAATGGACTGCGCGCACCAATGTGGGGTATCGGCGGGGCAATTGAGCTGAGCGGATGTAAAGAGCTGGGAAGGTGGGGGGGTCGGCCCTAGTGTGTTCAAGAATTTGAACCGAACAGCGCCTTTTGCTCCTGGCGCTAGAGTAAAGTAATGTAATGAAGGGAGTGATCTCTCATGAATGCCTTACTACTGTTGACACGTGGTGGGCTTTGTATCTATTGATGTCGACGAAAAGTGAGGATATCATATAGTTTATTCCAAGCAATTTACGATGAACGGCCTCAGAATTCTCACCCATGCCGAAGTCATCCAGAACAACACATTTATGCCATCTCAGTATTAAAGTATCGTAACCCCTGAGCTCTTGCAGCCTAATATAGGATACCTAGATATATACCTTATATCTGTATGATGTGGTTTTCCTTACCCACGTCGTCTTGTCACATTGCGACGAACATGGCCTGGAGAGCCTTATTCAAAACCGACCCCAGGGCACCGAGAGCTGACTTTGACAACCCTGGCGCCGTGGCTACCTCCATGCCGTTTAAGCGATAGCGTAAGTGAATGGCCCATAAACAATACATGTAACCTGTCCAGATTCTTTCAGTAAGCAAATTTGGCCCGCATTCGGTCACCGGTGTCTGGATTTCCAGGGATTGACTGTGCTTCGCTGAGCTTGGGAAGGCCCATTGTTGTTCCCCGTTTACCTGGACAACAAAACTTTGCGACTTGGCTCCATTTCCCCCACCTGCACTAATCAGAAATCCAGAAGTTGAGCCTGAAGTAGTCGACGAAACATTAGGAGTGTGTGAGCTCGTATTCCAAGGGTTGTGAGTCGTAGCCCCAAGATGCTTACAGTTAAGCTCTGATGTATCTAATGATGGTAGATGGCTTTTCGGGGACACACTCCTATGCGTAACTTCTCCAATATTCTGAATGTAGATCGTTTTGGAGTGGCTTGAGCTAGCTCTTGAATTGTAACCAAGCAGACGCTCCCATTCACTCCAATCTTTCGACTATATATGGAAAGCTCTCCCTGCTCGGCTTGGACCTCAAGGCAAACCATAAGATTACTAGCAGTCTTCCAGTTTAGACAGGCCAAAGTGTGCCCAGAGGCGGTCGTTAGAAGCTGGACAGGAAGTCGTAGACCGCGGGATGTCATTCCAGGTACATTGAATCGAACATCAGCATTCGTGGCTAACATTGCCTTCGATGGACCCATTTGTAAGTTGGTACTCTGTATGTCTGAGAATTGGAATGCGTCAGATGGATCTACCCTGAAAGCTTTAGGGTCGAGAGCGAAGGGCCCAACTGTAGTGGCACCAAGCATCGAGGGGAGCTTATCGAGGCGGAAGACCTGCCTCTGAGGACCCCACAGCAATAGTGATAAATCCCCTGTGCCCTTCAAGATCTCTTCCTGGAGTCTAATGAAGGAAAGCCTTCCTTCCCCATATATAAGTGGCATATTCACTCCGAACAATCCAAGGAGTGAATATGCCACGTCCTCGACCTTGGTTGTCTTTCGCTCCGCAGCCCATGACATGATTTGAGCGGCATTACATATCGACGGGGGCCCCGCTCAACACGCGCTGGTCTATTCCCGTAATGTCGCAAAGCACCTCTGTTAGGGAGGCCCGGGTGCCAATCTCTGTCCAATCTAAGGCGTAAAACTCCACTGCGTGAGGCGCAATAAGCGGTTGAAGCGTCCAGGCACAGGTAAACCATCGACTCTTGCAAAATTTATCCGAAGGTTGCCAGTGCCACTTCTCGTCTCGATTCCGAATGGACCCCTTTAAGGTGAAGGATCCCGCTTCTGCTGCCGTAGGCACATCGGTGAGATAGGCGTAGCATACTGATGCCTCACGATGCCATCGGTACATTGAATTAATGGCCTCGGTGAGCTCAGAACTGCTTGTTCTATCGATACTAGCATGCTTGATGTGAGTCTATTGTTTGAATGAAAGCTAAGAATTAGATGCGTAGCTTGTCTAGGCACATACCAGCAAGTATCCATCCACGCGTAGGAGAAGCCGTCCGCAAGTGCTTTTGCACAAAAGGACCAAATCTTGTCCATGCCTTTCCCAACTTTCCCACCCTGTTGGAGGCTCGTGGTCGGTGTTGGTTGCAAAGCAACATAATCTTGAAATGTTACTTCATCACCGGCCCAAGTGTGTGATAGTATGGCGTATGGGTGGGGAGGTAAATCAGGAAATACCTCCAACCTTCCAGTTTGGGTGTTGATGACTCTCATGGTGACAGTGTAGGTCGAAACAAGGGCTCACTTCAAGTTGTCCAAAGCAACAAAAACGGATAGATCGTGAAGCATAGATATAAGGAATAGGCCGCTGTGCTCAGTATATAATATAGCCTTAAGACGCAGAGCTAATGAGGAAACGATGAGGAGCGGGGACTTGCTTCTTGGGAAGCATTAAAGCTCGCCCTCCATTTATACACTTTTCCTTTGATCCAAGGGCTGTGTCAACGGCTCAATCCTCGTGCGCATCAACACCTTCTGCCGACCAACCGTTAGGAATCACACCCCTTTTCTCCGGAAACATTCGCGCTGAAAGGAAAATTTCGAGGATAGCCTCTCCCCTCTCGGAGCAAAGGAGCAAAGAGTACCGACGACCTGGTTATTAGGCCGTTTCCTCTGGGGGAATTGATCCATTGTTTCTCTCATGCTCAGTCCGCGGCCCTACGTACATTGGGATTGGCTAGAGTCCGACCCGACAGGTCGGGTCGGGCGCCTAGTGGGCGCTTAACAGTGGCGGCAAGGCCATGGTTACATTGTATCTCGCATATTTGAACGAAGAGCGGCGCTCACGAATGGTATGAACAAGCTCAAACTATCGATTTTCTTTTTCATCGTTTCGATGGTGAGGAGCCATTATTCATTGAGGGCTTTCTACCGGAGGCAAAAAAGGTACATCACTAGATACCCTCGTTTAAATGTATTGATATTATAGTACATCTTTTTGTTACTCCAACATGCTGACGCCCCATACCGAAGAAAAAGAGAAAATAAGTATGCCGCTTCGGAACATCAAAAATGAGGAGGGGAATAGGAGTGGAAAAGGAGAAAGGTTTAGGTTGAGCGTCGCTCAATTAACCTTTGTAAGGCTTGGGGCCGACCATGAACTCAGGCTTGACGAGGGTATCAAACTCCTCCTCAGTGAGGGCATTCAGCTCGAGGGCAGACTGCTTGAGCGTGAGACCCTTCTTGTGGGCATTCTTAGCAACCTTGCTAGCCATGTCATAGCCAATCTTGGGGTTGAGGCAGGTGACAAGCATGAGACTGGAAAACAAAGTTACGGTTAGCATGCTTTATACTCGAATTTGAGATAGATTCATTCTCAAACGGGTAAGGGGGCTTACGATTCCTTCATGATACTGGCAATCTTCTCCTCGTTAGCCTGAAGACCTTCAACGAGGTTCTTCTCAAAAGAGCGCATGCCATCGGCAAGAATCCTAGAGCTGTGAAGGAGGTTCCTGATCATGAGGGGCTTGTAGACGTTGAGTTCGAACTGGCCGTTCATGCCACCAATAGTGGTGGCAACATGGTTACCCATGACCTGGGCGCAGACCATGGTAAGAGCCTCGCACTGAGTGGGGTTGACCTTGCCAGGCATGATGCTGCTGCCGGGCTCGTTCTCGGGGAGAATGAGTTCGCCAAGGCCGCAACGGGGACCACTGCCGAGGTAGCGGATGTCCTGGGCAATCTTGGTGAGAACAGCGGCGAGAGTGTTGAGACTGCCGTGAGCCTGTACAACAGCATCATGGGCGGCGAGGACCTCGAACTTGTTAGGCGCAGTCTTGAACTCGGTGCCGGTCATCTTAGTGACCTCCTCGGCAATGGCCTCGGCAAAGCCCTCAAAGGTGTTGATGCCGGTGCCGACGGCGGTACCACCCTGAGCGAGGAGCCTGAGGTCAGGAAGGCTGGACTCGACGCGCTTGATGCTAGAGTCGAGCTGGGCGACGTAGCCGGAGAATTCCTGGGCGAGGGTCAAGGGGGTGGCGTCCTGGAGATGAGTACGGCCAATCTTGATAATGTTCTTAGCCTCGAAGTCGTCAACCTTCTTCTGGAGAGAATCGCGGAGGGTCTTCAGGGCGGGGATGAGATCACCCTCAAGCTCGAGGACACCGGCGATGTGCATGACAGTGGGGAAGGTATCGTTGGAGGAGGCGCTACGGTTGACGTGGTCGTTCGGGTGGACAGGCTTCTTGCTGCCCATCTCACCCCCGAGGATCTCGATAGCACGGTTGGATATGACTTCATTGGCGTTCATGTTGGACTGTGTGCCAGAGCCGGTCTGCCAGACGACGAGAGGGAAGTGGTCGGTGAGCTTGCCCTCGGCAACCTCAGCCGCGGCCTGCTGGATGGCCTCTCCTACCTTGGGGTCTATGAGATTCATCATGTTAGTCATTTCAAATTGAGCACACGGATTCGTGAAACGCGGGGCAAGGCCCCCCTTCTTGCCCCTATGGCATCGGCTTGCCCACCATGTGATATAGATGCAAGAGAGGTAGTTGGGGGACCAATGGAAGCTACATAGTGATCACCTACCAAGGCCATAACGCATGTTGACGGTCGCCGCAGCGCCCTTGAGGATACCGAACGCCTTGATGATGGGGAAAGGCATGCGGTCCTGGGGCTGGTTGATGCGAAAGTTCTCGAGCGAGCGCTCAGTCTGGGCACCCCAGTACTTGTCCGAAGGGACCTGGATCTCGCCAAAGGCGTCGCTCTCAGTTCGGGTGGCGGCCATCTTCAATGTGGTCTGGTGAAGGCTTCGTCGGGCGGGCCTGTAGGTGGTAGGGAATCTCGTCGATAATCTCGCGGGGGAAGTGAGAGAGTTGCACCTCGGGGCAAGTGCATTTCCCGCGCCGCGGCGGCGAGGACCTGGGGAAGACGTACACTAGGTCGCATTGTGGGTAAGCTTCGGCAAGGTTGCGTTGCTATTTGGAGCTGTCGGGGTGGCTTGATCCTGTCAGAGGTGCCCAAATGCTTGCCTTAGTCACAGGTGTATAGCAGGCAATTGACTGGAGGGTTCAGTTCGAAAGAGGGTGTGGCGTGGTGTCCGTCGATTTGCCTCGGGTGCACTACTCCGGACTGGTTGGGTTTTTCGCTTGTGACTTTGCGTGGGAAAATCAATCGAGACAAGCTCCTCGGGGGAAACTCAATAATAGGCCGATGCAAGCTGCAGCTTCAAGAACGATGTCGGAGCTTTCTTCGAGTTATGTAAGCAGACTTTCGGGCAAGTTCGGGAAGAAAGTCTTCCGAACAAATGGCAAATTCTGCGCAAGAAAATGCTTACTGGGGACAGGCACAAGATTGCAACGCAAGGGCAAAGAATAGAGGTGAAAGGGATCTGATAAGAGTTAGGGAAGATGTAAAGCCATGGGACCTTATTATATCAAACTCTGTTTTTTTCTTGGACAACCGAAAATAGGAAGGGAAAGAAGAAGAAAATTTTGCTAAATCCCGCAGGCCTTGTATAAAACACTGGTGCCTTCAGGCCCTGTTCTTACCCCCATCTTCGTCAACAATACCTCCTTGTTCCCTATTACCGAGTCTCAATATCCTTCTACTGTGGAGCTTCTTGAAAGACCCTAAGCCCGAGAGAATCCCGTCTACTCCGTTCCTGCCCGTAGCCTCAGCCTGCAGTCCGAGAACGCTAACAGATCCAGATTCCCAAGGACCCGTCCTGAAATTCCAGCGCCTCGGCCAGTAAACCGAAACTCAACCACCCAACAAATCAGGTGGTGAGGAGCCACTTACTAAAATTTCCCGTCCGCCAGGCAAACGGCTGCCGCTCTTCATATCCGAGGATATCATCCCCGTCACAACCCGTTGATCCGGCTTTTCTTGAGCACCAGATCGCTCGCCATCGGCTACCTTCCTCCCTTTCTTCCTTGCAGGTTCATCCCTTTATCGGAGCCCGGCTCGGCTTCCGTAATCACCAACAATGCTCACCTGTAAAGACCCACCCCCAGCACCCAGCACCCAGCACCATCATGAGCCACCCATTCATCACGTCGTCTGAAAACCGCCCTAGCGAATCACACATCCCTGACACGCCCACCCTAATTAAGAGATCACCGAAGCTGACGATATCTCCCTCGTACAGTCTGCCCCTATGATGGCTCTCTCTTGACCGTCGGGACCAAGAGCAGTCAGAACCGTTTGGAGTGCCGCGCGTGTCCTTACATCTACCCCATCACCCACCCCTTGTACTCGCGCACCTTATTTGAGCGCAAGGCGCAGGAGGACGAAATTGGTCCGACCGATTGGTCCAACGCTGCCAAAGCTGACGTGCAGTGCGCCAAAGAAGGCTGTCCTGGCATGGAAGCTGCGTTCTTTCAGGTCCAGATCAGAAGTGCTGATGAACCGATGACCACCTTTATAAGGTATGTGAAGAAGGACCCCATTAGCATCCAGGGCGCGGCAAAGGCAACCAGACTAATATCTCCGGCAGTGTATGACGTGTGGTGGTCGGTGGAGGGATTAACCGATGCACGGTCTTGTGGGCTTTAGTATCCGCCAGGAAAATGGGGGCTAGGTCCTATTGCATAGCATGGCGTACAATGGTTCTCCAAAAGTTTATTGATTTTTCTTCTTCATTTTGTTAAAAGAATACCCTATGCACGACGTAGAGCAGCCTTGCATCTCAATACACAACGGACCAAGAGGCCTCATCAACCTAGAGTCAGTGAATAGCGAACATCGTCCGATTTAGGTGCTCACATCGTTGGCAAAGCAAACAGTTTTTTATATCTTGTCTATTAAGTGATAGTGCACGGAGAAACCGACCATTATACTCCTACTCCACAAGGGTAGATGTCTATGGGACGGTCCTAGGTGCAAGAGTGGAGTGATATACAGGTAAAAAAATCTTTAAAAATTGCCATTACGTCACACGTACAAGGGCAAGTTTATCAACAATCTCCCAAAGCCTCACCTCTTGAGAGACTCGATCATCTTGAGGATCTCGGATTCGTTCTCTCCGACAACAGCTTTGCCATTGTTCCAGTCGACAACCTAAGAAGACAGCCTTCGTTAGTAACCAACTACATCGGCACCTCAGGGCTAGTCCTAGCTCCCAACGCCGTAGGACCGCTGTTCAAAAGCAACTCACCACAGGCCTCTGGAAGTTTGCTTGGTCTTGTTTGAACTTCCTCAGCGCTTCGGCGACACTGTTGGCTCCTTTAACGACTTGGGGGATCTTGGTGGGTCCGACGTATTCGCAGATGGTCTGGATCTGGTCGTCCGTGGGGTTCTCTTCAGTAATGTTGAATTCAAACGGGTCACGAGCGGCAGTGCCCTTGGTGCCCTCGTTGGCAGCCTGGCTAGCCTGAGTGGAGGCTGTCTTGATGAGCTCAACGACACGCGCCGAGACCGGCGAGCCGGCTTTTGAAAGACAGTGATGGTGTCGAGAGTCTTGTGCTATTCACGGAGAAAGAGGCCACAGGGACAGATTTGGTTAGCTTGAGAGTCGATCATGGCAGTTTGAGGTAGATAAATAGAGCGAGGTAATCTTACAAAGCGGAACATAGTGGGCGGTAGCGAGTGAGTTGAGATCTGAGATGTATGTCAAAGTTGGGAGTGTGGAAATTGATTGCTTGGTGTTCAAACAGCTCATTGTTGTCAAGAGCTCAAACTTGAGGTTTGCGACGGCCAACCATGTGGGGCCTGGTATCGATAAGGATCCGTCCAGGATGAGTAAGGCCTTGCAGCAACGCGCAACAGCTCACTTTGCAGGCAAGAACATAGCACCATCTCACCAATTGCAGGATAGTAGTGGAATCCTGATGAATTGCAACCATCTTTAAGTCGCTTCAATTCTCTTATGTATTAGCGTGTCCCGAGGTAAATGATTTACTACGATCAAGACCCGCAGAGGCAAGCAACTTTCTCATTGTAGCTGGCGACGTAGGGCGAGGAGAAGACCTGACTATGGACTTCGGCTTTATACGTTTACGGCAGGAGAGCAAGCTGCTCATTGTTCCCTTCAATTTTTCGGTCCTCACAAATCAAGAGCACTGATATGACCGAGTCATGGAGTTTATTTATATGCGACAACAATAGCATCGGCCAAGCTGAGTCTTCTACCACTATTCCATGGAGCAAGCGATGCCACCAGTAAAACGAGCCTATGGTAGCCATGCGCATGATCACCAAGCCACCTCTCGAGGTCTTGGATATACAATTTCTCTACTAGAAGCCTCTAATTGTTCCAGCCAACCATTTCTGGTTAAACTCTCCCGGGACTTTCACACAACCAAGGGGAGCAGGCTGCCCTTCTTGACCTAAGAATTTATGTCAGTTAACGAGATCCCCAAGCGAAAGGTTCAATGACAGGAGTGTTAAGAGTTTGACGAATCAGAATATGTAAGAACATAATATCAGTTAATCACAAGGTATAGCAGCTCCGGCGAGAGCGCCACCAGGCGAAATCAATCGCAAATTACCTCATCATATACGTCGGAGACAATGCAGAAACTAATGAAATGATGAATACTAACCTCTTTGGTTCCATAGCTAACCCCGAGAATACAGTCTCAAAGACCTCACTCCCGGGGTTGCAGAGCAAAGGCCCATGCGAAGATGACAGCAGAAAAAAACACGGTGAAAAGCAGGATGCAGACTCTTCAAAAATTTCTTGTCGCGAAATTTATATGGACGAGGAGAAGGTCAAGCTAAGCCATCTTTGATGACATAATCAGCTGGTGGCTAGTACAGGCTGTCAATCCATACGTGACATTTTAGCCAGTCACGTGGCGTAATTTCAGCCCCTCCTGTCCAGTGTTAGGGCAAATCCATTTTTTTGCTCACACACTACCAGCCGAACGAGACCTCCAGATCGCTGGTGTACTGCAACCAACTTCACCACACATAATCTTTCGGAACATTCGAGTCTCGGTACGTTTACTCTTTTTCAAAACAACAAAACCCTGGAGTTTCCTTTTATTCCCTTTTCGTTTTTGTTTTCTTTTCTTGTTCGTCGCTCCCGACGCCGCCATACTAACCAGACCCAACCTCCCTGATAGGAAACCACAGTCCACAATGGGTGAAGCTTCGATCACGGAATCTAACTGGCGCCTCGTCGAGGTTGGCCGTGTTATCCTCCTCCAGGGTGACAGCCCCTACGCTGGCCGCCTTGCCGCCATCGTCGAGATCATCGACCACAAGCGAGTACGTTTTCTAAAGAGCTAGTTAAGACAAGAGATGCGCAGGGTGCTACTGCATCCAAAATGCGAAATCAGGAGGAGATATTGCCGGGATCAAGAGAGAAGTTTTGGTTGACAAGATGCATTGCAGGTTCTCGTTGACGGACCCGCCAAGTCTGGTGCCGTTCCCCGCCACGCCGCCAGCCTTTCCAGGGCTCTCATCACCTCCCTAGTCGTCGACGGCCTCCCCGTGGTGCCCGCACCCCCACCGTCCAGAAGTTCTGGGAGAAGAACGAGATCGATTCCAAGTGGGAGCAGACCAACTGGGCCAAGCGCCGACAACAGATCCAGCGCCGACAGGCTCTCACCGACTTCGACCGATTCAAGGTCATGAGGCTCAAGAAGCAGAGGAGGTTCGAGGAGCGACGCGTGCTCGCGAAGATTAGGGCTAAGGCGTAAATTCTCTCTTCTCAAACTTCTTCAACTCAACTACGCGGCGGTACTCGGGACTGGACTTGCTTTCGGAGCCCTTGCGGGAACAGCAATCAGCATCGAATCTCGTTTTCCCGCCGTTCGCGCTGGGGGTGGAAAATAGGGGCGTTAGCAGTGGATGAAAGGACAAAGCCTGGTTTTAGATGGGTCAGGACTGCATCGGCATGGCAACGCAGGAGTTGCCTGCTTCTCGTTAACTCCGTTTTGGAAGGCTTGTATGTCATATTCATCGCAGATGAACGGCGTCAAAACGGCAAACAAGAGTCATGAAATTCTGCGCTACAAAAGGAAAGCGGTTAAACACTACGGTACACAGAATAATTCCCGCCCTGTGAGCAATGTATGCATGTATAGCTGAAGCCAGGCCATCGCACAGCGCTGGCCTGTGACTGTGACGAAATGAACGCCATCACTTCGTCGCGCTGCCAATTTCGTAAAACATAATTCACCTCTGCTAGGTGGGCTTAAGTTGGAGCTGCCTGCGACTCAACATCCCGCTATCGGGTGTGCTTACATAATCCAGATTTCGTTGTGCCGACCAGGAATTGGTGATTGTCAAGAAACAGTGGGAGAGTACGTACCAAGCCCTAGATTTTTGGGCTTTTGGAGAGTTTTCCAACCCATCACCTCCAATCCACCCCAAACTCCCGCCCATTCAACGAACGAACGGCTCCCTCCCGGCCAACCCTACATCTCCGAATTCGTATCCGGTAAGCGTCCCTAAACTTCGGACTCCAATTGTGACAAGGAGGAGGAAGCCGTAGGCAATTGAAGCTAGAGTCAGCCCAGTAATTGGCCCCCGATGCCGACCAAGAGATTGAGAGCACTGCGGAAGCTTCAGGAAGGCGAGGCCACCGAAAGACAATATAAGGCTAGGATGGGGATGGCATTAAAATGAGGGACGGGGTTGTACAAATTCATTGAACCTAGGCTGACAAGGCAATTTATGTCGATTTTCCTTTCTACCGTGCAGATTTCCTTCTCCAAACCTCCCGAAACCCCAATCATCCAAGATGGCGAACCCCCGTGTCGAGGAGCTCCCTGCCGACGAGCCCACCAAGAACACCACCGTCGAGGAGCAGGAGGATGATGTCAGCGACGATGACTCTGACGTCGAGGAGGTCGGAGGCGACCTCCCCGCCGGCTCCAGCGGTCTCGTCCTCTCCCGCAACGAGAAGAAGGCTCGCAAGGCTATTGAGAAGCTTCACTTGACCCGCGTCCCCGGAATCACCCGTGTCACTCTCCGCCGCCCCAAGAACGTGAGTCACCTTGCCGCCTGGCTACAACATCAAGGCTAGATGATCGATGAGACTTCTCACCGATGATAACATCCCTTCTCGGGGTACCAGAGCACGGTTGCTAATATGGCCTTCTGCCTGATATAGATCCTCTTCGTCATCAACCAGCCCGAGGTCTACAAGTCCCCCAACAGCAACACCTACATGTAAGTCTTACCATAGATGTACCAAAGCACCTCCCGTCATTTCTTTCCAAGACCGAGACCTACCTAGCTCATAACATGCGCACCGGTCTCCGTTTTCCATTGTCGCTCTTCAACTCACATCCCGAATGCAGTGTTTTCGGTGACGCCAAGATCGAGGACATCAACGCTGCCGCCCAGCAGGCCGCCGCTTCCCAGCTCGCTCATGCCGCGGCTCAGGAGGACCACTCCGGCCACAACCACGGTGACTCCGGCAAGGGCAAGGAGGTAGCCGAGGATGATAAGAAGGAGGAGGAAGACGAGGAGGAGGTTGATTCCGAGGGCATCGAGGACAAGGACATCGAGCTCGTCATGACCCAGGCCAACGTCTCCCGAAACAAGGCTGTCAAGGCCCTCAAGGAGAACGATAACGATATCGTCAACTCCATCATGGCACTGAGTATCTAGCACCAGGGCTTGTCAGGGTGAGGAGGAGGAGGGACCTGCAGCGGTGGTAGGAACATCACAGGGGAGGAAGAGGGAGATAAATAAATCGTGTTCACACGATGCGCGGACGGTCTTGTTTCCCATGACGGACGAGACCGGGGTTTTGCGCTGCTTATAGCCGGATTGGGTTTTCAAAACAAACTTTTTCCTACATCTTTTCTTATTATTCGCTCCTCGTGGGAGGGGTTAGAAATCTTGGGGGATTAAACAGACCACGCCTCTCGGGTGTTGGTTGAAAACCATCTCTTACCTTGTGTCACTCCGTGTATGAATGTTTGCTAGTAATGGGGGAGGTAGGAGCGTGAGAAGCCTCAGTACGTTGTAAAATCAAAGCTGGGACTCATCCTGTCCACCCATCACCTCAGCGTCGGCGACGGTCCCAAGAATCCGCAACGATCACAGCAGCTGCGACAACTATGTTGGCACATGGCCACATTATGTTATAAGATACGCATATGTTGATATTATATCAATGTCATTACTCTGCCCATCCGAGCTCCGTTGGAGCCTCTATGTAGATATGAAGGGCAATCACATTCACGACGTAAAGTCGGTACCATGAGATACACAGGCATCCATGATGTAGAGAAAGATGCTCCTAACCCGAACCAACCAAGTGGACAACAGTTAACCTGAAAAGAGAAAGAAAAAGAAAAAAGGAAAAAAAGGACAAAGGGGGCCAAGCTACTATGACCTTCAATAGACGCCCAAGAGTTGATGCAGGAAGCAAGTCAACTTGATGCCGGAAAAGAAAAAGAAGAAAGGTACCAAAAGAAAAAGAGAAGGGGGCAAATGGCGGCGGCGGGGGATAACCAGGCTCCGTTCCTAGCCAAGGCCACGCGTAGCCATGAACTCTTCAAGTAGCAGGAAGACTAGGAAGCAGGAGCATAGATTCGAACTGCACAAAGATGACGCAGTCCTCGATGACTGTGCCAAGAGAGCCTAGAAGCCAGGGCAGCGCCGTGAGGAGGTACTTGGGTTCTTGGGAGTAGGTGAGAAGGCTGAGCCCATACGCGGTATTTCCAGTAATGGAAAGCAGGAAAAGAGCAGGGCAAGACCTAGGAAATACGCGTTAGTGATCGGGAGCGTGGGGCGACATGATCATCAATTTGAGGAGGCTCACCTTCGCATGACTTATCACGGTAATTCTTGATTATCTGGGGCACACGAGCACTAGCGGGAACCCCGAGTTAGCCTAATGTTTGAAGATTTGCTCGTTGCAGCGGTGCCGCCTTACCAGAGGTAGCAAAGTGCGCTTATGTAGCCAAGCACGGTTCCAATCTGGTAAGCAGGCTCATCCTCGGCAAGAGGAGGTGAGGTGCCCACGTTGGGATCCGTGTCCCAGGCACCAGCCTTGTAGGAGATGAACCAGCCAAGCGTGCCCACGGCATAGACGGCGAACAGGCCGAGGGCATTATGGAGCCAGGGGTTAGAGTCCGGCGTCTCGTCTTCGCCAGTGATGACTTTGCGAAGAGGGTCAAGGGTCGACTCCTCATGGGTAGCGGCCCGGCGATGAGAGCCGGGAAGACCAAGAGAGGTACTTCGGCGCCGGCCAAGGAGAGGGGAGTGCTCGGTGGAGTCGGGTGAGATCGTGTCCTCGCGGGAGGATCGCCGGCCGCGGCGATTGTTTAGACGGGCATTCTTGGCATTGTAGTACAGGACTTGGCTTATGAGGATGATGTCGGCCAAACAAAAGTAGCTTGCAAGGGCAATTGCGGTCGGCGCCAAGTTGGTGAAGAGAGCACCTATCGTCCGGGTTCCCTTGTCAGCTACCGTTCCAATGTCCTGTTGTCTATGGCGGTGCTCCACGCTCGGGGTCTGGGACGAGGGGACTGCGGGCCATGAAGAGAAGGCTAGTTCAAAGGGGTGTCCGTAACCGTACCTGAGAGGTTTGTGATATCACCGAGCAGCCAGATAAAGAGGAATCCCATTGATAGGGCGTCGGCCCTCTGAGCTTTGTAGTTGGTGAGGAGTTGGGGGATCTGGAGTCAATTGAAGTATGATGTCAGCATCATCGCCACAGCACCACGCGACCATCCAGGGTTTTGAGTTCTCAGTCCTGCAGGAGCACACCGTTTGAGCGTTCGGGGTTGGGGCCCTCCGCGGCTATGCGAATAGAAAAAGAAACTTACTAGGAGACAGATCCATGCCGTTAAGCTGATACTCCCGAAAATTCCAGAGAGGGCTTCGTTCAGGGTCGGCGGCTGGACGAAGGCCGCGATGCTGGGCAACACCATTGCGGACGGTGGAGGAAGGAGGGGTCCTCTGGTTTTCCAAAGACCGTGCAAAGCCGAGCTTTAGTTTGATTTTTCTCTCCGTTTTTGGACCAAAGACCTATGAAAGTGTATAAGGCACGAACATTCGCAAAGAACGAAGGAGATCGTCGACCAAGAATCAAGAAAGGGTCGAGGTGGGAAAGAAACGATGAAGGAAAAGAGCAAGGCTTTGGCTGTTCCAAGCAGTGGTCGAGGAGAGGGAAGGCAAGGAACTTGAACAGGCAGGGCTGGTGAGTGATGGTCACCTGCACAGATTGAGCAGCACAGTCATTCAGGATGCAGGAGTTGCCGATTGCAGGGGTGAAAAAGGGTTCCCTTCAACAGTGTGGGAGGCTTTTTGTGTGGGGTAAAAAGAGCCAAAATCGGAGACGTGCACACCCAGTCGGATTATTATCGCAAGGCGCGGCGGCTACTGATAAGAGAATAGTGGGATGCTGAGCCGAAGATTCTAATCAGGATTAAATGCCACCCCATAGGCCAAGGGTGTGGGGATCGGTCCAGAGCGATGTTAGATTTCACCAGATAGCGTTGGACATGGGAGTGATCAATAAACAGCCAGCTCACATCGTGCTACTTGCTTTGTCGAGGAAGACCGCATCCCACCAAGCCTCGCGAGCTTTAGAAGCAGGTCCCGATCAATCACGAATCTTACATGTAACATTGAAAGGAAGAAGAAGCACTCAGGTCTGCTTAAGATTCGTTGAATCCGGTATCAGATCAGAGAGCCCAGTCCGCCGCCTCATCAATTTAACTACCCTGACACATACACCTGCGTCAGTCAAGCCTGATTCATCCACACCCGTAATCATTGATAAAACAATTGGATTGATCCTCTGTCGTGTAAACCCTGGAATAGTAATCCGCGATCGGCCACCCCTACCACCAACCCAACCCGGGTGAGATTACATGATCTTGCAGATCCACCAGACAGGAACAACGTGAGAGACTGAAAGGTTGCAAAGAGTCACGTTTTCGCACTTGGGGCCACCACGAACCTTTCAAGTCTCTTTCATCGTCGCGCACCTCACAATTGACTTTAACCCCCTCTCCGCAAGTGCAGTGGTTCGTGTAGAAAACGTGATCGTGTAACTAGCGAAAATACTGAGGTACAGCCCAATGCAATCGATCCAAGTCGCGTTGCACAGCATCATCGAGACCCCAGAACCCTTTCTTTTTCGTCTCCCATCCCGGTAAACTCCATCCGATCCAGTGAAAAGCTCTCCGCACTATTTTCGACGCCGTGATGACGACAGACAGTTCTACCCCCAAAGGGTCTTGCATCAACCCCAAACCTGTATACTATTGAGATCACACACTGTCCACCCGATAGGAATGACAATACCTCAACGGTACAGGGGTACACTTCCACGACCCAAATAATATAGAATTAAGGTCCTCGCACAATGAAGGGGAGAGGGGAGGCGAGCAAGCAGCTTCAGGCAACTGAGAGCTTCACGTGGGGTCGACATGCGCCCACTCAAGTCCGAATTGAGGAATTGACTGGGCACACAATGACCGTGGTCCCGCCCCTCCATGTTCAACCAGCCCATCTAACCCAATCGAGTTTCGCTACAGCGGCACCCTGCAAGTTGGCTCGAATTTGCCCTGTGACTGGTGACGGCTGCCTTGTTTCTGCAGCAACTCTTCGCGCGACAAGGCCGTCCAACACGGCCACCTCACTTTCAAGCTCAAGCAACCAGCTTTCCCTCCTTCGCGACCACACAATTGTCATTGACAACCAACGAGAGCCTATTATTTCCAATACCTTTTGATATTTGTGACATACTGTGTTCCTCCCTCTCCATTTATTTTTCCTTCTTTCTTGCACTTCCTCCACCTTTTCGGCTTGATAAATATCTCCCCACCCCTCTTGCAGCTTGCGGTTGAGCTTAGCTCTGTTCCTCTTTCGAATAGCTCCTGGCGTAGCCTTGCATCCCACATCACAGCATACCACAATCATGAGGCTCTCTTCCAGCCTCCTCGCCCTTGGCGCTCTCGGTGTGCCACAGGCTCTGGCCTGGGGAAGTATGTTTTATTCTCACCTTGACCTCGCTACCCCTTCCGTCCTCGCTCCTTGGCTCACCATAGACCCCCTCATTTGCTAACAAGTCATGGCTCCTTGCCTGCAGGTCTGGGCCACATCACATCCGCCTACCTCGCCTCCGATTTTGTCTCCAATACCACCGAAGCCTACCTCAAGGACCTCCTCTATAATGAGACGTCGGACTACATGGCCAACATCGCCACCTGGGCTGACTCGGTCCGCTACACCCGCTGGGGCCGCTTCACGAAGACCTTCCACTTCATCGACGCCAAGGACAACCCCCTTCTCCTGCAACGTCGACCTCGAACGCGACTGCAAGGAGACGGGCTGCGTCGTAACCTCCCTCGCCAACTATACCACCCAGTCTCTCAACCCCGCCCTAGGCTGGCGAGACCGCAACATCGCCGCGAAGTTCGTCATCCACTTCATCGGCGACCTCCATCAGCCACTACACAACGAGGACGTCTCCCGCGGTGGCAACGGCATCCACGTCCTCTGGCATGGCTCCGAGGTCAACCTCCACCGCGTCTGGGACAGCTCCATCGCCGAGCAACTCGTAAACGGCCGTCGGAGGGGCAAGCCTTTCGAGATGGCCAAGCGCTGGTCCGAGCAGCTAGCTTACGAGATCAGGGAGGGCAAGTATGCTGCCCAGAAGGAGAGCTGGCTCAAGGACCTTGACATCAACGACGTAGAGGCCACTGCCCTTGCCTGGTCTAGGGAATGCAACGCCTATGTCTGCACGCATGGTAAGTTTTGCGTTCGCCTGCCTATGCAACCGGCGCAACCCCGTCGCAGAAAGAAAAAAGTGACAGTTCTCGTGAGTTTTCTAACATATCAACCTCCTTCTCTCTACCAGTCTTCCCCGAAGGTCCCATCGTCATCGAGGGTAAGGAGCTATCCGGAGACTACTACGAGCGTGCGGCTCCTGTCATCGAACTTCTCGTGGCCAAGGCCGGCTACAGGCTCGGTGCCTTCCTCGACAGAGTCGTAGACGGTTTCCTCCAGAAGAGCGATGAGACGAGCATTTCGGAGGAGCTCTAAGGAATGCAGTTTCCCGCAGTCGCCTTGCTCTCACCCCCATCTCCATTGCCCCCTTTCCGGGTTGACCGAGTCTTTCTGTTTTCAATCTGCAAGGATACCAATACATGGTCTGCTCGATTCTGTTTAGTTTTTCGGTTTGTTTCTATAGCGAACGTATATGACATATGACGTTGATTGTTTAGTTGTGCGAATGTACCTACCTACAGCCTGGCGTGCGGATTATATCGCGGAGTATGATTAGGAAATATGTAGAAATAGTCACATCGAGGCGACAGCCGTTCGCTGAAACAAGCCTACCACTATCCGGTTGATGAATAGTTTTATTAAGATTCAGGCTTAGCCGACATCCGGCTGCCAAAGCAGACGAAGGTGTCTATGCCAAGCCTCTGACCCTTCCCTCCCACCCCCAGTAGATCGACGTTCGGTCTTGGAGGCCGTCGGCTTTGGCTACAGTTGCCCATCTGCCTCTTGTCGCCTAAGCTTGCAACCTATCACGGTTCACCTCGGAGTGGCGGCAGCGCCGCGGAGATGCTGACCCCTCGTAAGATATTAGCAGTGAACGAAGGGAAAGGAGGACACAGGTCGATGAAGTGTGGACGCCCTCGTCACTGATGAAGATCCGTCCTTTTAATGTTATCATGAGAAAGGACCTACATGTAGAGATAGAACGCAAGCCAACTACGCCACCGCAGCACGCAGAAGCCTACCACTGCTTGTCTCACCCGCTTCCTCTTGCTATTTTCCCACCCACCTCGATCGTGATCCTGATAGGCAAAGCATCCGCCCCACGACGCTAGGTGCCCGGATGGACCCGGCGGGAGGAAAGAATAAGAAGTTACAACAGAAAAATGCCATTAGAGTCACGCTCGCCAATAATTGCACGACAATTCTCCTCGTTACTTCAATCGGAGGATACGTGTGCCAAGGGCGATCACGCGGTGAAGCGCAACTATTGATCGACGGATGGAGAAATCGTGTCGACAATACCAAACTCCACCTCTCGTCGTTCTCCCTCTCTTCCCTTCCTCTCGATACTTGTTTCTTCAAACAGTATATGGAATTACTCGCCGTCCCTTGCGGATGTAAAGGGGGTTATACACCGCAAAAGCCGCATGTTTGGCAATGTTGCCCGTATGTCGGCTTTTCTTTTCCCTTTTCAAGATCGTGTAAGCTCAGTGCAATCGCTTTCGTAACAAGCGTGGCTGACGGGATGGATCAAAGGGTTTCGCCTTCTTCTTCTGCTTCTTCTTCTTCTTCTTCGGCAAGGCAAAACGGATGTTTTGGCAGTCTGACAGACAAATGCTTGGATGATGCCAGGAAACATTTACAAAAGTGGTAATCGTTGAGAAGAGGCTCGAGGCAAGCAGAAAGCATCAAACGCGTTTTCGTCGTCTTGGCACCTTGATCTGGAAGGTGCGCTCAGGTAAAGCCAAGTATTAGTGGCGTACGCATGTCATCTCATGGGAAAAGCGAAAGGTTGCTGCCTCCCAACACCATGGTTAAGCTCCTCACAGTCGGACCACACAGGGAATCTTGGCTTGCCCACGATAAAGGCAGCCAAGTTTGGTCCCCTGCAACAGCGTTCCCACAGCACAATTTTGTCTTTAGCAAAGCGTATGTAAGTAACGGTGGGAACCTATCGGCTCTCTGGGCTAGAATGGCTTTCATCGTTAAACAATCTTCAATCTTACGGTGCAGCGAATGAGATCCCGGCCGTTTCACCGCGTTCCAGAACATCCTCGTTCAAGCAAGCAAGCGAGAGAATTATTGTGGGTGGAATGAGGCGAAGCCAAAGTCTATCGCCCTCACAGATGATTGACGCGTTGCTTGAGAACTAGATGCGTCAAATCAGTTTCCTGTCAAGGTTGCACATGGACTCTTCTCTATTTCTTTAATGTAAAGAAGAGACAAAATTTGCCTCGATACCCCTTCTTCACCCCTTTTTCTTCTTCTTCGTTTTTCTCTCTCTCCTCCTGACGGATACCCGGAACCTCATGCGATAGGACGTGGGGTGTGATCCCGCTCGTTCAGTGCTGGGAAAGACACATGATACCTTTACATGTCGCTTTGGGTGGAGGGAGGTTCGAGCTCGAGGGCGCACGTTTCATCCCCCTCTCACTGCAGCACAAACTCAAACACGAGGCTTGTATCAGGCCTCAACAGCGCTAACGCTGGACAACTCCTTGTCCAACGCACGATGAGGTTGACGGAAACCAGCGAGTGGGGATAAAGAAGAAGAAAAGAAAGAAAAAAAAAAAAAAAGGGGAAAAGGAGGGGAGGCCCGAGTCTGGCGATAGATTTGAGGTTCTAGGCCCTCTTCGGCGGCCCCCTTCCGCCTCTTCGGACAATTAAGAGGTTTTAAGCCAACAAGGTCAAAGTTGGGAGGAAATACCACGGCTTGTGCACCGGCCTGCCAGCTCCATTCGCTGCACGATCCATACCCTTGAAGATAGATCGGGTGTCGTGTTGCGTCGCAGGGAGCATGAGAAGCTTGTTTTCCTTTGGTCTCGACTTTAAGTTTCGGTCCGGGATGCAAGGTTTTCGTAATGTTAGAGAAGCTTGCTAATATCACTTTGCCATGTACAATTATTAGGGGATGGGAGGCGATTATTGCTTTTTCTCTTCTTCTTCAATTCGGGGTGAGTAATTGGCTCACAACCGGCAGGCGATTTGATGAGGATCCATAGACGTGTTCGCTGATGTCGGAGATGCGAAGGTGATGATCGTTGTACACGGCGAGCACTCTTCGCGGCCTACCAAAAAGGAGGTTGACCATCCACGACCGGGTTTTCATAGTATGGGGAGGTACTCGTATTACAGACAGGCGCGGATCAATCTGGGAGGAGCCGTGTCGCCAGATCGACATTAATCCGCACACATTTGATCAATCCAGCTCCATGGGCCATGGGAGCAATGGAAATCGATCCCTCTTTCACTCATCAAGCCTCGCGTACTGAAATGCGAGGCTCGAAATGTCAACCCAGAATGCACAAGTTCACAGTTCACGCTGGAGTTTCACCAACACTTTAATTAAAGGTTGAATCCCTTCGAAAAGAAAAAGAAAAGTCGGACTGAACAAGCCCCGCCCATTCTTCGACACAAACCGGAGCAAAAAGGTTGGCTATCCGGCCGCGTGGCGACCGGAAAGAGGGTGGAGCAAGACATGGTGCTCGGAGATGAGGTGGGGGCAACCAGGATCTCGGTCGAGTGTAATAAGCTTGCAGTGGCTTATGGTTATTATTCAAAGTCTCTCGGCATCAGACTCCGACGCGAATGTGATGTCAAGGGCAGCATGGGTCTGAGCTAAGGTTGTTTGCGCTGGGGAAACGGTATTCCGCTCTGGATACTGGAGCCGTGGTGTCTGAGAGATGGGAGAACGCAGTCGGTGATGGCGGCATCTGAGCGAGGTTGGGGCTCAACACCGACTGCATCTGTCACAGAACTCGAGACAGCTGCCATCCCTTAAGCAACTTCGGCCAGAACGTCTATGACGCAGCGGCAATCGGCGAGATGGTGGGTTGGCCTAGACCACCATCGACATCCCTTGGCCGGCCTCTATGGGCTTCTTCAAATGAGAAGCCAGGATGGCTACCGGTCCAGGCCCCTTCCGCCAGGACGAAGCCAAGGGGTTGGTCAGAAGGTTGTGGCCCTAGCACCCAGAAAGTCAATGCTGAGGCAGGTCGAGAGCTGATCAGCAAGGGGGTCCATTCCGTCCACTGTCGCATTGGACTAGCCCCTCAAACAGCAACCGTGGAATTGTGGAGAACATCGTCGAGGAAATACGACGAAGCATAGAAGCATGCTTTTCTAATATATGGATGTACCTGAATGGCCGTTGAGAAAGGATCTAGCAAGTTAAGCAGCATCCTTCAAACTAGCGGAGAGTCAGGTTCAGGAACACCACGTTTCCTAGGCTTTGGAAGGAATAAACTTCAAACAAAAGAAAAATCCTAGAGATCTAAAATCTAGGGTAAGCGCCAAGGGATGCCGGCCTACTTGTCGAGATTGTCTATTCAAACCTAGTCAGGGGGATGGGATGAGATTTCAGTTGACACGGCTGTCAACAATACCGCCGCTAGACTAGACTAGGGTAAATTGATGGAATGCGATTGCTTGCTTCCTCCTTAGCGGTAGCTGCGGCGGTTATGGAAGGCCGATCGATAATCTCAGTGACGGTATTAACGGGAGAGTCAGGAGCTGACAGCAAGAGCAATGAGTCTGCCGCTCTCCCGTGGATCTGGAAAGGGGTGCGGAAATTCGGCACAATGTGCGCCATACCCAGCCCGCAAACTTCATCGCGAACCCAACCATATCCTTCCGCCGTTCTTGTTCCTCCATCAGCAATCTCGAGCCAGCCTGGTGCCTGGGTAGGAGCAAATGAACGAAGATCACCAAGCGAATTCGCGCCAGGTAGCGGCCGGCGGGGTTGGCCAAGAGCGCGTTTGATGCTCACCGATCATTCAGGCAAAGACTTGACGATCTCGAGGGCGCTCTTCTTCGTACCTGGTTGAAAATGCAGCTCATCACCAAGTCTAGAGCCGCCGCCGCACACCTCGATACACACTTCGCAGTTGTAATCGACGCACAACATTCACCTCGATGATCTGTGATCCAACAGTGTTGACCGAGGTGGTTGTGTAAAAATCACTGTGTACTTCGTGTTGTGTGGAGTTCCAGCGTGTCAGGAAGGTCACACTGGCTCAGGTTCCAGTAGAAGGGCAAGGCGGGGGCACCGCAGCTTTGGCGAGCGGCAAGTGCAACCTGCAAGGCGAGGTGCGGGTGGGTCTCCTTGCCGCTCTCGGATAGGATTACAAGGGCACCATGTCTCGGCTCGCTTCAACAAGCATGTCCGAAACTGACATTTGCCTGATCTCCACAATTTAAGCTCTGTCATTGGCTCCAGCGACAACTTGCGACACCAAAAACTTCAGGCACCAGGGGAGCCGCAACTCTGCGACGATCAACGACACCTCCTTCCTTGCCTCTCCTTGCTGAAAGAACATTGGAGTCTTGAACTCTTGCAAAGCCCCCTTTTTCCTTCCCCATCCTTCTTCCTAGGGAGCAAGAAGAACAAAAAACTCCTCCGGGCAGTGGCGTCGCGACCTTTATGCCCCCGTTCCAACCAGTACAGAATCCCCACCCAACGGTTTCGAGATTCTCATTGCATGGGGCATCTCAGGGGGTGTGCCGCTTCCAGGGTCGGACACCGTGAACGCAGTGCTCCTGAGAACTGATCCTCTCAGCTTCGCCCTCTCCTGCACTCACCCATCCCCCAAAGGATCGACTTGCTATGGACATCCTCTGGGAGAGAGGATGTCCATACCAAGCCCAGTATCGATGGGCTCGCACATCGCGAAAATCTCATGCCGTCGTGGGGCCGCATCACAGCAATTTCCCAGGTCCCAAGCTGATTTGCCAAGGATCACTCGGCTAGCACATCCTGTGCGACGACTGATGAACCCCATCGGGTTTTTCAAGCCCACATTCGTAGATAGACCTCGCGGTCGTTGAGAGACACAGGGAAATCGAGGACTATACTGAGCTCTTTCTTTCCGCTAAAAGCACAGCTATTCTTGAGGGGCCGGAAGTCTGTGAGCAAGCCCTGTTGCATGCAAGTATCATTGAACAATTAAAAGTACGTACCCCAAAGTAAGGCAATGGCGCTTTGAATTCTCGAGACCAAGGTCTGGAGATTGTGTCGCTCCGTGCACCTCCGCTCCTGCATATTCGATATCGCTTGCATGGGTTCAATTCGGCAGCGCAGGCTTGACGGACGGCCAGGCCCACGAATTCGGTTTTGAGCCTTGTCCCCTCCCCCTCCCCCACCACACCCTGTTTTCTTGTCATCCCCTGTAACCCATGGATGTTTTGGAACCGTGGAGACCTTCCCCTGCCATACGCGACACAGAGCCACTGCCATCTGAGCCCCAGTCCATGGCAATTGTAATACTCGCTCGTTTTTTTCCCTCCCCTTTCTGGAACCAGGGCTGGAACTTTGCCTAGCCCCGGGAACCTGCTCGTAGCGAATGTTCCTATCACAGAGACGGAACACTCACAGTGGACCTTCAGAAATCCCAGATCCCACGCTCCGCTGTCATCCCTGCTCGCCGTCCCTGAGCGCAAGACCCACCACCCCTGTCAGGATGAACATCGGCCACTGACATGTCGTCGAGTATTTGTCCTCGTCATCCCCTCCTCGCCCTCTTAACCCGTCTCTTTTCTTGACTTTCACCGTTCTCTTCTTTTCCTCTGCTTCGGCACTTCTTTTCTCCCTCAACCTCTTGCTGGGCAACTTCTTCAACGCTGGTAGTGTTGTTTCCTACTTTCGACATTCGCTCCTTTTCTCTTCTTTATTTTTATTCTTTCAGTCATCGACCTTCTTTTCGGTCCCGGTGCTTCTTTTCTCAACGCTCCTTGGACATTGGTGTTGCCATTTTGTGTTATCGACACCTTTTTCAGCTTCATTCACGGTCTGGAACCAGTATATTCTTCAAACGCTATTTAACTGTACCTATTTCCGAGGTTTCTTCCCACCCGTCAAAATGCTTCCCAAGCACGTTCTCCTCGCCATCCTTGGCGCCCTCTCGGTCTCTGAGGCCTCCGTCATGCACTATGACTCCCCTATCGCCAACGCTCTTGCCCGTAGGCAGAACCGATTCGGTGGTGGCCGTGGCGGTAACAACAATAATAACGGAGGGAACAACAACAACAATGGTGGAAACAACAATAACAACAACGGCGGAAACAACAATAACAACAACGGGGGAACAACGACCAGGCTGCTGCTGGCGGTAACTGTCTTGCCGACAACGTTATCCAGGCAGCTTCCGCGGCCACTGGTCAAGGCGATGTTGTGGAGGATGGGCAGTCTCCTTCGGCTACGTAAGTTCTTTGTCTTCCCGCCTGGGCGTGCTTTCCCGCGTTTCTTCCGGGGAATGTATGATGGTTTACTAACCGAGAACAACAGCGATGACAACAACTTCATCAACTTCTGTTCTGGCCAGACCTTGACCAACGGTCTCCAGGTTCAGCAAGGTTCTTGCAACGGTATCGTCATGGGCAGGATTCCTGGCGTTGACCGCATGATCACTTCGATCATCCAGAACCCCCAGCCCGGGCAGACGATCCAGGAAAACGAGACGTTTGACATTGTCGTCAACACGCAGAACCTGGCGGCCGGTTCGTTCACCAACCCTCAGGAGACGTACTACTCGGCTCCTCAGGATCTGGATGGCCAGGGCCGCATCATCGGTCATACCCACGTCACCGTCCAGGACCTCGGAAACAACCTCACTCCCCAGAACCCTCCCAGCGCCCAGCAGTTTGTCTTCTTCAAGGGTATCAACGACCAGGGCAATGGTCAAGGTATCCTCTCCGCCACTGTCACGGGCGGTCTCCCGCTGGCAATTACCGCGTTTGCACGATGACCGGTGCCTCCAACCATCAGCCCGTTCTCATGCCTGTTGCCCAGCGAGGTGCCCAAGATGACTGCACCAAGTTCACCGTCGGCGACGCCAACAATGGCGGTAACAACGGCGGCAACAACAACAACAACAATGGTGGCAACAATGGTGGAAACAACAACAACAACAGTGGGTCTAATGGCCAGAATGCCGGCAACAACGGCAATGCTAATAACGGGCAGAATAACGGTAACAACGGCAACAACCAAGGCAATAATAACGCCGGCCAGGGCGGGAACCAGGGCGGCAACCAGGGAGGTAACAACGGCGGCAACAATGGTGGAAACAACGGCGGTAACAATGGTGGAAACAATGGCGGTAACAACGGCGGCAACAATGGCGGTAACAACGGTGGCAACAACGGCGGCAACGGAGGAGGTGCCGGAGGTGCCACCGCGGCGAACGCTGTAGCCGGCATTGCGGCGCCCGCCGTTGAGGACTCTGGCAATGGAGATAGGCCCTTCCAAGTCAACGGGAACACTTTCGTTAACAAGGAGGCAGCAGTTCAGCGAGCGTGCGATATCCAGAACAACAGCTGCTCGGACGCAGTCAATGGCGGCCAGGCTCAAGGTTTGACCCTCGCGGACTGCAATGCCCAGGTCGCCAAATGCGTATCAGAACTCTCATAAGAGAAACGAAGAAAAAGAAGGCGAAAGAAGTTTGGTTTGCCTTCCTTTCAGGAAGACAACCGACCTCGAAAACGGACAAACGAGGCCGAGGAGTGTCTTCTCTATCGTCACGTACGGGGATGATCTCGTCGACGATGAAGGCCACTGTATCTTTTCCACCTGGCTCGGAGGTCTTGTACATGACAACATCCACTCGGGAGAACCTGTTCATTGTTTTCCCTCTCTTTTTTTTTCTTTTCTTCTTATGTCTGTTTGCGCGCTTGGGTCTTTTTTTCCTTTCTCCATGGTCGAGCCTTGACACCCTGAGGCTCTACAATGAGCAAGAGCAATGCCTGCTCTTGTCTATATTTTCCTCCGTCCATTTTTCCTAACCTTTCATTTTGTTTCCTACCGTTGTTTCCTTTGTACTGTCAAGAACCTTAATGTCCTGGGTTTCTTATGTAGTTGTTGTATATTTAGAAGAGAAAGGGCGGGAAGCGGCAGTAGGAGGGCATACGCAAGCTTGAACCGTCGCAAGCTTCAGCTAGACAGTATAGGATGCCTACTGCCCGCTCCCTTGCTGAGTGGAGAAAAAATAGGAAACACGCTTCCAGCAAAGCCCTTCCCCTTCTTCAAACTCGTGATTCCAACTGTGGCATAATTTGCTCCAATGTTATGTGTAAGCAACTTGCAGTCCGGATCAATTCAAACCCCCAAGCCCGCCACCGTCTCAGCAACACGCCCTGTCATGCAACCGTTTCCATCAAATCTATTGATGTGCCCTTTGTGCAGGACCTAGCAGGAGCGCCCAGTTTCGGAGCTGTGGGGACCTGGAAGTGGGGCCCCATCTGGAGACCCCGGAGTGACATTGATTCGCTCAAGGTGGTCAAAGTCGCGCAAACCTCGCGGGCGGCGTCCTTGACTGAAACGGGCGCTTATCATCTCTGGTTGGAGAGGGCCAGAAGCTCCATTCCGACACCAACACCCAAAGTGCTTACTTATAAGGATGGATGCTTCAATCGAGGGAGCCAAATTTCGGCGCGGATTTTCATCTCTGCTCTTGAAAAGAGCCATTTAATTTTTCTCTGCCAAGAAGCAATCATAAAACTCCGTAGATCCGCGAGGCGGTCCATGACGTACGGAGTGTCCCGGTTCGCACCACACTGCTCGCGTCAAACTTCCACCCGGGGTTGACACCCAAACGGAGAAGGATAGGCGAAAGGGTTTGGCCCGGGACACACTGATCGACTGATCGAAGGGTGTGGGACTTCTGACAGTGGGAGAGAAAAATCAGGTTCAGGAAAGGTGGGTACGCCTCGTCGTTCAGGGATAGAGTTGTGCTCCCTGTACTGCCCGATAACGTTTCAGATGTTTTTATCTGGCGGAGAGAGAGTGTGCATTTCTGGTGGGCGTGTGGCGGTTGTGTGGCAGCTCGGCCGATACTACGGGACGGACGGGTAATCGGATCTTGGCTCAGACAGCTGCCATTTTTCTTCTTTTCTCCCTTCTCATGAAATTCCGAATATGGAACTAAATCTTGCTCAAGTTTTCTATTCCAAGATGGAAATTGGATGACAGGGAATATTCGCCGAAAAAACATGTAACGCTCAGGGCGCAAGGAGCCTCAACGCCGAGAGCCAAGCACCAAACCGGCATGGGCTGGCCGATCGAGCACCCTATGTTCCGCGGAAAAGCAATGATCGAAACATAGCAATTGGGATATCTAGGCCCAAGATTCTTTGGAACGAAGGACTCGAAGAGGTAACCTCGGACCGTTGCGGAAGCTTAGCCGAAGGAAAGAGAAGGCAGATATGGTTGCCAACATTGAAGACCATGACAAACTGAGGCAGGGCGACTCGACTACATTATATCAAATAAGCCAGCACCATCCGAGATGGCACCATTCCTCGGTCTCTAGTTGCCGTGCTCGGGTCTCGGGCACCTTGGTACACGATTGCATGTTCGTGTCAGTGGCTACCTGGGGCAAAGAGCTACGAGCACTGGAAGCAGCCAAGGGTGATAAAGGTGATAAAGCTCCAGCTGCCATTATACAGGAGGTCCAACAAGGCAGCGTGGCACTCCGACGTGTCAATGTGCATAACCATAGCTCAAGCCTCCTCCACGCCAAGACGGAGCCAAAATCGGGTGTCAACTGCAATGCAATGGGCCAGAAGCACCGCTGTGACATATGGCGAGCTTGCCCAGCTTCTCCTCACAACCGGCCATCAATGTATGCAAAGATTGACCCTGTCGGTGAACACTACATGTACCGTAGGTTCTCTATTCCGCCGAAATTCTCGATTAAATCTATATTATAGCCGCTAGCCGACAAGTCAATAAAACTGTCCCCGGCGATATCAAACCATGGTCATCCTTTCCCCCGAGCTAGCCCTGAGCCCTCCGTCGCCCATCCCATTCCACAACACTCCAAGAGGACCCTCCGATTGGGCAATATCAATACAGGCCCAACAATCTATCAACGGACTGGCGGACAATATTGCTAGCCAGACGGTGATTCGAACTCTCGCATTGAACAGCGTGAAACTTGGCACTTCACCTTTTCTACACTTCTCGACGAATTCAGTGGATTGATCCCTCCGGACGAGACCTAGTCTAAACGGGGCTCACCCACAAAAGGCTATCTCGACCGGAAACTTAATTCTAGGGGTTCTACTGTATTCTCGAGGAAATATAGATCATTCTCTCTTGCGCAAAGGTACAGGTGTATCAGGTGTTTCCATACATCAATAATTTTATCATCATGTACGCAGCCCCAACGGCGGCACGATCCGGGACTTCCTCCGATACCCGGACCCAATTCAATTGGACCCTGGCATGGAAAAATGTACCCGCCCCCACCATGAGTATTTTGCCTCCTCATTTTTAGTGTTGGGACACCAACAGGCTACGCACTAGCCAACCCGATTGACGGTGTTTGAAATTTTGATTGAATTGATCGTTTGCCTTCTTCCCTGAGTCATAAGATATTCTCAAATCACTCCTCAGCAGTGCTCTCTTTCTTGTGGTCGCCCAGTTCCACCCACGACCTCGCGCTCCTGACCTCGAAACCCTCCTGTCCTTTCCCTCAGACCTCCCTAGCAGCCAGGAGATCTACTGCAATGGCTGAATTCCCCACTAAGAAGTGCGGTATGTCGTTGTTTCCCCCTCTCGCGACAACCTCTGATCTTCGCCGCGCGTAGTGCTAACCATCGGAGTGTCTAGGTGTCCTCGGCTGCACGGGTTCCGTCGGCCAACGCTTCATCCTCTTGCTCTCCAAGCACCCCTACCTCAAACTCCATGCCCTTGGCGCCTCAGCGCGCTCCGCCGGAAAGAAATACAAGGATGCTGTTAGGTGGAAGCAGGCCTCCCCATTGGCGACGCTGGCGAGATCGTTGTGAGGGAGTGCAAGGCCTCTGAGTTTGCCGACTGCGACGTCGTCTTTAGCGGTCTTGACTCGGACGTCGCAGGAGACATTGGTATGGACACTGCACCCTCTCCCCCTCCCCTTCTAATCCTTCCGCTCCAAGAGCTACAGATAGCTTTCTAACCCTGCCCGCCTCCTCCAGAAACCGAGTTCCAAAACGCTGGTCTCGCCGTCTTCTCCAACTCCAAGAACCACCGCCAGGATCCTACCGTCCCTCTCGTCATCCCTACTGTCAACCTCAACCATCTCGACCTCATCCCCCACCAGCGCAAGCTTCGCTCTTCTGATAAGGGTCTTCTTGTCTGCAACTCTAACTGCGCCGTCGTCGGCGTCGCCGTTCCCTTCGCCGCCCTCCAAGCCGCCTTTGGTCCCATCGACTTCGCTTCCGTCGTCACGATGCAGGCCGTTTCCGGCGCCGGCTACCCTGGTGTCTCCTCCATGGACATCATGGACAACGTTGTGCCCTTCATCTCTGGTGAGGAGGACAAGCTTGAGACTGAGGCTCGCAAGATTCTCGGCACGATGACCACCGACGGTACCGCGTTTGAAGAACAGAGTGCCCTTCGCATCTCTGCCGCCTGCAACCGCGTGGGCGTCATGGACGGCCATACCGCGTGTGTCGCCCTGAAGTTCATGAGGCAGCCTCCTCCCTCAGCCGAAGAATGCATCGAGGCGCTTCGGAACTACACAAGCGAGGCCAATGCTTTAGGCTGTCCCTCGGCGCCTAACCCACCCATCAAGGTATTTGACGAGCCGGACAGGCCTCAGCCTAGGCTAGACCGAGACCTGGAGTCAGGCTACACGGTGAGCGTCGGACGAGTAAGAAAGGATGATGGTGGTATCTTTGATCTCAAGTTTGTGTCCTTGAGCCATAATAGTATGTTGACCTATTCCTCCTGATTTCGACTGATTATGTTCCACCTTTCCACGATATCCTCTTCCCACGATAGCATCAGGGAATCCCCACTAATTTCTCATCATAGCCGTTATCGGTGCTGCGGGCGGCTCTATCGTCAACGCCGAGGCCGCCATCCTCAAGGGCTATATACAGTAGAGTTCGGGTGCCGCGCTTGGGGAAGAAGTAGTCCGTTAGATTGTACCATGGCTACAACTACGTCAAGAGGGCTACCAGCTTAGGAGAACGAAGGAACGCGGAAATCTTCAAACATATTCATATATATATCTTATATATATACGGTAGAAATGTCACTCCAACCAGCCCACCCCATACGTGTCCCATACTGGATTGGCCAGAGCGAACTTACAAGGCAAGCACTGCTTGATGCGCACTCCAGTTTCATCTACGATACGTTGGTCTCCCCGACCGCATCAAACAACCTCTTTCTAAGCTTCCTAGAAGCGGTGGCAGGTTACTTTTTGTCTTCGGTAGCCCGACCACATCATTTGACTGAAGTTTTGGTGAATTAGGATGAATTAGAGCATTATTATTTACTATGGTACACAACACGAAACTCCAAACCCAATAGTAGAACAACAAATATACCCGGGCTCGTCGCCCTCACTCTGTCACATGGACCGTCCGCATCTTGAGGAATGAAAGCGCCCAGTTTTTGGGGTGCCGTATTAGCAATCTCAAGGCTTCCGGTGACCGACGGCGGGAGGCTCATCCGTGTCGACAAATGCGTTGGTCACCTCGCCCATGCGTTCTTGCCAAGGCACGCCGCTGACCTTGAGGCTACGGAGAGGGCCACCGACGCCAAGATCAAAGGCATCGACGTCCCACCAGAAGGACATCGGGCTGGTGGCGCTCTCATAGTACATATCGTTAGACTGAACATCGATATACGTCCTCCACAGGGTGGGCCAGATGTCGTTTTCGCCAGCGGCAAAAATCATTTCATTGGGGACCATAGGATCGCTGACGGCCCGGATCATGCCCGCGGCGTACGCAACGGCGGTCTCGCTATCGTTGGCGCCGGGGACATACTGGTTGTAATGCGAGAGTCTGGCGAAGCGGTCTTCAGGAAAAATAAAGTTGGTTAGCCTTCTTGAGCTGGCATTCCGTGCCTTAAGCCCGGGCACGCGCCGCATATGTAGAGCTTTCAACATCCTGCTCCCGTTTAACAATAAACTTACCAGCAGGTCGGGCGCTTCCAGGGAGTGTCCAGTTGGAGATAGGTTCCCAGTACGTATTGATGGCGAGCTGCTCGGGGTAGGTGGGTTCGTTGGTGACGACATCATACTCTGAAGAGTGGAAGCAGTTAAGCTTGCCGTCAATGTACTCCATAATGACGTTGTCACCGCCCTTGTCAGTCACGATGAGGTGGCCGACGCTATTAACGCCATCGAGGAACGCTTTCTTGACGACCTGAATCTTTTCCCCAGAGCAAAGGTCGTTGACGGTCTCCTCGACGGTGGCGTAGTTGTCGAGGACATACTGGAGCCAAAGGCCGATGAAGATTCCAGGTTCGGAAGAGTTGCGCTCACCGTAGTCGCTACCGCCGAGGTACAGGATGCTGCTCGTTAAGCCCTCGGTGTTCAAGCCCTCGGAGTACACGATATCGTACATGAGGGCCGTGATGGATCCATACTTGGACGTCCACTCGACCGGGTTGTCCTCGATGGCGCCGTTGCGCTTCATGCCGGCGGGGAAGGCCCAGATGGTAGTATTGGTATCCTGAACGAAGTCCATGGAGCGGCCAATGACGATGCGGTCATCTACTTCGGCGTGGTAGACTACTCTAGAGCAGGCTAGGGCGGCCCACGGCATGGAGGCCGCGGCTAACGTGGAGAGCGCGCAGCTAGATTTCATGTTTGATACCTTGGCTATAAGAGGATGGGGTGAATGGCAGAGCGGCGACCAAAAGTCACTAAAAAGAGTAGAGCAAACGAGCTTGGCAGGTAACGAGAAGAAGCGGAACGGCCCAGGTCGCTGAACGTAAAGCCGAATATTTATATCCATGGCATGAGCCGTTCGAAGTCTACAGCTAGCTAGCAGGTTTAGGCTGGAGACGAGTCTAGCGATCGACCTTACATCTCATGTTCCAACCCGGCTGACGTCTCCCATCATACTACCAAAAGAGCCCATCTAAACTTACGATTTTTCCACCTTGATCTCGAGATACGGCCTAGCGAGGAGAGCGACAGCTTCGCCGGCTAACCGTCCACGATCACTGCCGCCCGAAATAGGTGACGGAAGGGATGGAGGCGGATCGCGCGGAGTTCCGTAGCGCCACAAGTTCGCCCGGTCTACCGGCTAAGCTGGACCCAAAGGCGAATGGGCGCTTCAATAAAGGCGAGCACTATCGAAGTCAAGCCAACACAGCGCCCACCTCCCAAAACCTTGAATTAAGTTTGCGGTCGGGGCAATGGTTCCCAGCCTAGTTCGAATGAGAAAAACACATCCATCTTGTTGTCTCAAAGTCGGTTTTCACAAAAACGTGATGTATGGGGAAGCTTCGGGCGCTAAGAGTCGGGCAACCGATCTTGACGAATCCGAACCAGCTGATCGTCGACCTCCATCTGTTAATTTAGTGTTTGGAAAGCGCACGAACTCTCTTGGAGTGGAGGGCGAGGGAAGGATGAGGGGCGAGAGGCGAAAACGACGCAAGATACGGAAGAGGAGAACGAGGCTAGATATTGTTTTTATCGCAGCCCATGTCTCGCCTGTTCTTTGTCTCTTTCATTTTTTTCTCTTTTCCTTCTTTGGGCCACTGCCGTTTATTCCTTGAGGTGGGGTGGAAAGGCTAACCCCCGAAGCAGCGAGGACTCGACCAGCAACGAAAGACCACAATTAGATGGAATGGGGAGAAAGGCCTTCGACATGAGAATATTGCAAGTTCCCGTTGGCAAGCGCCCCTTCGTGGAGAAATGGGGCAGGGCGGGGGCGCGACGGGTGTTAGGGACTCTTCGCGCGGCAGTCAGTTGTTGGTGACCCATAAAAGCTCATACTTGTACATTGGCCACTCAAACTCCGAAGAGGGTGCTCTACTCACGTTCTTCCCACGTTCAACGAGGTCTCCGCCTTTGTCGACTCCCGTACGATCGAGGGAGTGAGCGTTGAACGCGGGCATAGGCAATCTATTGAGTTGACATCTAGTTGAATGGTGTCCACGATGGGGCCGCTTGTTCTCCACTTGCCGCATCAGTCTCCTTTCAGTGGGCTCTTTTCTTTAGTTTCGTTTCCGTTCGCTGTGCTTTTCAGGCAAAGGTGGTGCCCCGGTGTTGAGCAAACGTCGCTCTCGGTGGTGGCAAATAGTGTCAACAAATGGGGCGCCGCCCTCTCACCCTTGTGTGCAGGTATATTCCTGATCTTGGTAAGAAGGGCAGCTCTCCACACCATGACGCCGCGGTCAAGACTAACGTATATCTAGCTAACAGCAGCGGAAATCTACGTGGGAACTTCTTAGTAGCCCGGGTCTAGACCCTGTCATCTACCAGTTGGTGATAGGTGTCTCGCATCCTCCGTTCAATATCGTCGTGGGTAGCTATCTATATTGTCTGAGAACATTTGGTTCGCGTCTAGGAAGGCCGAAGATATCTTTTGAAAGCTATAATTTGGCAAGTTAGTTCCGCGAGCATCACGACTAGTGCCTTGAAAGTTAGTTCGCTAGGTTGGATACTCTGTGATGCTTGGTGGTCCAATGGCTCCTCGCATGGGTTGCGGTGCTCAGCACACGGAGGACGCCATCCTCGACGATGTCCGGAGGCGTCGCATCAGGCTAGGGAGCCGAGGATGGCGTAGGAGACCGCTATCGGACAAGTCTCGAGAGGGGGCGCTCTCTCTCCAGGTGCCTTGTCAAGGGAATGCGGCACAAACGAGGCCTTGCCTAATTCCAGCTAGCTCTCCCGTATCCCTTATATTCGGGAAGCAACATTTCTCATCGTTTGACGCGAGCATACGAGTAAGGGGTGATGTTAACCCTTTTATTTCCGCCAAGATTCTTCTATGCTAAGGGTAAGTGGAAGCACAGTCAGTCACGGGTGTCAGTGCGCACTGCTCAGGCGGTTGGAGCTGAGACTGCTCAAGAAAGAGAGGAGCTCGTATGAGTCTCCTCTATATTAGCCTCGTGAGCTAGATGTGGTGGTGTGAGACAAAATGACAGCGGCGCAGCCGCCTTCACTAGCATTCACACAGAGGCGTGCGCGAATCTAAAATGAGAGGAAAAACGGCCATCCCCCTTCCCTCATGATTCAAGGCACCGCTCTGGTTCAAAAGCTGCGATTAGTAACTGATGACTGGGGTCGGTCTTTAGCTCCATCGAAAAGAGCCAAAGACGAAAGGTCTTGGCAAACACACCCTGTTCTGGAGCAAAATCGTGGCCTGTGGACCCTCGAGTTGAGAGAAACAAAGGGCAGTGGCTGAGCCTCAATATATTGAAACATCCTCCTTTTTGGACCCTGCAAACAGAGGTTACTTAAAATATCTTTAGCTCGCATGATTCCGCAAGGCTCGTGTCGCGAGGAAAGAGAAGAGGACGGGAGAGATGCTGGCTCCCCCGAAGTTTCGTTTCTTGATGCCACCCGCCCGGCCTGAAGGTTAATTAACAACCCAGGATAATGATCACGGTCACGCACATCCTCGACGACATGCAACCTTCCCTCCCACAGCTGCATTTAGGTGAGAAAATATGATAATACGAAGTAGTTCCTCGTGGGCCCTCACGAGAATGGTATATATCTCCGGCACCCTAGACGCTGAGCCACGACTCGCATGAAGCTTCCGGAGATGAATGCGGGCTGTGACGACAGCGTTGATCCTCCAAGAAAACGACCTTTCCAGGCGAGTACCTGCGCCTTGCAATTCCGGCAGGCGCTGACACCTGACGATTGGCCCACTTCTAGAGTGGCAATATACTGTCACGTGAGCCACTGATACGCCGGGCGCACGCAGCGCCGGCTATGTCCATCCACTTGCCCACCAAGGTCAGGACTGGAGTGACCTACACACACTACGCTACCATTTGAAAGGCGGGTCTAGGTCGAGTTTAGTGTATGGCTCAGATAGACCGACAAGCTCCCATTGAAGGGGCTTCTGGGAATGGATGGAACCTGACGCGTCAGCACCACTTTTCGTGATGAAAGGGCCTGCGGGGCAGACCCAACAGCGCCAACTCTCCCCCTCTAGCTCATTTTGAGGAAAGGAGAACGTTGTTCCTTTTGTTTTTGCTCCCCTTTCCCTAATACACTCTCCCTATTTTCATAACGAGTCCCCGAGTCCGAGTGGGGTAAGAAGACCCGATCCATATTTCGTTCAATAGAGGCGTCACTCGAAGGGGTAGCCAAATAACATTTCTCAACCGGCCCATAATGGCCGGATCGTACGGAGGAATCCGTCGGCGAACAGTTGATGGGATAATGAGGCCCAGTGCTCCAAGCGACGGCGCCTTAAAATAGGAGTGGAGGCTGGGGAGTGGGGAGGGGCAAAGGCTTGGTGATTGCTCAGATCTCCCAGTTTCTCCTCGATCTTCTGCTTTTCTTCGATGGCCCTGCAACCGACTGTGAATGGTCAATTATTGCTGGCCCTAAAGAACTTGGCTCTCCTTAGCGTGATCAAAGCTGGGGCGGTCCCTTCCCCGAGACGGGAGGGAACAATATTTCTCAGCAGCCTGTGATACAGAAAGTTGGACCCAAGGTCGCAATGGCGGTTTTGGTGGAGGGGGCTGGGTTGGGGAAAGTTGGAATATTCCGGTTACCCACCGTTCGCTCGAAACAGGAGCCCGTTCGCGAGTGCCCTGATCGGCAGAGCCAAGGCAAGATGACAACCTCTTGAGCAAGAGGAATGTTCTATGACGGAAGGGCTTTATTTTGGGGTTTTCCGGAGGAAGAAAAAAGGGAACAAAGGCCCTGAGATCCATGCACTCAGCCAGTGAGGCACTTCGACGAGATGGCTCAGTATCTACCTTGGTATGTCTCCAACATCTTGGCCGTACTTTTCGACGACAACCGTTTGTGTCAGCCATGCTTCTGAGCCAATATGGCTAACACTTTCAAGCTGGATCAATTACCAAGGGTGCATCGTATTGACGGTGGCGGCTGTCCTCGTTATTAAACCTGCTTTCCACCGAGGAAAATAAATTACTTGACGCATCGATAACCTGGTATTGGAGGATAAGTTGCTTGCGGCCCTGCTCTTCTTGGCATCGGAGCCCCAATTTGGGACGATGGTGCGCTTGCTAGTTTGGCATCCGCCGTCTGGCGACCATACCCTGCCGCGATTGACCATCGACTTTGAGGGTTGCACTTCTCGCCTCTCGTCCGCTATCTCCGCCATCGTCTTGTTTCTCTCTTCGTTGATCGCAATCTGCTTCTAAACACACACATATACCCACACTGGGAGAAAAAATAAAATAAAAAATAAAAGAGGAGCATGAGGGTTCCACTCTCGTTGCTTGACGCATTATCTCTACGGAGAAGAACGAACCGTGTTTAATCTGGTCCGCGAAAGGGACAAATGTCGTCTGTCGGAACATTGAAGCCATTATAATTCCAGCCAACATCCCCCACCTTCCATCTAAGCCCCGACCGATGGCGGCCTCCCTCTAACCCTAGGGACATGGGCAAGTGTGGATATGCAATTGATGTACCCCGATTTATGCAACTTGACCCTTGAATCTCACGCTTTGAAGGAGTTCAAGAATGGACGTCTCTTTGACACGCAACACGATCTCAGTCGAACAAGCGTCCCTGCAAATCCCTCTCCTTCGCCCAATGTTAGTCTTTGATCGTTTTACCCTGTCATCTTTCCCCCTCTCAAGCTTTCAGATTTCTTGGCAAAGGTTGGCTGCATCCATGTCGCCTAGCTATGATACTGTCCGCATGTAGACCTTGCTTTCACTATTTTTCCTCCCTTCTTTAAAGTAATTTTTTCCCTCTCTCTTCTTCCGTTCCTTCTTTTCGGAAGGCCTTCAAGGCCAGTGTTGAGTCGCAGGGGTCATCCTAGTCCACTACCGACTGGGCCCGCCCTCCCACCCACAGCCCGCATCGTTCGGTGGTTGCGCCCATTTCAGCCCAGTTCATGTTGCGTGTCTTGAATTAAAAGGGGAGATATCTGTTATTCGTCGTACTTTTGAACAGGAGAGGGTGAGCGAGCTTGGTGGGGGCCGGTTGAGAGGTAGGATCTTCTCCATCGCATGTCCCTCCGCATGGGGCTAGAAGTCCACTACATCCGTTCATACTACGAAGTAGATCTATCATCATCCATCCATTCCATAGACCTACGAAGTACGTACTAACGAACTGTTTGGCGTGGGACTGGGCTGTGTGGTGACAGGACATGGAGCCATGTATTAATACAAGTATCATCCATTGGGTTTCGCCAGTCGCCCAGCCCTCCATTCTCTCTTGCCCACCGCCCACAGGACAAGACCAAAGGGTTGCTTATCATCCCCACTCTTGTACATCTTCGGCACTACGCCGACGGACCCCCGGTCTTTTTCGTAGACGGGCAAAGCCGTGTCTCCCACCTTCACTCAACACATAAACACGCACGTACACAGCATCTCCAAATTCCCCTCTCCTCATTTTTCCCACCCTTCTCTCCTTGTGTATAATACAGTTAGGATTAGATTCGGATATAAAAATATATATATATATCGAATAATATTAGGGGAGAAGCAAAATGATGGCTTTTGGAAGCAGTCACACTTAAGACTAGATCTCGTAACTGGCAACAGCTTTCATGGAGTCCGTCAGCATTTCTGATACGTCTCGTCTCCTTCTTTTCCTCCCATCCACCACCTCCTCTTATTTTTCTATCGTCAGTTTTCAGGACGAGCCAATAGCTTACCTCTTTGTGCACCCGGTCAATGACGGCAAGCCGATCACCTTCGTTCAAAAGGAAAAGTAGCCTAGTTCTCTAAAATAGCGTGAGCAATGGTTGCACTTGTAGTTTTGGAGCGCTGGAAAATCGAAGAGTGTGGTGCTGGGCTGGTGCGCAGGTGGGTTTCGGCCCCACCCCCAAGTCAAGTCCAGGGGAAGGTACGAGGTACCCTGATACTGTCCCTTACCAAGACCCACCACCCACTTCTCAACGAGCAGGGAACGGAGCACTTGACAGTGGCCGAGACGAAACTCCTCTGGTCATTGTCTTCAACTTGGCCGCCCAAGTCTCCCTCGACCATCCGTTTCATTCTCTTGTTTCTCTCCGCCATTCACACCCATCCACCCGCAACACACCACAACTACTCCCACTGGGTGCCAATCCTCGACATTGGCAACACCATTTACTTGCCCTTTTTGCCCTCGCTCCTCTTTTTCCCCTTCTCCCTCTCTCACGACTCAGCGAACGCCTCATTTCCTCCCGACAAAATTCTTCGCCTCCCATCGACATTCTCGATCTCTCGGTCTCTTTTTCCCTCGCATCCTTTCGACCCCGACCCTTTCATTTCGAGCTTCCGGCCCTTTTATTTGCCTCGCGATAATCAATCAAGGATTTTTCTGTCAAAATCAATCGAGTTGGCAATCCGAGCGAGAGTGATAATCCGGCACCCAATTTTTAATTGTCAACTTCACGCAAAAGTGGCCAACGACCTCTGAGTTAGCCTCCGTTTCCCTCCCCTCGATCGGGGTAGATACCTCCATCGACGAACCCGAAGCGCCTTCATAGTCACCAAATCCAGTTTCCTTCCTCATCGTGCCCATTGCACTCCTTGATTGACATACGCCGCTCCACCTACCATCCGTCACGATGGATCTCCCACCATCCAACAACCCGAACCACCCTTCAAACCAACTCCACGATGCCGCCTATCCCATGTCCGATTACCAACCCCAGAACATAACCCCCCTCAAGGTCCGCCAACCCTACAAAGTCAGCCAAGTGCCAGTCCAGTGAACCACAACACAGCACCCTCGCCGAGTGCGAAATATGCCGAGATCGCGACACCTGCGTTAGCACTTACCTCGGGTCAGGCCTCATCATCATGGCACGCGCCGGGACCCTCCCATCTCGACACGACCCTGGATCCTCCTCCTTCTTACGAGCAGTCGCAATCCCAAACTCAGTCTCGGCCAAGCACTTCCAACCAAGCCTCCACCACCAACCTCTCCACGGCCCCCACTTAACCCTATTCCCTCGCCTAACTCTCCCACTACACCAAGCGTAAGCAGCAGCTCAGCACCGATGCCCCCGACAGCAGCCTATCATCCCGCGAGGCCGTCAACGGCAAGCCGCCCATCTAACTACCCTCCTGCGCCTTCTACTGCAACTTCTTCAACGGCGGCCCCCTCACCCCAGCCTGGCCCACTTTACGGCGCCATGCCCGCCATGGGCTATCATAAGCCTGATGCCTTGGCAACGCAATCGAGACTCAAGAGGTTACGGAGGCGATCCTGTTACATCACGCTTCTGCTCATCGGCGTCTTCGTGCTCGCCATTTTTGTAGGCTTGATGATTGGGTTTAGGGACAAACTTGACGATAGCAAGAAGGAGCAGGGCCAAAGGGAAGCCCACAGATGTTAGGCTACGAACCGTCACCTACCACCCGCGTCAGCTATCCTAGTCCCTACGACAATAGCGCCGACGGCGATTTCTTTCCTCTCTTCAAGATCGCTGATGACGATTCCGATTAACAAGTCACATATGAGGGGTTGGTCCAGAGCACTTTCGCAATGGTTTTCGCCCTCCTGCCAAAGTTATTTTCGGGAACGATTAATTCCCCTTAGACGGCGCCGATATTACCTGCATTTATTGACACAGCCACGAACCTGGGACGCTCACCGGTTAATTGTTACCGCACGGCTTCTTCCATATTGAATTAGCGACGAGGACAGAACCCTGACGACATTTAACGGCAAGCGTGACCTGTGCACCAAATTCCCTTGCTATCCTTAACCTCGAGGACTTGATCGTGTGTTTCGGGTGGGGCTTTTCTTGCACCGTGGAGATGCGCGACTCCTACCGACCATCTTCCAGCAGATCTCAGCCTCAAAATGCCAAAGACCGATAAAAGACCTCGGATGGCATGCTATTGTTAGGGCGGTTGGCGTTTCTTTCTCTTGTTAACTTTGGGCGTAAATTCAATCTTATCTTGCCATAGTATGAAGATACACTCAATCCTGTCACTGGGAGTGGATTGTCTTGCTATTCTATTTTTCTTTTGTCATACGGCCAGCAGACGGTTTCTATTGCATCTACATGTTTTGTCGAATCAAAGACATATGGGACTATGGGTTGGTTATCCGGGGTGGACTCTTTCGGCTTGTTTTCTCCTTTGGCGTTTTGTCTTCCTTTTTTTTTTTCCCGATCCCTTTCTTCCACGAATCTTGGCGTGGTTGGAGATAGCATTTGTGCTATTAGGGGTCATATGCCTCCTTTCCCTATCGTTTTGTCGGAGGCTCACAACGACCCAAATCGTCTTGTCTTGCACATGCTTAGGCGAGGTAGCTGGGAACCAGTGGTATACAGGGTATATGGTGTGAGGATGTCAGCCCTCGAAAGGTCTGCCCTAAGAAAACCGGCGTGAGAGGGGAACTGGAACTAACCAGCTTGCTTTTGGTTTGTTTTTCCTATATCCCAAGCGTTTTTTATATGTATATTGAGAACAAGTTAAAGGGGTCAGCATAATAAGCCCTGCTCCTCCCCCAAAATTCAATCAATACACAATACACCGAAACCAGAGACCTTTATAGTGTCTCGGTGACCGGTTGGTATCCTACATCTCAGACCTAGCTCCTTCTGCTCACTGAAATCCCCGTGTTCCGAATGAAACAAAACAGAAGGTAGAGGATGTCACGAAAAATGTAGGAGGAAATGGACATGAAAGGCGCAAGAAACGGGGACGAGTCTGAAATGGGGAGGCAACAAGAAGCAACCTAGAAACGTATGTCGAGGTATTTGAAGAGCAAGAGAAAAGAAACTTGTCTTGCGTTGACCCTGGGCCATTCTCCGACTGCCCCCTCGCTGGTGTCTTTTAGTGACAGAAATGGGTCTTACCAAGTGAAGCGTAGAGGTCACGGATTTTCAAAGAAAAGAAAAAAAAAAAGAAAGAAAAAGAAAGGGATGGCCCATCAGGTGTCTTCGAGACATGGGAGGAGGATAGCCAGCTAACTCTGTCTCACATCTCTGTGGGGTGGCGGGTGGCGGCGTAGGAATGGCGAGTTCCCCTACCCCTACCCCATATTTCATTCTTATACTCATCTCGGAATTAACAGAGGTAGAGGGTATCCGTGAGGGGCGAGGTCAAAGGAAGCGTGGGGAAGATCCGAGATCTGTGTGTCGGAAACGGATAGATCTATGAGAAAAGGGGCATTCCCATCAAGAAGAGCGATGTGGATGAGATAAAGGAAGAGGTAGCAAAAGTCTCAGAAGAGGAGAAACTAGAGAGGCAGGAACCTTTGACTGGCATGGGGCATGGCGGATGGGATCGAAACGCTGAGGCGGAAGCATTGACGGCCGTGGACAAACGAGGGGGCAAGGTGGGCGTCTGCCCCAACTCCACAGAAGATCAAATGGGCTGGACCAAAGGTATGAAGATAGAGTTGCACCAAGGATACGAGAGAATGGCCGGCTAGAACCAAAGGCGAAACAAGAGGAATGCGAATGCAAGGGAGACGAGCCAAGAAGAGTTATTTTGTTATATGGGCAAGCATTTGCTGTATACAACGCACTTTCTATCTTGTCAACCCAGGGCCTCATCTCTCTACGTAACTATGGCCGCCCGTTCCTGTTTATATACACTAGTCAAGATCCCCTATCGACCATATGCCCACCAATTCACAGTCGCACCTTGCCCTTTCATGTGCAATCAATCCATCATCACTGATCATATACCCAAGCGCCGTAACACCAATGAAAAGAAAGAAAACGAATTTATCCAACGCCCGCCAGTGTCCAAGAGAGAGACGAAGAAATGCTGGGTTGGGATGTGAACCAGTAAGACCGTATAAAATAATAACCTCGTAAATGAGAGAGCCCAACCCTCGCTGTGTGACGCCCTCATACGTTCGGCTATCGAACGTGTGATATCGAAAGAAGGGGAAAAAAACGCCGACGTGATGAATCCTACCCCGAGAAGAAACAAGTAGAGAGAGACAGTTGAGATTCGAAGGGCGATACTAGTCCCAGGACGGACAGAGAAAAGAATTCGCAAAAAGAGCCGCTCGAATGAGCATTTCTTGGCACGCACCAGACATTAGAAGGCCAAGTGTCACGCAGAGCCGGTCGGCTTGATGGTCTTCTCATCCATATAGGACTCGTCGACGTGGTCTGCGCAGATGGAAGGATACGAGCGTCTTCGGGGTTCATCAACAACAAGAAATATAGCGCCTGTAGCGTTTCCATTCCTCCACCTGCAAGGGTTGTTAATGGATCTGTGGGTTTATATCGAGGAATGAGGAAGAGAGGGACAACGGATTGGAAGATGGGACGAACCTTTGAATGGTACAGGCGACAAGGGCGAGGAAACACCCAGCGAACCCGGCGAGCGCGAGGCACATGCTACGAGTCACGACGTTGGCCAACATTTGCTGCAATTCCACGGTAGCAGGGTCCCAAGTCTGAGTGGTTGTAGCTGCGGGCGTAGCTGCTGAAGCGGTCGCCTTGGCTTTTATGGAAGGAAGCGCCATGAGGAGGGTGCTGGGGAGAGGAACGTCGGCTGAGAGAAGCTCTTCAATGTCTGACAAGGTGATGGTTTCGGAGACGCCAGACCGGGTTGGCGTTTGGTTCTCGGCAGGATATTTATCGCTGTACTTCACCACAATCCCAGAAGCACGGCGGCTAGCGGGAATGGGAGTGGAGAGTACGGAAGTCGCAAGGGCAAGGACGAGAACAAACGGGATGTAGTTCTTCATAGCTATCGTCATTTTTGAGGGGCGCGCGCGCGCAGTGTTGAGGTGAGGCAAGAAGGGAGTTGAAGGTAGCAATCGCTTGTGGATCGTCGAGCACCGGTACAATTGACTGGTGTGGGACTGTCCTAGCTGTATATTTCCGGTCACGTCGAGCGAAGTGCGTAGGCTGGCCGCAGCCACCGTAGATGGGATAAAGGCGGCGTGGTTCGGGAAATCGGGTGTTGAGCAGTTGCGGCGAACAGAAAAGTGTGCTCTCTAGTTGTGACTCTCAGTGATTGAGAGAGGGCGGGCAGTTGAAACGGGCGACGGCGCGGATGCAACTGGAGGCGATGTATTTCAAATGTTCAGAAGCGCAGGTCCGGTAAAAGGGCGGGACAGGAACTTGTTTGAAGAAAAGCGTAGAGCTTGCGTCAATGTGGAGGGAGCGCTGAAAAGAAGAGGATGGGGGAGGAGACGAGGAGGGTATCGCGAGACTAAAAAGGGCAGACCGAGGTGGAGGACCAGCACTGCACTTGTGCACAAGTTGAGTGCAAAAACACTCCGTTCCCGCAGGGGTGGGCCGGGAGTGTGCTTTCACGATGTGTGCGGACTGGCGGTGGTAGTAAACTCCGTGTTGGAGTGTGCAGCAGGTGGTTCGTCGGTTACCAAGGCCTTCCGGGCGTCTGGAGGGGCGTGGGCAAAAGTGTGGGAGGGGCGTGAATTGAAAGAAAGCCCAAGTATATTAGACAATGGGCCGGATGGGAAGGGGGACAGGGGTCGTCAATCGGGGAGGACAGGACTGCCTGAACAGGGGTTTGGGTGTGTCGCGGAAGTACCGCTCGTTTCCACCGACCCACGAGCTCTCCTGCTCCCACAACTTGTGCGATCCAGTCTCGTATTGACAAGCAGGAACCGATGTTCCTGGTAAGGCACACACGTTTAGACTTGCCAAGCGGGTTTAGATCTTTCCTTTTGTTTCCTGCAAGGCCTTTTTTTTTTTTTTTGTCCGCTCAGGTCCGCGTCTAACTTCTGGACGTTGCTTCCTGGGCTAAGGATTGAGGTGGGATATAGCTCGGATTCAGAAGACGATCGAGTGCGTGTCCCAGACAGCTCAGCCTCCAGGAGGCGTCCCGTCTTTGTGTTTTGGCTCCGGCGTGAGTTGAGCTAGAACGTGTCGCCAACTGCCAGCTCCAGCCTCAGTGGACCTCTGTTTCTCTTCTGTCTGGAGAAGTGGCCAGACTAAAGGGCAATACAGACAGTACTGTGGATTGCGCAGGTTTTTGCTGTAGCGTTTAAATCTTTTTTCCTGTCTTTCTCTCTTTCTCTCTCTTTCTCATCCGTCCCCCTCCTTTTCGTCTTGTCTCTTCTCAGCAAAAAGAACGGGGTCGAGGGGGTTGAGGTAGCCCGTTCACACACGTGGTTTAGGGAATGTCGTGATTGACGCTGGGGAAGAGGAGTCGAGCTAAACTTGCAGACTGATGTGCGGGGTGGGAAGGGGTTGGGATGGGGTCTCTCAAGACCACTGCACAAATAGCAAAGAGTCCGGACGTGGATGCGAAGTGAGAGTGTTGGCTGAAGAAAGGAGGAGGGTGGCGTCCTATGAGCAACTAGTGCTGTGAGTCAATTCTCACCGAAGACCTCTCCTCCAAGGGTAGAACTCTCTGAGGCTTGATGGAGATGGCGGTCGCAAATATTGGTGGCCACACAGCTGGTTAACAGGACGCTGGCACCACCCAGAACATTGACAGTGTCACCCACGGTGATTGGACAAGCTTCTCAGACCTCGACTGGGATGGCAGTGACTCGGAAGGTGCCGTGGGGGTAAAGCTAGAACAAGATGTTGGTGCGTGAAGATTCGGTTTGTCGAGGGCGCTCCTGACGAGTGGGGGACTACGGAAATTCAAATGAAGGAAACAACAGGGTACGGGGGCCAACGATTGATATATTTCTATTCTCGAGGATCGTACATGTCGGAAGAAGACGACAACGGCTGAACTCAGGTATAATACATCAATATATGCTAATAATGTGTGCTAACTCATGATGGGCCAACTGTCGAAAGAGGATATTGCTCAACATTGATGCAAGAGAAGATTGAAGGGTGATCCAAGGCTTCATTCCAGTTAATAAACTCAACCCTATCTCTGTATACTTCGGACTTGCTTGCTAGCAACATACACCACACTAGGCCTAGGGTCGAATTTGGGGGAGGGGGCAAGGGCGTGGGGCCCGTTTTCCTCCGCATTAATGTACTTCTGGTGACACCTGAGAGGTCGTCTAAATCGAAAGCTGACCTACAGCGAGGAAGGAGAACCGCAACAGGTCTAGCGTCCGAAAGGTGAAGTGTGCAATCCTAGCACGAATCCAATTGATCGATCAATTGATCCATCGCGGGTGCTTCCATCTAAGACCCTGTTGTGACTTCCTCGAGTTGAGGCAGTTTCAACATTACCAATGCAGAGCTCTCAGCTCATTCCTCCCTGCCTCATGGCCATCGCAAGATTAACCCAGTGGAGCCAGTCCAGTCCGAAGGCCGCGAGCCTAGCGCACCGTTCCGTGTGCCTACTCAAAAAGGAGTTGAATGTTCTTTGGAAGACAAAGAAGCAGGGGGTTCTGCCACGGCGGTATCGGAAGGGGGACTTTGCGATACTGGCCAACACTTGGGCCAGACCGAACTTCTTGTGCATTTCTTAGACCTGGCTTTGATGGGAAACAGTGATGGGATCCATCGGTTGCATCAACCTCAATCTTGTGCATCTTTGAGCTGTGTAGCTTAAATGGACTCACTATGCTGCGAGGAAGTGGGGTTCAAGGCAATAGATGGGTTGCATTGAGAACGGAGAGTGGACAGAGGTACCAGGGGTCTTGCCTTGTGAATTGAAGTGGGCAGTGTTGAACCATTTTTTGGGAGGGAGGGAGGGGTTGCCGTCACTCAATGTTCCTGGTGGAGTCGCGTGAGCGGCAGAGAAGAACGGTCTCTTCAGGGAAAGTACAACTATTGATCTTCAGGGAAAGTACAACTATTATTGAGCAATCGGACAGAGACGGAACAAGCTAAATTAGTGTAGAAGGCGGGGTGGGACCGACATTGATGGCAAGACTGGCTTCTCGCTGAATACGGCTGCACCTCCACGACACATGGGCAAGCATTGGCCATTTATTGGCAGTGCAGTGCAACCTGTTTACAGGCCCTTGTGTTTAGCTCCGTCTCCATTCATACGAGAAGGACAGCCCAAAGCAATGCAATTGATGTTTTCAGTCGGCAAGAGTCCGAGTGGAGGAGTTGCCGGCAAACCTTTTTACGACAAGTGGAAACCTCCTTCTCGTCCGCCTCCTTCTTTTGGACTCCTCACGGCACCTGTCGGTTTTTGCGGGGATCCACCATGCACCGAGTCCTCAATTGTTCAGCATGTTGGACGATCAGCATTAGTAGTGCTTGATCTGGCGAACTCTTTAAGGAGACCTTGGTCCTTTAGGGCAACTCTATTACCCTGCTCCCGCCTCGTTGGCGTAGCAGCAATTTCGTTCAAGACCACCAAGCCGGGGAACAAGTGAATCTAAAATAAAATAATAAATAATAAAAAATCCTTGGTCAGAGTGCAAGGCAAGAAAACACTCGTCTGGCGCACATGTTCGCCTCCAGCCTCTGATTCGAGGGATGGCAAGAGCACATTGCCCTTTGACTTCATGTACGGAAAGAAAAAGAGAAAAAAAAAAAAAAGAAAGAAAAAGGGCGATCCAAAAGGCGCTCTAAGACACAATTGAGCACTTTCTACCTCGGTAGTTATTCAAAACCTAAATAGTTGTGTGTGGCATGACTGCCGGAGGTTGGAAACGTTTCCAACCAAACCATCTAAGCTTTCACAACCATGGCCTTTGGTGAGACACGGACGGTGCCTTAACAGCAGAGAGAAAACCCGAGGTCTAGTCAAAAAGTGTCCTCTCATGTGCCAGCCAATGCGTCATTAGGCAGTCTCCTGCACACCGCACAATCGCGATCGCGGGGCACTTGTAATGAAGCCGAGTCAGATTGGTGATGGTCGATTCTTCTCCCATCGACCGCACCTACCTTAGCCCTATTGTCGATGTTGGACTGTTGTTAAGCCGTTCGCGGACATGGGACTTGGGACTGGGCGGCACATACCCCTACAAAAAGAAATCACAAAAATACGTCTTGCATCAATCGGTAGCAGGCTTGTCGCTGATCAGTAACTACCTTGGGAGGTCTTGGCAGTGGTAAGGAGAAGATGGACAAGATTCAAGGAGCCCTAGTCTCCGTACTGTCCTAAACCCCCAAACGATCAAATAATGTTCGATTCGATTGACTCCCAAACCACTCAGCTCGCCATCCCATGTGGCCTAAATGATTGGCCATGACCATGCCACACGGGCGGCCCAGCCAGAGGAGTGGGGACAGGCCACTGAGAAGCGAGTGAATACTTTGACAGCATCTTGTGAGTGGATGGGTGCGAGTACATTTGACTAGATCCATCAATTGATCCATCCATGGATCAATCCCAGGCTACCTACTTCGTATGTTGTTGAGATGTGAGAAGCGTCCGACACTGGCTGACCGCCTGCTGGGACCAGCCCAGCCACCCACTGATTCATTCTTTGCTACCTTGGTGCTCCCTGCCCGCCCCTTATTTTCCTTTTTCTCTGCTAGCTCCGGAACATTGCAGGATCATTGATACTTGTACATTGAGGACTAAAAGCACCACTCAGGAATTCAAACCAAGCCCGCAAAGCTATTGATACCCTTTCGGGATGTCCCCACGCCCCTGCCCTCCGATCGATCGAAGGCTGATCGATGTTGCGGCTAGGACTGGAAGTAAAATATACCCACCGTTCTATTGGGACCATTGTGTTGTGCCGTACTCGGCGTTTCCCACCAGAGGCGCTTGGAATGGTGGTACTGAGTCTTGTCGTGTGGCCAAAAACAACCAACAGTGCAATGTTGAAAAAAAAAAAAAAAAAAAAAGCCGCTGTTGCAAATTTGAATCTACGCGAGAGGCTTGCTTCTCCTCGAACCATCAATCCTTGCCCTTTTGCTTCCCACCTATTCAATGCCTTCAATGACATTGGCATGCATTCCACGTGCCGCGGCTTTGGCCTTGTTAGCGGCAGAGAGTGGTCCCCACACTCGCCTACCTCTGAGGAGAGGTTGAGATGAAGTTGATGCCCTTCTCACTTCAAGCCATGATCTGCACGTTCGCCCCAAGCAACGCCAAGTAGCCCCGACGCAAAACCCAATCCTAGTTCAACACGGGATGCAAGGCTCGTCATGGTGAGGATCTCAAGCTCTGAAATCGATGCGTATTTTTCGACCTCCAGCCAGCCGCTTTTTCCTTGACCTTCTCTTCTCAAGACTATGTTGATTTCCCCGGCCATCGTTTTGACTTGACCCCTAGTCCGAATGAGGCGGTCCCCTCGTGACGGAAGATCCTACACATACCCCCTTACCTTTGTCCCATTTGTACTATCGTCAATCCACACTTTTGGAGAGTTTCGTAGTGAGCACTCGTGCCAACCTCCCACCGCCATCCAGGGGTCCCGCCAATACTAGTTTACAAGCACTCGCATCGTCATGGCTTTGGAGCCAATTTGTAAATCGACATCTCGCTCGTGCTCGTGAAAAGCAAGGCAGAAAAGAGTGAACAACATTGGAGGGTTGGTGTTGGGCCCGCGTCTGTGCTCGCCTTGCTCCTCCTTCCAATAATACTGTAGCCCAAGCCCGGGCACCATTCGACTTGCCACTCTGGGTGAAGACGAAGAGAATCTCTGATCTTTAGCTCTCAACCCGGGCGTTGTGCCATCCTCTTTTCCCTTTTCGCGCTCTTTTCCCCTCCATTTCCTGCGGCTCTTGGATCCCCAGATGCACGCTTTGGCCCTCGACCCCAAACAAACCGTGTGAAAAGTTTCCGTTGTGAATCAAGGGCTAGAAGGGTTTCATGGCACCCGTCTCGATCCGGCTTACCGATTCCTTTGACAGAGATGGACTTGTCTATTCGCCCCGCGAATGGTCCATGCATGCAGTAGATAACGGCTTGGATCAACCTCCGCTGGAAAGCGGCGCTCGGCAAACAACCTCCCCTCCCATCACCGAATGACAAAACAATTCGTTTGAAGTCTCCATGCATGGACGAATTCGGCAAGAGTTCATGTGGATGTATCGATTCTGGTCTGTGGGAGGTGACTACATTCCTGGTCCCGACAGATGGAAGGATTTCTAAGGGACCTTTTGCCAAGCCACCATTTCCGGGCGCCTCTGTGTGTCGAAGAATTAGAATCGTGAGGTTGTGTCGCAGCTCTTCCATTGCCATAAACACTTTACCTACACCGGGCTCCGCTGGTAGATGTAGGTAAACTCAAGGCTCACAAGGCTGTTTGCAGAACTACCTGGCATCCTCGGTCGTCCATGGCGGCATCGCTCTTGTGTCCCCGACATGACCGTCGAGATCACTACAAGTAGTTAAGACGCCGGGACACTGAGTATCAAGAGCCGATATACCGTAGACCAATACTGCTCCCTCTCGTGATAACATAAATTGCCGTTCAGATCCTCCCGCCCGGGAGAGTCACAGAGGCCGCATGCTTGAGTGGCAAAGTGGATCGATGAATTACTTGAAATCACGTCGTAGTCGGCTCTTTCGAGCATGAATCTACAATCGCCCCACGTAAGGAAGTCTTCGTGGACCAAATGCTATCTAGATTAATATAGGAACGAGCAGAGGAGGGCCAAGCCACCAAGGCCTTTAAGCGGCATGGAGGGGCCCGCACACAGCACGGCTGGCCCGAGTAAGTCAATTGATCAGCGGGTCTGCCGTCCGCAAGTCTGCAAGGAACATGGAGTGTTTTTGTGGAAGCCAGCATCATACCCACACAACGCCCCGCGGAGACGCCAGGCAGCCGAAGCGAGAGCATGATAATGAAAAGTGGGAACAAAAACTGGAAAGGGAAGGGTGCTGTGTCTCTCTCTTTCCTCTCTCTCTCTCTCCCACAACTCTTCCCGTACCCTACTGCACGCTCTTCTAAGCCACGGGTCTGGGGGAGTGGCCCTGATTCGTCCAAAGTCGCCCACCAGCTCCTCTCCCATCTTTTTCTCTCAATGGACTATTAAACAGCATGAAGGGGTGATCGACATTAGGTCGACTCTCGGCGCTCTCGATTTCATTTGAAGGGGGTTTTTTGTCTTTTTGACTCAACGACGCCCCCGTGGTTTCCACATGCTAGTATCCTTGTAACTGGAACCTCGAGGACTTGAAGGGTGGTTTGCATCCTTCCGATTCCGTTCAGCCTGCCTCGGAGAATCGGGCACGACGAGCACCCACTGACCGAGCAAGAAGTACCTTCTTTCGCTAGTAAGCGATTCTTGGGGTCTATTGATTTATGGTTTTTATCAATCCATGGTTTTCGTTTCTCTTTTCCTTTTGACCCCTTCCTACACAGTACATCCACTTCCCTTCTCCTTTGCTTCAATTGTGCGTTTGACTCCCACAGTGTGGCTCCTACCCACACAAGGCCAAGAAGAGCGGGTAAAGGGAATCTTGTGTGAGGTTCAAAGGCCCAAATCCATCATCAATAAGAAAATGACTTGAGCTAATCTTGATTGTGGGAGCGTCCTCTGTTTCCCCAGATTGATCTCCAGCCACCCGATGCCAATGCCTTGGAGAGGCGCATGCCAAGAGAAATCCCCTGTCATCAGCGCCAAGAAAAGCCAAACGCTCCTTCTCTTTCGTCATCTATTCTTTCGCCCTTGAATCTTAAATGCTTATGATCAATTCTTTTCGAAGAATCTCGCGTCACCGAAACCTAACCAGCCGGTTGAGTTATTCTTTCGGTTCCTACAGGCGGAAGGAGAATGACACTACGGGCTAATGCTAATAGTCGAGATGCATTTGTGTCACCCTCCATCTGATCCTGATCAAATGGGATCATATCAATATCCAGGGGAAAGGGCAAGGTTATGGAGGGCGTGGGGGTGGCATGTTCAGAGCAGGCAGGCCAGGTATTCAATGCCAATTTCGAGCTCCTTCTAATACCCTCCCTTCCTCTTTCTTCTTCCTCGGTCCTGCCCTCCAAAACTGCAACCATTCCATGAGAACGGCTAATAGCATGCGATTGGCTGTGCCCATCGACTTCACCCGTCAAAGAGGGCGCGCAATGATTCGTTGCTGGTGATGAACGAGATATTGTGTAACCTGACCAACCACGGTTGATGCATATTTCGATCACATAAGCCAACAGACAAATAATTGTGGCGTTCAGTTGGGAAAGCGTGGCTGTTCGAGTGCTGAACTGCAGCTCCTCGCTGCGTCGTTTGGCTCAACGACCATTGGGGGTTTCTGCCATGAGGTGATTGAGATCCATCGTCATCGTCAACTATTTATCCAATTTCCCGTGAGATATTTCGCTGGAAGGGGGGACAATAGCATCTTCTCTTTCACTGTTCCCTTTTCCCAATACCCTTCTCCATTATACCCTCCTAGACCTCTCACAACAATTGCATTGAGTGTACCCAAACAAGAAACAGACAAAACCTAAATGGATCCATTGTACGGATCAATGAACAAATATAGGGGAGCACGAAAACTCTAGCCTAACTCGCCTCCTAATTCTTTTTCTTCGTCCCCCAACGCGCCTGTCGTGCCTTCCCATGTCACCCCTCTCATTCTTCGACCCCTAATTATAGCTCCCCACGCCGCCACAACTGCCTGCAGGGACCTCTTCTCATCCAGCCAGAGCGACTCGAGATAATAATCGACACTTTTTTTTTTTTTTTTTCCTCTTTCCCCGGTCCTGCTTCGTCGGGGAGGCTAACAAAACCGTCCGGCGATTCTTTGCTAACAACATCTCGCCAATTTTCTTACTTTCTCTTTCTTCTTCCACTTCCTTCCTTCCCTCTACTCGGACTCCACCCCCTTGTTCTCGACGCCGTTGGTGCATCAATGCCGATGCGGTGATAACGATCTCACGTCTCCCCGTTTAACGAACTGGCAGCCTTCGCCCCTCCCTTCCCCCGAATCGAACGCCATACTACCTTTCCCACACCCAACCATCCTAACGACAACGATAACGACGAAGACACGATACCCCATCTTAAACTGCCCAGTCGCGATCGCAAAACGAAGAGAAGCAAGGAAAAAGGAGTTCCGGCCTCCTCCCCTAGAACGGCGAAGCAGATGGCCAGATGGCTATCCCTCCAGTAGCGCGGACACAAATAGACTTTGATAGGCAATTCCCCGTCTCCGTCTCCTCTCCGGTCTTGACGCGCTCGAGTACGGTTCCAACGAATCTCGGCGGCCAGAGATCCGATCGCTCCCACCTCGCCCCCGAGGATGCCTTCTACGCGCATTCTCCCCACGGAGGATACCTCCTATCGCCGCTGCCACCCTCTCCGCGGGCTTAGGTGATGGCTCTCCAGTGTTGAGACAAAGGAGGAAGCCCATCGGCGCGAATGGATCCGGGGCGGCACACAGGACGCGCAAGAGGAGGAGGAGTTGGAAGAAGCTGCTCTGGGTTGATAGAGCCTGTACGTTTTTCCCTACCAGTTTCTCCCCCATCTTCCTTATCCTATATCCTTCAGCCTCCCCACTAGTACGATGCTATCTCTCGTGTTCCCCTCTCATATCCTAACGCGACGGCCCTGCCTCTAGACCCCGACAACTACACCGATCAAGCCACTTTCCTCGAGCAACTTCAGCGAAACCCTCGCCTCCAGCCTTACGATTTCTGGCCTCTCGTCGCCGACACGACCATCATCGTCCAACATGTCTGCTCTGTCATAATCTTCATCGTTGCCTTCGTCGCTATCATTCAAGAGCGCGTTACCCACGTCACACTCGTCAGCTACAGCTCTGTCCTCACCTTCCTCGGCTGGCTCGTCTGGGAGCGGTGGGTCGCAGACGCCGAAGACCGCGAAGAGGAGCACATCGCTGCGGGCAATCCCCCACCCACCACCACCCTCGCCCGCGGGGGCAGTCGACGCCGCACGGGCAGCATCCGTCGCCGCGCGACCCTCCTTCAAGAGGCCAGGGCCATCCCCACAGGCCTAGGTATCACCACGACCAAGGAGAATCTCAATGCCGTATCTGACCGGCTCCAAGAATCCTCCGCCTCGGTCCACCGCGGTCACCCAAGCGCAACATCGCTCGTGGCCAACAGCAAGAGCACCCACCCCAGCAGTGCGAACGGCAATGGCAAGAGCAACGGAAACAGAATTGTGCCTACTAAGAGCGCGTCCTCGACGCACCTCCCGCCCCCGCCATGCCCACCACGACACGACCCGCTCCATTGCCACGCCCCGAGCGAACCCTAGCCAACAGGCCCAGAACGGCGCGAATGGCGCCAACGGCACCCTGTCTGTGACTGGCGCCGCGCGCACCACCGGAACCGTCACGACCACGATCCCCGAAGTTGCTCCCATCCCGCCCCCAACCGCACGCACGAGCGCCTCTCCACGATCAAGTCAGCGGCTCTCATCTCCTCCATCCTCCTTGGCCTCTCCCCCATTCTCAAGTCCCTCACCCGCTCCACATCCTCCGACTCCATCTGGGCCATGTGCTTCTTTCTCCTCACTATCAACATCCTCTTCTTCGACTACTCAGGTGATGTCTCCGCGGCCAACTTTCCCGCCTCTCTCTCCACAAACGCCGCCCTCATGGCCTCCACCATGCTTGCTTCCCGTCTACCCTCTACCGGTCAGGTCTTTAGCCTCACTGTCCTCTCCATACAAGTCTTTGGCCTCTTCCCCGTCTTCCGTCGTCACGCCCGTCACAGGCCATGGAGGTCCCACGTTCTCCAGACGGCCCTCCTCGTCCTCCTCGCCGGCGCCGGCGTCGGCTTCGTCCTCGGCGACCCCGCGGGCCCCGGCCCTCGCACCGCCAGGAACTGTCTCATCGGCATGGCAATGGGTGCTGTCGCCGCCGCCATTGCCATGGGTGGATGTAGCTGGTGGCTCATTGGTCTGCAAAAGTACAAGAATGAGATAAACGGACCCTGGGACGCAGCGCGGCCGGTGATCATCAGCCGGAGGCGTTAATAGATACGGTTATGACCCCCTTATATAGTGCCCATCGTGTATTTGCATATCAGTTCCCTCCCCCACCTCTTTCTACAGCTCCGGGTTTGCATTAATAGATTGTCATTTATGATATTGCCTTGCGCATGGCCTTACACCGTGTACGAGTTTTCTAGTAGGGTAGGCTCTGAATGAATATCTTGACGCCCAATAAATCAATCACGCCAGTTGCGGCCACGGCTATTTGCTACCAACCTCGCCTCACTTGCCGCGCAAAGGTAGAGTGGGCCAAGGGCCTAAAATGTACGAGAAGTAAAAAGAAAAACCAGACCAAGGCTTTTATATATATATATATATATGTGTGTGTGTGTGTTTGTTTGGGTGTAGATATATAGATATGGGTGTGATATACGTAGAAGATGTTGTTGGGCAGACAACATACCAGGCGTTTCGGTGAAACTGCCGACATATGCAGTAAACGGAACATCTACCCCCGTTTACTTTCCGGCGTATAAAGGGGGAGATGAAAGAAAAAGGCGGCCAGAAAGTCTGCCAAGAGAAGAAACAATACAATGCCGTGAACGATTCTCAGAGAGTAAACCGCGCTCGAGTCTCAAGAGACCGTTGATAACAAAAAGTTGGGGGAAGAGAGCATGACAAGAAACTATGTAGCCAGCCAAAAAAAAATGTAGTGGCGTTCACGAGGCCCTTCAGCCCCTACACCCATCGCGGCGCTCGGTCGACCGTCGAAGGGGAAGAAGGGCAGGAAAATAAATAAAAAAGTGCAAAGAATCGACCCCTACCAAGGTTGAAGTAGGCTCCTAGAAAGGTGAAATGAAAATGAAGAAAAGAAGAGAAAAGAAAGGGGGAAGAGAAGTATGCAGTGGTGCTATGTTATGTCTTTGTTGTTCGTGATACCAAAACCCAAAAAGAGGGGAAATTTTCGAGTCTTCATGTCGTGTCATTCCCGTAAGTGCATAGGAAAAGATGGAATCCAAGAAACGATGCGTTAGGCTGGCGGTGCTCTCTCGCCCAGCCACCGTACTCCTTTTTTCATTTTAGTTTTTGACCGTTTCGTTTTGTTGCCGGTTCAAACCCTCAACTGAAGCCCAACCAGCTGGTGGCAAGTTCGTACCGTAGCAAAGACCTAGAGGATGATGCATCGGGGAGAGTTCTCCTTCCTCTTCTTCTTTCTTCGCCGTCTTCCCATCCGGTGGGCGGCATCGTACTTGTCGTCGCGGTCGTCAAGGCCATCATCTAAAAGATCATCTTTCCGCAGCATTTGACGACTAAGGTCTATGAAGACCTCGTTCACGTTCCCTATAGTCAGAATTAGCTCGGTACCGGCAGGGCGGACAGCCGACGGCCGGGGCGTACTTCGTGTCCTCGCGCTAGCTTCATAGTAGGGAGCGCCCCATTGCTGAGAGATGCTGAAAGCCCTGGCTCTAGGAACAGCCCGTTGATCTTCCAAATCGGCCTTGTTCCCAACAATCACGATTGGGACATTCTCATCATCCTTGATCCGGATGATCTCCTCGCGGAGTTGTGCTAGCTCTCCCAAAGATGAGCCCGAGGTGATACTAAAAACGAGAAGGAAGCCTTGACCAGTCTTCATATACAAGTCCCTCATGGCGACTATCGTAGGGGTTAGCAATAGGAATCGATCAAGACTTGGAGGAGGGGGGTTAAGGTCCAAGGAATATGCCTACCAAACTGCTCCGTCCCCGCAGTATCGAGGCTAACCAACGTTAGCTAAGGTTAGATAGACTGCGTCATTTGTTGCACCTGAGACTCACATTTCCAGGACAACTTGCCGGTTCTAGCCTCTGATCAGCATCGTACTTCATAAACGGAGAGCGAGCAGAGGGGGAAGGGGAGGGACGAGGAAGATAAAAGCTTACATCGACATTGATCTGGGTCCTGTAAGTATCTTCGATGGTTGGGTCGTAGCTCTCTATCCACTCGTTGTGGACAAATTGAGCTGTGAAGCCGGACCAGTTAGCCGCTTTGTGATGCGCGACGGAGTCTCCCCTCACCTAGGGATTACAGCACCGACACCTGTGATATGGGGCAAGGGAAAGGGCAACTTGAAAAGCAACGCTGAGCATACCTGTGAGGCATGACTTGCCTACGCCTCCTATGAGGGTGAGAGATGCAGTCAGCGATATGTCCACGTGATCGCCATATTCAAATCAGTTGAATTTTGAAGGAGGAAATGGATGAACCTACCCGCACCGAGGACGACTACATGCAATTCGCGGCTACCCAAAATACCCATCTTCATATCAGCTTAAGGGAACTTTATTGGGGATGACAATACCACAGGAAAGGGCCAAAGAGGCGGTCTTCCACGATCTTATTGCTGTTCAAATTGCAAGATGATCCGGTGGGTGGGACTTACGCTGGCTGGAAGCGGCCGGCGCGCGGGTGAGCTCGACTCATCGGGCTCTGAGAGGCAATGGAGACGAAACCAATTCAATGTCCTCTGATCCCCGCCTATTTTTTTAAAACTTTATATCTTGAGGGATCCTTTCCTTAGGACCTTGGGCTCCGATGCGGAGAAAAGGCAAGGCCTTTATTTCGTCCCTCTTGGTTGCTTGTGGTGGTGGAGGGAGAAGCTCACAGCCGGCTGCGACCTCGATTGGACTGGAAGGAAGCCTCGGTGTTCGAAGCAGGGGGTGGGTGGGGGACTAGGACAGAACCTCTCCAGTTTAGCTTAGCGTCATAGTAGGAGGCAAGGTGCTAGGGAAGAAAAAAAAAGAGCGGAGGGCCCAGCGAGGCAGGCGAGTCTTTTAATGCGCGCGATTCGTGCCAATGACGGAAACCGCGATAGAAATTCCAGGTCAAGTCAAGCTAGGGCTCAACATTCAACTGCTTCGCAGAACGATAAACCAGAGGAAGGCTTGTTGGGGGCGGCGGCATGTGGTGGCGGAATATTACTGTAATAAAACGGGCGAGGTTCTGCAGGTCGGCCCCTCTTTGGGGAGGTTTTTTTCTTCTTCCTCCCTCCTTTTCCCTCGTTTTAATCGGGGCGAGCTAAGAGGTATAGGTATCCTTTTGGGGCCTACGGTTAAGTAAAGAGGACGGGAAGCGAAGCGAATGGAGGACCGTAATACGAAGTACTAAAAACGGCGCGCTTAAATGGAGAGAGCTGGATCTCCAAGAAATATCGATAATCTTCCCTCTTTTGGAAACGAGGTACTGTAGGAACTAGGTGTAAGGGAAGGAACGAGAAATAGAAAAATAAACCAAATAGAGGGAGAAGATGGAGGATAACCAAAAGGTGGGGGAGAGCAAGCAAACGAGATGATAGGTGTCGTTGGACTTTTTAGCTCGCTCGATTCCGCGAAAGGACAATACGTCCCTTTTAAACGAATGGATGGATGGGCAAGGCTTGTGTGTCTCTGTCTTATGGGTTGGAGAGAGGAGCCTTGGGGGAAGAGGAGGAAAGAGAAGGGCGATGACCCCTTCTTTACATGCACCAACTCCGACGTCCAAACTTTGGGCTGGCAGGGGAGGGCGGAAGAAAGAAGAAGCAGAAGAAGAAAGTCAAGGGGACAAAGACAGCAGCAAGCGGCCCACAAGGAGGGAGAAAAAGAAGAGAAAAAAGAAACAAGGAAAAGGGAAAAAGAAAAGAAAGCGAACAAGACAGGACGCTTGTCGCTCTGGCAAGCTGCCTCAATCAGGAGAGTTGACAGGGGGTGCTCTAAAGAATGGAAGAAATCTAGTGAAAAAGAAGGAAAAAAACGCAAGGACTTGCGCCGAGCAGACCAACAAGGATGAGAAGATGTGGTTGGGTAGAATTCCTGGAATCCTAGAAATCCCTGGGTGCGTTGGGCCGGATCTCGAAGAGTGGGGATGGATTGATGCTTCCCGTCGGCCAGCCAGACCAGGCCGTGTTGGATTGACTTGCCCCTTGGCTCGGGTCGGTGGATCCAGATCTTTTCGTCGACTTTAAGCCCCTTGGCCGGGAGTCTAGCTCCTCACTGCGAATTGATGCTTAGCGCGCAATTGGGAGACCCAGAGAACTGGGGAAAATGATGGATTGAGGATCTAACTGGACAAATGAGATGGTCAAGGACTGGGAGCTAGAAGTTTGCCGGGTTTTGATGAAGCGGGGTTCGCTCAGTGCTACTCATCGGACCCGGATCATAGAATCCACGACGCTGGCGGATGGACAGAGGGAGGACAGGACGGGCAGCTGTCTTTTTTTCCCAAATCGAACCCCCTGACAGTCTCGGACAGATAGCTCAGGGCCCGGAATCAAAGAATCAATCTAATAGAAGTCGGCAGGGTAAAGGGACGAGGGAAAGAAATATAAGATAAAATACATATAAAATGCATCCATGGAACCATCCACCATTGGACCTATCCATCCATGTAAAAATGGGAGAATAGAAAATGGGAGACGCTACATGTACTCTCCCTTCCAAAAAGCTTGGAGCGCTGGCTGAAGTTTTAGGCAAAGACGCCAATACGGATTCAAGGCTCGAGGTACAAATACCTCCAATCCGTCATGGTGGACTTCAATGCAGCGCCAACACGCCTCGGCCAAGTCGAGGGCGAGTGGTGGTTCGAGCGGTGGGACTGAGCGGCAGGTGGGTGCGAGCAAGATAAGAATTGTCGAAATCAAATAGTTCGTGCATCACAGCCTCTCCACCACGACTGCGCAGGTCCAATGCCACCATCGAAGGAAACTTGAGGCGAAGAGGCAATGCTGCGCAATGCAGTGTACTATGGGTGCACGCGTGCGCACATCCACCTGCATGGCGAGAGCGAAAGAGCCATTCCATTCCGCCTTGTCACCTTGCCTCTTTGCCCTTGCTTTTCGGTACGCCGGCTCCTTCACGAACTTGGACTTGGTGGTTTGCGGCGGGTGCTGGCGCCTAGCGCTTCTGGGGCCCGGGATGGTGTGTGCTCGTCCTGCTGGGCTTGTTGGTGGGCTGTCTCAAGGTCTGCGCACAGCATATGTATGTGGGTAGCATCAGTGATGGAAAGACAGCAGATCCATTCTGCCTATGGAGCCATTGGATCCGTCCCGCAAGGGAGCACATGTATTGGGGTAATTTCTTTTCTCAATCACAGTGCCCGTGATCGAGGCCTACATGTGGCGAGCGTGGCTTTGCACACTCATGACACGAACCCCGACAGATCGTGGTGACTGGGCAGAAGAAAGGTAGAGCTGTACCACGAAGCCTTCAGCGGAGCAGCATCTCTTCGGGAATGCGCAGTCAACATTGAAGTGAATCTGTCGACAAGCGGGGCGACCAATGCACCAAATGTGCGTTAATCTAATCGGAGGTAGGCGGAGGCCGGCAAGAAATCCCGGGGGAGGGGCCCAGCTTTGTCGAGCAGCTTGGCATCATCGCCAGGTCGCCACCGAGAAACCAAACTCCAGAGCCCAGCCTCGTTGGGCTGGGGCTTCAAGTGCTTTTTTGTTGTTTCTTTTTCTTTTCCCTTCTCTGTTCAAGGGGCCTGGGCCTCTTTGTAGGAAAAGCGAGATTACTAACATACAAAAAGCATCTCGAAGTGCGAGGGCTGAAGCGGTCATGACGGTGGAGATGAGATTCATTGATCCTGACTTGCCGAGATGTTCATGTTGCTTCTTCATTAACGAAGCACCTAGTATAGGCTGGCCCATTGGGGGTGGAATTCATATCAGACGGGAGTTCGTTTATTGGACCATCCCATACTTGTGGGCATAACATTGAAGGCTCTTGATGTAAAAGGTAACGGGGGCCGCTGCAAGATGCATCAGAGGCACTCGTAAACTCCAATGACCCCCTTTTTCCTGAAGCCAGCAATGATGATTGATAAGTGACAGGCACTGCCGAGGCATCATCCCCAGACCTAGGTGAAAGCGAGAGGACTTGGATCGAGAGTGATGCCAGGACCAAGGCGTAATTGCTATCAGATAGACTGAACAGATCTCCCTATTCTGCAATTGCCCTCAACTTGGGTTTCCGTGTTTCTGTGCACCTGCACGACCCGCTTATGCTCCCAATACGTTATGTGCACTAATATTATGGGCCGCCGTGGTGGATTGATAGACGCAGCTATTGATTATGGGGAAAGTTCTCTGCTGGCTCTATGACCCCAAGGCTCCACCTGGGTACAGGCTTCCAGGGGTCCTGTCCTTGTACCACTTGATGTGGATGGATTGGTGGATGTGGATGGGTGGTGGATGTGGATGCACCCGCACATCCATTGATGCAATGGATGGATGCCACGGTTGGATCTTGACACTCCGCAGGCTATTACAAGTAGGTGACGACGCGTCCGGAGAGGACCATGACATTCCGTCACCAACAATGGAGATGGGAGACGCGCGTTTTTTTCTTCCCTCTAACAATTGGTCTTCAGCAGCACCACATTAGAATCGCGTCGATTCGGATGGATCAATTGACTCATCTTCCGTCCATGACATGCTAATTCGTCTCAATCCGACGGTTCCAGCGACCTAGGACCTTCTTCGCCGAGCTGCCAGCTCCAACCCGCGCGGTCCGTCTGCTTGGCTCCTCTTCCCCTGACTGGACATGGCGTTGGAGGGACCATCCGGAAACATACTTGTAAAAATCGATCCCTGTTGGCCACCGATGCCCTCAGAGGCAATGTTTGGCCAACTCGTGTTCCCAATGTGGATCCAGAGATCCGGAAAGGAAAGCAAGAGTCATAATGCTGGCAATTAAGGGTTGCATCACATGCTTCACCCTCCACATCTTCGACGTCCATGTGGAGTCAGCCCGCTCACTCACATCCGCTATCCATCACCTTAAAACAAGTCGAGAAACGAAACCAACCCAACTGACCTTCACCCATCCTGTGGAGCGGGAAGGAGTCTCAAGCTGCAGAAATCGCCCCGGGAGGAACTTTCCGGCAAGCCACAAACCGTGTTTCTCGACAAGCCGGCGATGCAATTCGCAAGAATTTCCCCTTCTTCAATGATTTTTTTTTTTTTTTTTTACCTCTTCTCTCACTTCGAGAAGCGTGATATCTATCTTGATCTCCCATCTCTTTTCGCTAGAGCTCGCTAGCTGGTCCCCCTCTCGCATAGTTACCAATTGATCCCTCCCCTCAACTAGCCGGCCGGCCCTTTGGTTCTCGCCAAACCCCACCGCGGTTTGGGCAAGTCCGAGCGACGGTGAGCTAAAGAGAAACTGGACAAGCATGAATGCCCTATCCTTTTTGACCAAAGGCGGGGCCAGTTTCCAGTTTCCAGTTCCCCGGCGCATGTCGACAGGGAGTGGCCCCTCTTTGTCGAGCTCCAACCCTTCCAATTGACTCAATTGACCAGGAGTCGAATATAATATAATCCATCCAAGTACAAGCTTTCGAGTAAGTCAGGTATTAAGGTCAGGCCTTTGTTGAAAAGGAAGTGCGAGGTGGGAGACACCCTGGGCTCGGTCAATCAATGCCCATCAGAATCCTCCCACGATTCCTTC